TAGATAAGAAATCCTGTCAAAACTTAGTAATATTATCAAATTGCTAAAATTTTAGCATTGCCAAAATTTGTTAAGATTTAATCAAAATATTGCCCTGTACTAAAATATTACTGCCCTGTTTCGCATGCGTTGCGTCCGACGAGTGGGAGCACCGGTGTCCTGGAGTACCACTTGTGCTGGTCAAACGGCGGTATGCTGGTATGGGTGTGTTAGACTGTTGTACATTGTGTTGGGGGTGTATGGTGTGTTGTGTGTGAACAACTGAACATAGGTAAGGGAGTGGGGCTTAAACAAACGATCAACTGGGCAAAATGGTGCGGGGCTGTCTCCTGGATTACGCGAACCTGGCGCCTTGGATTCAAGAAGACCGGTTAGGGGTGAGAGCATTCTCCGGATTAACAATCCTAGTACAATTTTTTTATATCTTTGGCCGGTGAGCCTTCTTTTTTTTTCATTCATACCCGCTATATAGTAGAGATGCTGGCAGTTACACACGGTTGGTCTTTCAAGGCTTCCCTCGAGAAAAATAGCTGTAGTTTATAGAAGTTGTTTCGAAAGGCCGGTAAGCTTTATAAAACTATGGGAGGTAGGAGTATATATAATATACATGTGCAGATCTAGTGTCAAACTTATGAATAAATTACGTTCATAAGAATAAGTTCTACATAACTATGTTTAATTCTATAGCTCACATCTCCAAGCTACAGAATATTCCAAAACTCTATGAGCCTGCATTATGCTTCAACGGTGGCAAAGAGATAAACATGTGATTTTAGGATACAAATTGCTTATGCACTTAGGCTCCATTTGTAACATACAAATTCAACGACATCTTCGCAGGAGTTCGATAAAAATACAAAACAAAGTCTTTTTTTTTTTGTAAAGAAAAGCACTCAGTTCTCCCTTTGTGTTATAAAAGAAACCCATGTTTAGTAACGTTGATTCTTGAACAATAGTTCCCTGGCAATTTTGATTAGTATTATTTGTGGAAACTTGTACGAGAACATGTATACGCATTTATGGTTCAATTCATCAATTATATTAAGCCTCAAGCGTCGATATAAATAGAGCTACAAGGTTTAGATCTCAAGTAAATGAGTAATCCTAGAGATAAACTGCAAACTAATCATATATGATAATATCCTAACAAATCAGCCGGATCATATATGATCCTATCGTTCTACATAAAGATGTCATCATTTAGCAACTAATTAGCTCTTCATGTTTTGTGCGTAAGGCCCACCGTTTGTCCATTATTGTATTTCTTCCATAACTCCCACTAACTTTGTATTGGGTAGGTCATTCGCGGATTCCGCTGTTTAGTCATGTATCAACTGCACGCACGGGCTAATTTTTGCGATTTTCATACTTTTTCAAATTTCGTAGGATTGGGGTAAGATCTTTTATGAAAGTCAACTTAAAAAATGATCTACATATTAAGAGAAAACATACATACATTATTTTAAATGGAACAACAAAACGGAGTAAGACACTACTATACAAAACGTTTTTCTACACGGACAAAGTAGATTATCGCATATGGATGGCTGACCCGCTTGCCTGAAGCTATATATCTATGAAATGGGGGTTTTACATAGACGGCCAGCCGTGCTGCATGAGTTAACTCCTTTCGCACACGTGCACTTGTCCCTCGAAGGACCGAGCATACCGCAGGCATGAGTTGAGGATTGTCCGTTAAAACCAAATTTACATAGTGAGATCCAATTCATTGAAGTTGTGATACAATTTTTTTTCTCTTGTGCATCAAAGTTTGAGTTGAATATTTCCATGTTTTATTATCAACGACGAGGATCCAATTACTTGAAATTAAGAATTTGAGACATTTTATACATCCACGCCCTTCTTTTTCTACTAGTAGTACGTGAACCAACAGTGAGAATTGACAAGTCCATATGAAAGTTTGACCATAACACATCCTATCAGTAGCCTGACGAAAGAGAGAAAATTGGACGCAGCTTAAGTAGGAACTAGGAGTGCCTGCCATACTAGTACATTGCTTTACTCTCAGGGTGTGTTTTTTCCGTCAAAATTGGAAGTTTGATTAAAATTGGAACGATGTGACGGAAAAGTTGAAAGTTTGTGTGTATATGAAAGTTTTGATGTGATGAAAAAATTGAAAGTTTGAAGAAAAAGTTAGAAACTAAACCAGACCTCACTCACTCCATCCAAATATGCATGCCCGTGGTTATCTTCAAAATATTTTTTCTTCTCAACCACTTATCTGATTTTCAATCATCTGATTTTCAATCCGATTACACCATTGTACTTGTTATAATTAAATCTTTACAACATAGATTTCAAACCGTTAAAACTTAATGTTTATATACAACAGTGGCATGTTTCACTATGGGTTTTTACTGTGTTACACAAATTTTTTTTCAAATGTTTCAATGTTTACTTTTTATTTCACCATATATAACTTAATATTTCATCGATGGCTGATATACATAGGGTGTGTTTGGTTGGTGGGATATACCCGGATAGGCCGCCGCTTTTTGGAGGGTGTTTGAATGCTGGGCGAGAGTGGGATAGGGCGGCCCAGAGGGGAATATTCTCTCCAGATGCTGGATAGAGGGATCCGGCCGATTTGGCCGGATACAACCGCCCGAGGCTCGGTCGAGCCGGGCAAGCGAGTTGCGTGACTCGCGTCACCCCTCACCACCACGACACGAGCGAGGCGACGAGCGCAGCGGCCGGCGAGAGGGGCGACGAGCTCGGCGGCCGGTGAGAGAGGCGACGAGCTCGGCGGCCGGCGCGGGCGACGAGCGTGGCGGCCGGCGAGAGGGGCGACGAGCTCGGCGGCTGGCGTGGGCGACGAGCGTGGCGGCGGCGGCGGGAGGAGGCGAGCCGCGGCGGTGGGAGGAGGCGGCCGGCGGCGGGAGGAGGCTGCCAGCGGCGTCGGCGAGGCCAGATCTGGCGCTGCTTTTTTTCCTTTTTCTTTTTCTTTTTTCTTTTTTCTATGTGTATTTATAATGGAATGTGTTTTTATAATGGAGTGTGTATTTATAATGGAATGTGTATTATGTATTAATTTGATGAGGTATATTCACCATCTCAAGTGAGAGGTGACCACACCCACAAATCCACCATACTTCCTCCAACTAAACAAAAAAATTGGATCACCAAATCTACCTTTGTCCTTACAACCAAATAAAAAATTGGATCGCCATATTCACACAACCAAACAAAAAACTGGACCGCCATATCCAGCAAAATATGGACCGCCGTATCCCATCCAATCTTGACCAGGAACCAAACACACCCATAGCTTACTGTATACTCTATCAATGCATATATGCATGTAGTGATCTTCAAAATATTTTTTTTTTGCTAAAACTACTTATTTAATCCACAATCTGATCACACCATTGAATTCGTTATAATTAAATATTTATAACAATATATCATATAATTATATTTCAATGAAATAAAAATATATGTTTCAAACAACACATTGTTTCATACGGGATAGCGATGTATTTCAACGTGTGGTTTTACCGTGTTTTACAGATATTTTGACTGTTTCACCATGCACTATTTAATATTTCACTCGATAATCAACTGAAATATTTGACCATTTAATTTTTTGGTAAAATCAGGCACTCGATTTGTAGGTGTTCGAAAGTTTGGCTCTCATTTTCGCTGGAAAAAGCGAAGAATATGCATGCCTCAGCTCAGCGCAACTTCAAGCGGGCGACCCAAAAAGCCAATTTCCTTAAACAAACTGCTAACCACATTTAGTTAACGTTGATTGACTCCATCAACAGATAAGCACGAGAGGAGGCGCGAGAGAGGGAGAGGAAAAAAAAAGCAAATAAAGTGGGTACAGGCACGGGTGCAACAGCCAAAAACTATGGAGAGCAGCAAAGGAGGAGAAGAAAAAACAAACGTGGGTTTCTTGGGGGTGGATGACTAGGAAACTGAGAGGGGGAGGAGAGTGGGGGGACCTGGCGGGAGGCGGGATCCGGAAACCCGCCCACGGTATTGGGCGCGCGCGCCCACAGAGGCAGCGGAAACAGGGGCCGTCGCTGTACGATTTCCACAAAACCGGGAGCCAGAGCCACCCCACCCCCTCCCCTTTCCAGTTTCCGCGGTATATGTGGTGGTGTGGCGCCGCGGTCTGTGGCTAGCTTGCCTGTTCGCTGGGCCCCAACGGGGACGTGGACGCCACGCGCTGCGCTGTGCTGCCCCGCGCGGCCCGCCTCCTCCTCCTCGCCTCTCGGGCACGCACCACTGACCACCCTCCTTTCCCTGCGCCGTGGGGTCCACTGCCCCCCGGAGTCTTGGATCTGTTCGCTCTCTTCACGCCAACTGTCAGAGGACAGAGGTTAATCATAAACACAACTGCACAGTAACTAGTACTACTAGCCACGATTTTTACCGTGCTTTTAAAGATTTATTTTTTACAGAGTAGAATGATTGGAGAAGGGAGGAAAAAAGTGGAGCCGGAGTACTAGTTTCTTTGCAGAATCCTTTTTTTTTGCGGGGGTTCTTTGCAGAATCTGAGTCATCGCCACGTCAAACAACCTGCGGTTTACTGTAAAATCAACGGACGGCCGGGCCGTTGTTTCCTTTCTGGAATGAAAGCAGCCCTGGAAGATGGTAGTAGTAGGAGTAGTAAATAAACTGGAGTAGTATACGTAGTACTACCAACACGTAATAGTAGCAAAAGTGTGTACTGCTGCTAGTGTACTCCAGGACGACGCGCGCGGGGGTAGTGGTAGTAGCGGCACGCGAGCAACAGGGAAAAAGATAGCACGCGGTTCCACCGAAATCTCCCGGCCGGGGCGCCTCCAGTTTTGGAGCTAGAATCCATTCCTCGGACGCGGCTTGGCGCTCAAGCCCGCAGTTAAACCACGCGGTGGGCCCCGCCCCTTGATTCGCCTCGTTTTTTCTTTTCCCTTTTTTTTTCTGGTGCGGCGCCGAACCCGGCCTTCCGAAACCACTGGCGCCGAACCCACTTATAAAACAGGCACCCCTCTCTCTCCTCCGCTCCCCGTCATTCTCACACCAAACATCTCCATCTCAACTCATCTCCAACAAGCAAGGCAGTATCGAGTCGAGTCCTCGCACAGGCTTGGAGAAGAAGAAGGAAGAATAGTACCACCTCGGATCTCCAACAAGTCCGGCGCCCAGTTGATAAGGGTTTGCAGAAGCATTTCGAAGATGCGGATGAGTTGCAACGGTTGCCGGGTGCTGCGCAAGGGATGCAGCGAAGGGTGCACCATCCGTCCGTGCCTGCAGTGGATCAAGACCCCCGAGGCGCAGGCCAACGCCACCGTCTTCCTCGCCAAGTTCTACGGCCGCGCCGGGCTTCTCAACCTGCTCGCTGCCGGGCCTGACCACCTCCGCCCCGCCGTCTTCCGCTCGCTCCTCTACGAGGCCTGCGGCCGCATCGTCAACCCGATCTACGGCTCCGTCGGCCTGCTCTGGTCGGGCCAGTGGCAGGCGTGCCAGGCCGCCGTCGAGGCCGTCCTCAAGGGCGACCCCGTCGTGCAGGTCTCCTCTGAGGCCGCCGCCGCCGCCCAGGCCACCCCGCCGCTCAGGGCCTACGACATCCGCCACGTCTCCAAGGACGCCGAGGCCGACGCCGCCGCCAACCTGCTCCGCGTCGCGCGCGGCGGCCGCACCCGCTTCAAGCGCGCCTCCTCCAGCTCCAACTCCAAGCACGGCGCCAAGCTTGCCGGAGCAGCCGCCGCCAAGCGCGCCGCGTCCCCCAGCAGCAGCAGCCCGACGCACGAGACGGAGCCGGAGGCGGTGGTCGTCGTCGGTGACCATGACGACGACCACCACCACCCTGCGCTGAGCCACGAGGTCCACGAGGAGTCGGCTGGCAGCCATGACCACGACGACGACGACCATGTGGACGACGGTGACAACAACGACATGGCCATCGCCGACGTGACGCCGCCGCGGGCGGGATCGGAGGATACCGAGGTCGAGACCGGCTCACACGTGAGCCAGGCCGAGCAGAGCCCCGTGCCGGTGGAGCACGAAGAGGGGGAGGAGGAGGAGGTCGGGCTGGAGCTCACGCTCGGGTTCCAGCCGCTCGTCGTGCGCGCCTCGAGGAGGCCTTCGTCGGCGGAGGCGCGCTGCGACCTTAGCGGCTTGAGCGCGGAGTCGAGTCGCATCGGCCTGCGGCTCGAGCTGCCAGCGTGAGAAGCGGCGTCGCGAGCCGCGAGCTTTCTTTTAGCTGATAGTAGACAGTTTTGGTTTCGTGCCAGAAGTGAAACAAGAACAGAGGAAAACATCATTATTAGTTTTCTTTTTTTTTTTCACACCTTTTCTTTTTGCTTGCTCTGCATCGTTGTAGGATTCCCATGTTCCTCCTGTCATGTACTTGTGTGATGTCTGCCTGTACAGACTTTCTCAGATTCGGCTGTGACAAAACTTGTTCAAAATCGATAGAACAATCCAGATTTCTGGAGTGAAAAAAGAAGTTGAAATCCGATTATTCTCCAAAGAATTGTGATATAATTTATCTTTGGTTATTTCCTTGTTTCGCACCTTATTTTAACTTGTGCGATATTCGTCCTAAGAACTGCAAGCTTGTTAAACTTGATTGGATATTAAATTACTCCATTGGAACTTTTATTTGTGATTCGTTGCAAGTCAGGCCAGGAAGGATTGGAAGCATTAATCCCAGCAAATAACCAAGAAGGTCACAGTCCCATAGTCCAAACATTCAGTGAGATCGACAAAGTTGCTGATACTCTGTCGCAGCCTTATTGTTCATTTCATCCACTCCTCGCAAACCAGAGAACTTTTTCCTGAGAATGAGAAGCAATTGGATGACTTCAATCCCAACAACAAGACTCCACCTTCCCAACATCCAGTCAGACCAATACAATTGAGAGGATTCATGAAATGATTTTGCTTAGACCTGATTCAGATAGGCAATAAAAATCATGGGGATACATGGCAGTATGGGTCGTATGGCCTGCAGTACCAGGTTTTCCATGACCTGAATAATTGGGCATTCGATGATCCAAGGACCACAGTCCACAGGAGAAGAGCACTAACAGGACCTATCACCTAACCACATGAAGATCGGCGTTTTGGAGAACATAGCAAAAGCTGAAACTTTAAGATGCTTAAATCATGACTGGAAGCAGCGAAGTCATTCTAACACCATGGAGCATATGAGATCAACCTTGCATGCTGTCTTCCTCCACTAGTGAAATACATTTACATATGTAAAGCACAACAGTAGGGTTGTGAGACAAATTTCTTCTCTATGTCCATCTTATTTCTTGTAGTCCAATTAGTCGAAACAAAAACTGCAAAAGAAGAAGAAGAAGAAGAAGAAGAAGAAGAAGAAGAAAAGTCTGAATTGATAGTTTCCACACCCCAAGCATGAGAATCGGGGATGCCACTCCATCCAAACCCAGAGGCTAATGACCATCCAAATCTACCTGATGAACAACAAAAATTTGTGTCCCCGGCATCTTTTCTTGAGTTTCTTGAATTTTATTGTGAAAGAGAAGTTGCAAGAAGATCTTAACTTTAGATGGGTTCTACAGTGCCGAAGTTTTTCAAACTATTTACTCACCCTCTAGATGAAATAATTTTGTATGAGTTGGATACACATTGATGATTTTGAGTTTACTTCTGAACCACTTGGCCCTATTGCCCAGGAGTTTGTGAAGGAGTTGGACATTGAAGGAGTTTGTGAAGGTCGGATCTCACCTTCAAAAGGGAAGAGATACTCTTGGTGGAAGGAGTAGTGCATTTGTGCAGCCTCAGAGGATAGGGTCAGAAAAGACTCGGCTCATTGTGAGCTCTTCAAAGGAGAGTAGAATCCCCTCAAGAATTTGAACTTTGGTAACACATCGACTTGCAAGAATCCCGGTGATATCTCTCTCACACTCTTATAGCTTTGCTATTTGGTGCTGCTAGTAGTTTAATTGTTGTTTGAACAATCCTTTCCCTACATGTGTGGCTATCCCATTGTGCTTGCCTTGCTAACTTGCTTGAAAATATGAGATTTTCGGAATATCCGAAAATATTCCGAAATATCCGAACAAATTCTAGGATATCTAAAAAGTTTAGCTTCTGCATTTTATTAAAAATTTTAAATGCCTATTCATCCCTCCTCTAGGCAGCATCAAGGTCCTTTCACAAACTCTTGAAATCTACAGTCTTGGAAATAATTCAGTCAGGTTGAAAACCATTTCAGGGTGTGAAGAAACTCCCATTCTGTTTTGAAAAGAATTAAAAAATAGAGAAGTCTTATGTTGGTGAGAAGACACCAACGTTACTCTTTCATCATTGATTTGAGCAATTATATCATCCAAATCTTTTTGTAGCCATTGCATGGAAGAACTTCGTGTTTTCTCCCCCAACTCGATCCGTCTATTAGTGCATCTCCTTTTCCAATATAATCTTCTAAAAAGATAGAGCTTTGAGATTTGTTTCTTGACCACTTCTCTAAAATTCCATTTTAGGATAGTGAGACTTCTGCGTTCTTCTATCAGATATAGAAAGTCTAAACCCTTATTATAGATAGAGATTAACTGAAGTAGCTTGGAGAGACCCTTACTCAATTATTTTAAGAATTTTCTCAGTAGCTCCGGCTTATAGATGATACATCTAGCAGGGTCAATAAAACCTGGATCAATGTTCCATATCCAAGCACCATGATAAAAAAAACCCTTCCATATCAACCCAATAATTCTCAAAATGAAAGACATTGGATATGGGGATAGAAGAGTATTTTAATCATTTGAACTGATATTGCTCTTGTTAGGGTAAGAACATAGGACTTTGGATATCTTAGTGTCCAAGCATTGGAAGTTAAAAGCTAGTCAAGCTGCTCTAACAAGAGGTTAGCTTGTATATTACTACAAGTAAAAGATTTTCCTTTTATAGGAAATTCCACTAAGCCTAAAGAACTTATAATATCAGTGAAAATGATAATATCATTCATGTCAACTCCAAGTTTGTTCCTATTCTTGGTGGATCTATAAAAATTGAAATTCCCTTGGAGGATCCAAGCTTCATCACTTTGCATATGAAAATTTCTCAAGTAGTCAACAAAATTGTCTCTTTCCTGTCCTCTACATGGGCCATAAATGGAAGCCATAAACCAAGACTCAGAATTATGCTTTGAGACAGAATTCAAGCATAAAGAATAATTATTAGCAAGAACTAAAGAACCCACAAAATATTTTCACATCATAGAGCCACTAGAGGCCCCCATAGAAGGTATGATCTGAAAACAATTAAATCTCTTAGGGACCACTTTTTTGAGGAAATTTATGTCAATTGATTCTCTCTTAGTTTCCTGCAAGCATATGACCTGACATTTGCTATCATCAATGCATTGTTTCAAAGCATCTCACTTGTCCTCTGAGTTCATCCCTCTTATGTTCCAGCACAAAATATTCCAACTACGAACTTGATGGATATTCATTGATAAACAGTTAGTTAAAGAGAAGCACATAACAAGCAAAGCAGGTCTGAATAAAACTAGACTAGCACATTACAATAAAAGTCTTAAATCCTCTGAACATATTTAGAGGCACGACATAAATAGATTCACAAAAGGAGGACCACTGCAAACACATTATCTTTAAGACAACTGCCATTAACATAATGAACATTTGCTACTCATCATCCTCAGTTGGCCTTGGGAGTTTTTCCATCTTGTCTCCACCCAGTTTGCCCTCAGCCACCTCGTCAGGAGATAGGCCACACATATTAACTCCCATCTTTTGCAGAAACAAGATAGAACAATAAGAAGAGGAGGAATCAACATCAGAGTAAAAATCACAATCAAAATCAGATTCTGTATGGATACTGCTAGAAGATTATGCAAAATACCTACTAGTTCCTTAAGTTTTTTGGCCGACATTCCCCTAGGCTTTCCAATACCCATTCTTGGATCTTGCTCAAGATAACTTTCAGAAGAAGCCCTCACCCTTGCACTCTGCCTCCTCTCTAGGTTAAAGAGTATAGTCTTACCATCCCTCTTTTTAACTGGAGTTCCTGGGAGGATAAGGGCCAATATGTTACTCTGATACGGGGATACGGATACGGATACGCGATACGGGGATACGAGGACACGTCATTTTCTTAAAAACACTGATACAGGGATACGTCTATATATATTTAAAAAAATAAAAAATACAAATGAAAAACATAACACATAAATAACTATAAGCCTGCAAATAGAGTTATACAAATTACATGACATCATTAGAGATAATTAGAATAAAACTTTTTCTGGATATCAAGCTCAACTCAATAGAAGTTCAAGAGCTGCTTGCATTCATAGCAAGCGATGTGGCTGAAAGAGCTACATCCCAGACATGTCCCATGCACCAGATCTTTTAGTAGTACTATCCCAGGAGATCAAGCTCATCATGTAGCTTGCCCCTCGTAAATAATATGCTCCCATGCCTGGTCACAAGTGATCCTGATGAATTTGTAGCCGCGCTAGCAGTACATACTAGTGCTAGATAAGTGGTTAAGCTTCTAATTCCAAAATTCACCGGATCTAAATGACAAGGAAAAACACATAACAAAACAACCAGTGCAGATCGAGACTTAAAAGGGGAAAGAACCAAATAGCCGGTGATGATGGACTGTACGCGTTGGGCTTGGTAGCCGGCGGAGAAGCTGCGCCTGGTGACGGAGATGCCGCGACTACCGACGGCGGAGGCCCTGCGCCTAGGGGACCAGGGGTGGCGACGCGACGCACGGCGGGCGGTGGAGGCCCTGCTCCTCAGGTGGCGAGTGGCGGCGGAACCCGGTGGCCAACTGGTGGAGGCCTTGTGCAGTGTGCCCCTGGTAGCGATGCAAGCAGCGCTACAGGAGGATTGGATCTGCCCTTCTGTGCTGCGAGCGTGGGTTTGTGAGTTCAGACGCATGGGGAATGTATCGGAGAAGTATCCGAGTAATTTTCTTTTTTTTATATCATGGTGATTAGGGATACGTATCCGTATCCAATACGGATACGTGGCTTGTGAGCCGTATCTGGGTATCCTAGGGGCCAACTGAGTTGATTTGTGGAAGTGAAGAAGGCTGCTGTTGTATAGCCTAGAGCTGCAAATGTATGACTAGGACCGATTCTTTAGTCACTGGTGGCAAAATAGCCAGGGGAGTTGGTGGCTCTATCAAGAGGTCTTAAGTCATCATGACGTCATCCACAATAAGCTGGCTTGTTTGCACGGCCCAACTAGAGGCCTCATCCAAATGGTCTGTTTTAAAAACTAGCGGGAGGATCAGAAGGAGCATTCCTCTTTGGGTACAAAAGCTGAATGAAAGGGGTTGCAATCTGAGTTGGCTTTGAACACTACCCCTTCCACCCTATCCACAAAGTTGTTTCAAAAGTTGTGTTTTAAGCACCAACTCTTCAATTTTTCCCTGCATGTCTTCAGAGATAGAAGATTGAGGAAGTGTGAGCTGTTGTTCTGGGGTTTCATCTGCATACATAATTATGTGCTTGTGACCCTCATTGGCATCATGAGAGCTCACACCAGATTCACCAGTTGCCTGCTGGTTTTCTGCTTGGTGATTCCAATTGCCCCAACCTTCATCTTGCTGTGGTGGCTCCTCTTGGTCATCCCAGGTTGAACCCTAATGAGGAGGTTGTTCCGGAGGTGGAGGTGGAGCACCCAAAGTTGGCAAATCTTCATCTTGCGCTTGTGTATCCACAAAATCATTATAAAGGACAAAAACACAAAAGGTCCAAGATTCTCCTTGCCCTCGCTGAGTCGGGATTTGCTTAAAAACAATCCTCCTAGGAACCTGATCAACATCATCAAAGAAAGCCCTCATCATAACTTTGTCGGGAATAACGTCAACTTCCTGCCAATAGTCCAACCAGCCAAAGAGCCCAACTCCTCTAGATATATAACTTGTAGTGTGAAAATCAAGTGGGCAGCCAGGAACATGATCCACCCAACCCTATCTACATACGCTGCCCTCCAATTGAGCCTCTGTCATGATTTCTAAATTTGACCACATTAACCCCATTGTAATGGAAACCAAAAGCCTCTACCAGGGTATCTCTGGTTAAAGTTGATCTAACAATGAAAAAACCAACCCCAAAAGGATGAGGAGAGCAATGGGTAACCATAACACCTAATTCATTTTGCAGATGATTGCGAATCTGAAGCAGATGACCATCCAAATCATCTTTTGGAACCCATGGCTCTATGTCTGCAAGCATGTAAGACTCATGCTACCTTTGAGTTATACACGTCCCCGGCGCCTCCTCCATACCGTTATACCATCCGATCCGACACAGGTCTCCTCCTCGCCTCGCTGGAAGAAGGTAGTAGTAGCCTCTGCTCTGCTCCTCTCTCTCTAGTTTCTCTCTCTAGCCCCGACACATTGTAATAAGGGCACCCGCAATGGTTATCTATAGGCTCTCTACAAGAGATCCATGTCAGCATATTTTCCTACTTGGAAGAGATTAAATGAAGAGAGAGAGAGTATAGCTATCTACTAATCTGGAGATAGTCTATAGAGAAAAACGAGACAATAGATTAGAGAGCTATAGATATCCATGTAGACATACCATTGAAGTGATTTACTATTAATTTAGTCTATTGCTGAGATGTACATGTTTTATAGATAGCACTTTACATTAACATTGCGGGTGCTCTAAGTGATCAAATATAGTAACCTTTTTCGTTTTAGCAAGAAAACTTGGTTTCTAAGAGCGGGTACAATAGTGCTATTAGGAACGCTCCAAAACTTGTTAATCAGTCTAAAACGAGATTAAGGAAAGAAAATCAGTGATTGAGAAAGAAGCCGTCGCTTGTTCTGGCGCCGGCGCTTGTACAGCGCTCCACGCTGTATCGGCCAGGAGATACAATAAAAAAATTTGTTTGTGGGTTCTACTGCTTGTTAATTCGTTTGAACCAAGGTAGTTTATAGCTAACTTGTAGTTAGCTTGTTGTATGAGATGCTTTTTAAGTTAGCTCTACTTGAGACATGATAAAATTTTAGAGCCTACTACTAGCTGCACTATTGACCTTGCTCTAATGGCCGCGCACACGCCGACTGCTTAACTCGGGCAACGCCCCCCTCTCCCACACCCTGCGCGCGATTAGTGCAAGACGCCCGCCGCTAATTATAGTCATTAGTGATAATTACAGTAATTACTGTTAATTATCATAATTAGCATTTTTCAAAATACATAAATAATTTTAAATTTGAGTTAATTTTTTTTAAATTTTGATATGGAAGTTTTCATTAAGTTTTCAGTTAGAAATGAAAATTTAGAATTTTGAGTTAAAAGTTTTACATTTTTGCGATGAAAATTTTTAATTGTGAGTTGAAAGTTTTTGAAATTTGAATTGAAAGTTTTCAAAATTTGAGTCAAAGTTTTGATTTTTGAGTTAAAAGTTTTGAAATTGGAGTTAAAAATTTTCGAAACTTGATTCGAAAGTTTTCAAATTTGAATCAATTTTGAGTTGAACGTTTCAAAATTTAAGTTGAATGTTTCGAAAAATAAAAAAACGATAAGGAAACGAGTGGAGTCGAAAATAAGGAAACATAGCACGTGGATTTGTGGGCCGAAAATCATGGCGAAAAAAGGAAACAACAAGTAGGCTGGTGGGCCGAAAATCACGGGAAAATGTGAAAACAGCACGTGGGCTGGTGGGCTGATGCGCGACCATACTGACGCGTGTGCGGCAGATAAGAATTTCGCAAGTAAACACCCTAGAGAGAAGTATATAACCAATTGCTCCCTAAGCTAGGAATATATCCTACGAAGTAGTTTTCTATTTTACGAGAAATTCTTGATTCACAAACGTTTCCCAGCCACACTCGGTCAAATCCTCTTCTCGTCGGCTCCGGCGTGCATGCCAGCGGCGGCGGCGGCGGCGAGAAACGCTGGCGAGGAGGCAGCGGCGAGCGCTTAGATGCTAGCGAACCAGCGAAGAGGGCACTGCAGCAGTGGCGGATAGGCGGAGGCTAGAAGGGAGCAGTACGGCCAGAGAGCTAGGGTTTGGGTAATTTGGCGAGCGAGGAGCGAGGGGAGGCGAAGGGAGAAGAGGGGGGGGGGGGGGGGGGAGGAGAAAGAGCGGGGGAGGGATGAGCATAGTGCCCAAAGAGACGATTGAGGTGATCGGGCAGAGCGTCGGCATCGCCAACCTCCCCGCCGATGTCTCCGCCGCGCTCGCCCCCGACGTGGAGTACCGCCTCCGCGAGATCATGCAGGTCCGTCCCCCCCGCGCTCCCGAATCTCTCGCTTCCCTTCGGTTTTAGTTTCGTGCACTTTGGGGGACTAGGAGGCAACTTCCACCATTCCCTTCGTAGGAAAATTGCCTGCCCCCCCGAGGCGTGGATTTGTAGTTTCTGGGTGATTTGGGACCGCAGGGAGCAATTGCTTGCTCTTTGTTCTTCGTTCTCTCAATTGATTGCTATGCTCAACCATTGTGCTAAGTTGTGTGGTGGAATATTTGCGATAGACCTATTCCAATGGGTTTTGAGTTTGCTGGACGAGATGCGTTTCCATCTTGTTGTTTGAACATGCTGGTTCACACTGACTGCTTAACTGTGTCCTGCTCAATATATGTTCACTGGGTTTTTGTAGCAATGCAATATATTGGACGGTCTTCATAGCAATGCAATATATTGGACGGTCTTCATAGCAATGCAATATATTGGACGGAAGATGGTTGTTTTTTTTGTTCACTATTGTCTCTTCAAAAGCATTGAAGCACACCATTACAGAGTTTCTGGACTGTTCAATCTTCTCTCATTCGATTGCATGCTATAGCTTACTGGTAACATATGTTGGGGTTTTGTTCCTGTTTTATCACCATTTTTTTTAATTTGTATATATTTAGTGAGGTAGTGAGTCTAAGAATTTGCGTTCTATCCACTATTTACACGATAAATTCATCATTTGAGGTTTTCTTTACTGAATCTTGGAAATATGTTATTCCTATCTGATCTTTACTCATAAATTTTGGAAAACTATCATTGACAAACTACAGAGTTGTCACAAAAAATACAAATTTAACACTGCATTACCAGAAAAATACATATTTGAGCCATATCACACAATTATCGATTTAGCACCGATTTTATCATGAAACTACAAATTTTACAGGTTTCATCTATCGTGATGAACTTTTCATAAATTGTAGTTTTCTCATAAAGTCCGTGCTTTATCTGTAGATCTATAATCTCGTTGCTTAAGTTATAAATTTGGTGTTACATCTGTTGTTTTGCGATAATTTTCTGGAAGTATATGTTGATCTGCAAAATTTGTATGTAAGCATATAAATATTCAGTCACAGAAATGCCATTCCATTTTCTCCTAGGCACTATATGTATTTTATTATGCTGTGGATTGTGACAGGAGGCCATCAAGTGTATGCGGCATGCAAAGAGGACAGTCCTGACTGCCGATGATGTTGATAGTGCTCTCAGCCTCAGGAATGTTGAGGTAGTTTCTATTTCGTTGACAATATTTTTTAGGACTACTAAATAAAGGTTTTGTAGATCTAGTAACTGTTGTATGCTTGAATGCATCAAACTTCTGAGTTGGATAGCTAAATAGTCGAGCTCAGTATTTCTCGGAATCAGCTCATTATTAAGCTAAAAGTATAAATGTTTAAGAAACTTAGAGTTGACGATCTTTTCATGGAGACATGTTAGCCATAAATAAGGCAAACTCTATGCCTGTATCTGTTTTTGGTATGTCTGTTCCCTGACATATAAATGCCATTGCAATCATCTCTTGTTTGAAAACTGATACTGCAATTGGTAGAGGCTTTTGGTGTCTGGGTGTATTCGGTGGTTTCTTCCCCTCTCTTCTTCTTTAATACAAATATACAATCCTTCTGTTCCATTTGAGAACACAGCTCTCCTGTGTGTTCGAGAAAACAAATAATGTCTTTAAAGCTTGACATGTAATTCCTCAAGGGAACAGCTGAACTGAGCATAGGGGAGAAACCATATCCTTCCATTCAGCCCCCTATTTCTCTGACACCCACTAGTTGTGAGGTTACTGCAGTCCAGTAGGATGCTGATTTTACTTTGCGTGGAACTGAATGAGAGAAAGCTGAATAAGTAGGATGAAGCCCAATAGTGTACGCTGGGTAAGATGGGGGAAATAATCCATGTGAAAATACAAAATAAAATATGAGATATGTATTCATGTCAAATGGGGTGTGCTAAGCTAAATGCACTTTATGTTAGAATTTGATGATTATGTTTTTTGTTTCAAATCAAGGACTGAGAACTATGTATTAAACATTGCCAATGTGTTTATATGCTGTTGTATATGACTTCGTATGTAAAAGTTTCCTACTTTGCTTACAAGTAACATAATGCCCCTTTGCCACGCTCAATGTTAGAACTGGGAAAATGTGAAACTGTTTTTCTTTTAATTTCAGATTAAGAACTGAGAAGTATATATTAAACATTGCCAATGTGTTTATATGTTTTGTATGACTCCATATATAGGCGTTTCCTCCTTTTTTGAGTAACATAATGTCCTTTTTGGCACTCTCAATATTATCACTGGGTTGGTTTAGCGTGCTAGGTTGGTTTCTTTGATGTTACTTTTGCTACATATTTTCGTTATTTTGGTTAAAATGTTACTGTAGTGGAGTTTAGGTGGGACATGATTGCCTTCAGTGTCTAAGACACAAGCTAAAAATAATAGCATTGTATTGGATCATAATCTATTACCACAAAAACTGATGCATATGCAGCACCGCTGGTAGGAAATTTGTTGACATTAGTTTTTATGGTGGTTCTATGTTATGGTGAAGTTGGCATTAAAAAGTATTGTTTCAGTGCATTTATTTAATTGCTTTGAATTTTCACACAGCCTGTATATGGATTTGCTTCCGGTGACCCCTTGCGGTTTAAGAGAGCTGTGGGACACAAGGATCTCTTCTATATTGATGACAGGGAGGTAGACTTCAAAGAGGTAGGGGCTCTACTAATGGATGAATCAAATAACTTTTGTACTTATTTTATTATAGGGATCAATTTGAAAATTTTCTTATTCATTGGCTCTGTGCAGATTATTGAGGCCCCTCTACCTAAAGCTCCTCTTGATACAGCAGTTGTAGCTCACTGGCTAGCCATTGAGGGAGTCCAGCCTGCAATTCCAGAGAATCCTCCTGTAGATGGTTAGCTCATATATCTTATCTTATTTTACTCTTTAAAAGAGGGAGTTGGGGGGTTATGCTAGGTTCTACACCCACCCCCACGTTGATCTTTTGTGGCTGTAAATATGTAGGTATGTGTTATTCGTGAGATTTTTATAGAAAAATATTGAATCTTTGAATATGAGTATACGAGGTGGTTAGTTGGTGTTCAATTGGAGGATAGTTAATTACCTGTTGCATTTTATATTCTAGAACTAACATTTAGTTAGGATATTTGGATCCATTCCAACACAAATACCTTCTAGTTATCTGTATATGGATTTGCTTCCGGTGACCCCTTGCGGTTTAAGTTATCTTCACAAAACTTACATCATATTGTTACCTGCTTTATGTATACAATGTTCCTTGGGTGAGGAAGAGATTAGTTGTGGGATCTATTAACAGACCTTAGTGTGATTAAATCCGTGTTTATAATGTTCCTTGCTTGTTCATTATTTGTAGATTTTGGTATTATCTGACAATTAGTGTTTCACTTCAGCTATCGTAGCACCAACAGAGAATAAAAGGACAGAGCATGGGAAAGATGATGGACTTCCTGTTGACATCAAGCTTCCTGTTAAGCATGTGTTATCTAGAGAACTCCAGGTATTGTGGTTACTGTATATTGTTAGAGCCTTACATAAGATTTATATTCTTCTTTACTGGTTTCGTTTGCAGATGTATTTTGATAAAATAGCAGAGCTTACAATGAGTAGATCTGAAACCTCAGTTTTTAGAGAAGCATTAGTGAGCTTATCAAGAGACTCAGGCCTTCATCCGTTGGTTCCTTACTTTTCCTACTTCATCGCCGATGAGGTTGTTATCTTGCTCTTAGAGTCTATATTGTGCGAGCTGGCATTGCCTTACAATGTATATCCTTATAATTTCAGGTTACCCGGAGTTTAGGTGATCTTCCTGTTTTATTTGCTCTCATGCGTGTAGTCCAAAGCCTCCTACACAATCCCCACATTCATATTGAACCATATGTAAGTGGTTGATCAGTCAACTTTGATGCTTCTACTTTCTAGTTGTTTTGTTTTTAGCATTGCACACTTATGTTTGCAGCATATTTCTGCTAAAGAAACAAAATTTCTCTTGATTGCCAGTTGCATCAGTTGATGCCGTCAATTATCACCTGCATGGTTGCGAAAAGGCTTGGGCATAGGCTTTCAGACAACCATTGGGAGCTTAGAGACTTCTCTGCTAATTTGGTTGGTTCAGTATGTCGAAGGTGAGTGAACACGAAGAGTAACTACTCAAATACCTATGCATCGCAATGGGCTTCAAATAGACATATAATAAGTAATAAAAAATATGAAAAAGGCGTATATATTTCGTGAATTAATCTTGTTACAAGCCATACAAGCGAATGATCAAATAGTCCACAGAATATGAAAATATCCCACTAACTCAGGATGTTACCACTACTAGGTTCAAAAATATATATCATAAATTTTAAATTTTTAGAAGTTTTAAAGCTGCATGCACAAGGATCTACTTGTAGAGAAACTCAACTGGAGAAGGACGAGAAGAAAGACTTGAGTAGCTTCTTTTATCAGATAGTAATATGTGCTATCTAACCTCATTCTACTCAGATCCAAGAATGTTATCAGAATCTAATCTGTTCTTGATGGTTACAGTTTCTAGACATAATCTTTAGAATCATTTCCACACCATTATCATAGTTCTTCATTTCTTCTATTCCCTCCATTCTCTTATACATGACATTTGTTATTTCATTTTTGGATGAATGGTGTACGGACTCTCTGCACTGACTTCTGGATGAATGGGAAGTCAATAGTGGTTTGACCTCCATTTCCTACTGTGTCAGTTATTTATTTCTAGGATAAGTCCATTTTATCCCCCTCAATTCTTGCCTTTGTAACACACCCCCAAACTTCCAATACCATACAATTTACCCGCTTGGAAATTCGGGGGGGGGGGGGGGGGGGGTTGCAAAATACCTGGTTTTGAAGTTCAGTGGTGTGTTTTAGACAAAGGCAAGTAGAATGGACTTATCCCTTTATTTCTTGGCGAGACAAGAACAATTACCATCAGTTATGGAACCGTTTCCTCACTTGCATAATTCTACTAATAAATAGAATGTTAGGTAGTATTTGTTTTATGTTACATTGATTTTTGCATTTTTCTAGGCCATGTAGACTAAAAGCTCCACGCTTTATCTCGATGCATATATTTAGTTGGCGGTGACTTTGTCTCATGTGAAGTCCCCTTAGAGAAACGATAGGGGAGAACCCCACTTAGAAATATAGCATACAGTAGATAATAAAGCACAAAAAATTTCAAGACCCAACAAGAACAAGGTCTACAAGATCATAAAAGCTAGGAAACTGGACACTGGAGAGTGTTAATACAGATGGAAACTAATAACCAAACATATTTCCATGTGGGGCAGGAACTTGCTTGAGGCTTATTCCTTACGGATTTACTATGTGTGATAGCACCTCTTCTTAGATTTATGTTTAGTTGGAGGAGCTTTGTCACAATTACTAGGGGTGGGCGTTCGGTTTCCTCGGTTTAATTGGATCGGGTTTTTCGGGTTGCTTGGAATTCGGTTTTCGTAAAATGTAAACCGAAGGAAGTTCTAGAAAAATATCAACCGAGCAAAATAAACCGAAGAAGATCGGTTCGGTTTTTTCGGGGTTCAGTTTTTACCGAGAAAGATCTATGCCACAGACCGCGGTTGACTTCACGCGAGTACGCACGGCCTGCCCAGCTTTGCCCGAGGGCGTGTGCTTGATTTGGAGAGGGAACAGGATTTGTGGATCTATTAGCTGTCATGTATTTGAGTGCTTATGTTAACACACTTCTGTTATGAAGTCCCTGCGAATGGTTGAACATTACTTAAGTTGCTCTGTGGCTAGAGGTTAATTGGTTTCTGCTGCTTGTGCTGATTGATTGCCTTTTGATGTTGCTTTCATTGAAATACAAACATTTCTTTTTGTAGGTTTGGTCATGCGTATCACAACATCCAAACCCGGGTGACAAGGACGTTGGTCCAGGGATTTCTTGATCCTCAGAAATCATTGACACAACACTATGGTGCGATTCAAGGGATATCTGCATTGGGGCCCAGTGCAGTAAGTCCTGTTCAAGCTAATCTAATTTTATATTTCAGCAAAATTTTGCTCACAATTTTTGTTCTTTACCAGATTAGGCTTCTGCTTTTGCCCAACCTCGAGACATACATGCAGCTTTTAGAGCCGGAATTACAACTTGATAAGCAGAAAAATGAGATGAAAAGAAAGGAAGCATGGCGTGTTTATGGTGCCCTGCTGGTTAGATTACAAGCTTTCAATGAATACATGTTATCTATTTTTATGCACCAGCTTCTTACCTGTGGAATGTATTTTTCAGTGTGCTGCAGGAAAATGCTTATATGATCGGCTCAAGTTGTTTCCTAATTTGCTTTCTCCATCAACACGGCCTCTTTTGAGGAGTAATAAGAGAGTCGTGACTAACAACCCAAGTAAGTTGGTACTTCTATATAATATATGTGTTGCTACTTGCTTGGCAACGCACAACAAATAAAAATGGTTATTTTATCGGCTGAACAATTTCTTCTCAGATACATAATACTGCAAAATGTTGAAATTATTAAGGTGTGAAAGTAAGGCTATGGTCAATTCAAATTTCAGATAAACGGAAGTCTAGTACAGATCTCTCCACATCCCAGCCACCTCTGAAGAAGATGACAACAGATGGTGCGATGAATTCTATGACTTCAGCTCCCATGCCAGGAACCATGGATGGCTTCTCCACCCAATTACCCAACCCTAGCATGACGCAAACTTCATCCTCTGGGCAATTGGTGGAAAGCACCGCATCAGGTGTGATTCGGAGGGATCAGGGAAGCAACCACACGCAAAGAGTTTCCACAGTGCTGAGGCTAGCCTGGAAGGAGGACCAAAATGCTGGGCATCTGTTGAGTTCATTGTACGAGGTATTCGGTGAAGCCATCTTCTCCTTTGTTCAACCACCAGAGATATCGTTCTTTTTGTAGGAAGCAAATGCATAGTGTTCAGAGCTATGTAATATGCATTGTACCATTAGGCTGGTCTTGTGGAATTCTTGAAACTGAAATTGACGTCTAGGAATCTTGTAGTGATCTCTGATGCTAGATTTAATCGCTTGGTGACTTGCTGCTGCAATATTTTATGTGCTGATTTCTTGAAGTTTTATGTTTATTGTAGTAATTTTATCTAATGTAAACATTTTATTACGCTCTACTGGTGCGCCATTTTATGGCATATGTACATTTTTGAACCTTACTGATTAAGCAGAGTTGTCGTTGACATGTGCTAATGCCAATGTATTATTTGCGTTGATGAAGGTTGCATAAAACGAGAGAAAAAAATCACCCATATGAGACTTACCTTTTTTTAAATACTTTTTAATTTTCAGGGTTTAGCTAGGTCACATACACAACTCATGATATTTTTTTTTCCTACATAAGTTAGCAGCTGCAGAACCGAACAAAACAATAGGGATGCAGAGTGGGAGCAGCAACAGCTGCAGAGGCCTTCTCTGTGTTTTGACATTTTTAACAACAGTCTGTTGAACATTTAAACTTTGTTGTGAATTTATTTTTTTAGCCTTTAACTAAAAGAACTATACCTTTTTACTTCCAAGTTTTCTTTTTTTAGGTAAGACCTCACAAAAATAACTACCGAATATAGCTATCAAAATTACATTCTTCCTTTAAAATATGGTTGATGTAGGCCAATGGAACTGACAGCCAATTCGATGTTTCGCCCATCACGCATCCTTCCTTGCCTATCAAGTGAGCAGCTTTATATGCTGATCGTCACACCAATTGGACCTTCATTTCCCGGAACGATTTTAACCTGCTATCGAGGTTTTGGATTATTGTCCCATACATAGAACAGTTTACTCCAACCTGTGTTAGCATCCCCACCACCTCCAAATTATCTATTTTAATTATCACTCTATCCACCCCTTCTCCATAGTCAGTTCTGTGGCTTGCCTACATGCCAACACTTCCGTCTGTGGCATTTGCTACCTGTGAATAAAAACTAGTTGTTGCAGCCACAAAATTCCCAAAGCATTCCTCATGTCCACCCCTGATGCTCCCTTATGTTTATTTGATGAAAATGCACCATCCGCATTCAGTGGCGGAGGACGGAAAAAAAATTAGGTGTGGCGGTGTGGCCCATGATCTTCTGCTTAAGATGCACAACTAGTGCCCGGGTTTCAGTAACTCTTCAAATCTGCAAAATACATTACACAAATGCAATTTTAGTATCAAATTTGTATACTTCAAACCCACAAAAATATTCTGAAATTGTTAACATTTGAAGAATATGTACATCTTTGTGAAGCCAATGCTTTTCCTTTTCTCTTTCTATCCATTTTTTGGTTGATAAGTTGATTGCTTGGCTAGTTGGCTGCTTGCCTGCTTCTGCCTGACTGCTTGCCTTCTTCCTGCTGGCTGCTGCGGTGCTGCCTGCCGCCTGCCTTGCCTCCTGCTGCCGCGGTGTTGCCTGCCTGCCTGGCCGCCGGCCCGCCGCGCCGCTGCCCTGCGCAGCCGTGCCGCCGCGCGCTGCCTCGCGTCGCCGGCTCGCCGCGCCGCCGCAGCGCCGGCGCTCGCCCTGTCGGCCGTCGCCCGCAGCGCCGCCTCTCGCCTGCTCTGCCGATGAGGATGGATCGGGGATTGGGGATTAGAGAAATTTGGGTTAGGGTTTCATGGTAAAGAGCCTAATTTACACAAGAAAACAAGCCGCACACGGCTTTGGCATCTCGAAGGTCGCAGCGTTGTTCAGCCTGCGCTCTATCGCCGTCTCGCGGTCGTCGCGGTCTCTGCGTCTCGCACTCTGCAGACCTGAACTCCCGGGGGTAGGCGGGAGGAGAAGGTATGGCGAGCGCCATACCTCGCCCTACCGAGCCCTCCGCCCCTGTCCGCATTTACCCATTTGGTGGCTTCGTCCACCCCTGTGCCGGACTTGGAATGGTGAGGTTCTTCTGCTCCCTCAGGTTCGCCCACTCTTCCAGCTGGAACAACACCCTTTCCGCCACAGTTGAGGGATGGTCCGGAGTTTTAATACTCCAGCACATAATGGTTCCGGGTTACTTCCTCCATCCCAAAATGTAAGCATTTTTGAGGCTGGCACGGGTATTAAGAAAGTAGGTGAGAATAATTGAAGAAGGTGTGTGATTGGTTGAAAAGAGAATGTAGGTGAAAAAGAATGGTTGTGATTGGTTGAGAGGAGAAGGTAGGTAGAAAAATAGCTTCATTTTGGGACAAAGTACTGTGCTAAAAATAGCTACATTTTGGGACGGAGGTAGTAACTAGCAGTCTCCACCCCTGACGAGCCAGCAGAGCTTGATTGAAATCATGTAAATCCCGAAATCCCGATCCACCATTTCTCTTCGTTCGACACGTACGTTGCCATTCTATCCAGTGCGTCTTCCTTTGTCCTTTCTTTGCACCCCACCAAAAATCTGAGATCATTGAATGTAAGTCCGTATCTGAGAACATAGGCCTTTGGAGATCTGAAACACACTCAGAGTACTTCCTCAGTCCAAAAAAAGTCAACGAATCTTGACAACGAATCTTGACATACTCTATGTCCAGATTCGTTGTAGTACGAGGTTGGTTTTTTTACAGAGAAAGGACGTCGGTATCGTCAATAGTACAAATTTTATCAAATTCTCCTTCCCTGACTTCGACAAACCCTGCCACTTAAGAGTCGAAATTTTCTCCCACATCTTTTACTTGATGTTCTTAAAAGCACCTTCTTTTGATCTACCAACCAGTGTTGGCAGTCCAAGATATTTATGATATTTTTAGAATTTGACAAAACCACATGTGGGATATTTTTTTAATAGAAGTACTTGACTACTACCATAAAGGAATACTCCCTGAGTTCCAAAATATAAGGGATTTTGATCGGATGGGACATATCCTAGTACTACATATCTGGACTGTCCAAATTCTCCCATTCGATCAAAATCCCTTATATTTTGGCACAAAGGGAGTAGTTTACTGTGTTACGTGTGTTTTAAAAACTGAAGAAAAATAACATATTTGCTAAATGACATTTGACAAAAAAAGAATCAATGCAAATCTTACTATTTTGTGAGCTTCATACATACTCCACAATTTGTATGCCATGACCTCCTTCTCTAGTCTAACATTATCATTTGGAGGGTGGGCATCTCCAGCGAGTGGTTAGGTGACAATGGACAGTGGCAGTAGATTTGACGGCTGGAGTTGGCGGAGACAAGAGAGAATGACAGTGTGGGAGAATCTTCCCAGAGTTGGAGAAGAAGAGGCCGGAAAAGAAAGTGGCAATAGATAGAGGACAGCACATCGTCCGGCTCATTCTAGGCATAAGTGGACATGGCACGGAGCAGTCAACGATTGCCTCTGAAATTGAGGCAGGAGGCTTGGTGGGAGGTAGATAGGAACTAGGGTTGATTGTAGGTTGGAAAGAGAAGTATGTGGATTGTGGGATCTCAATCTAATATAGGAAAAAATTTGACTAATATGGAATGGGGATTTCACGCAAAAATAATAATGTAGAATCGATGACCATTGACCAATTCTGTAGTTAAATACGAAAGGGATTTGAAATAAAGTTTTAAGGGCCAAAAAATGAACTTTGTTAATATAAATCACCAATGATTTTGAAATATTTTCATGAAAAATGATTTTTGAAATAATTATTTCTAAAATGTTAGCACTTGATATATTTGATTTTCCTTAAAAATTTAATTTCAAAAATTTATTAGATTTGTGTAATTATTCCACATAAAATTGTGATAAAAATTCACCTCAAAAACTGTGAAAAAAGACATAATTTCTTACTTTGAAGGCATTTATTCTGAAGTTTTATGTAATTTACTCAAAGATAAAGTGATATCCGTTTAGGAGTGTCTATTTCACTACCTAATACATTTGTTGGCAGGGGCGGATCCAGCATGAGGGCGGCGGGGTCTCGAGCTCCCAATACTGCCGTGAAGACTATGAGAGAACCCACGAAGAGCCCACTAAATTTTTTTACCATAGGTAGATAGGAGGAGGGACTGCAACTCTATCTAGCTAGTTTGCTCAGACCCCACTGCTATTTCTTTCTAGATCCGTCACTGTTTGTTAGTTGCACAAATCTTCAACATAAGGAACCTTGTTTAGTGATATAGAATCCGGATGGTTTTAAACAAAAGTAGGGGTTTTAGAATGCAATATAGCTCAGGCTCGTCTTGGCTCGCATAGTCGCATGCCAAATGAGCCGAAGTCGCTAGCAGCTCAGTGGCTCACTCTGGCGCTTTTCTTTAAAACTCATGAACTTTATTGAAGATTAGATTAAAAGCATATTACATGAGCGATGATTACATCTCCCAAAGGGAGTGTTGAAAGGATTCCCAAAATGGGACTGCTTGGAGGATAATAAGCATGTATGTCTATTGTTATGACAATTCAGATCAGTTTAAAGTTGGCTTTGAGATTTCTAGCCTTTTTTGCAAGGCTATCAGCGTGCTTGTTTGCTTCTCTTGGAATCCATTTGATAATGATTTGTGTTGAGTTTTACTGGAAGTATAGTCATCCTGTTGCAAAGTTTGAACAATGATCCCGCAATCGGAAAGGAATACCGTGGTTCCCATAGAAAGTGCAGAGCATATCTGATAGGCCATGATTATTCCTACAAGTTCAGCAAGCAAAGACGAAATATAGTTTTTGGAATATGCTTTTATCAGATAAAAAATTCCAAATCATGCTTCATTGTCCTTCCAATATGTGTAAACATAGCAACGGGTACCTGTAGGTAAGGGCTGAACAGAATGTATAAGTGTTTGGTCTTGATTGATTACCTGTTGCTCTTGTTGTCGGTTTTGCATAATGTGTTCATAAGTTTTTGCCATAGCTTCTGCTGCGTTACAGACCTAAAAAAGCTTACAAGTTTTTGAATTGAAAATATGGTCATTTCTAGCTTTCTAGATTTTCCATAGTAAAACTGAAATTTTTAAAAGAGGTTTGGCATTAGTGAAGTTGCTACTACCTCCATCCCAAAATATAGCAATTTTTGGCCATGAATCTGAACATATAGCCAGAAATACTTATATTTTGGGACGAAGGGAATAGAAGATAAGACAATGTCTCAAATAGCGTGTAAATGGTTAAGGGCATCTGCTTTGAGTTGAAAATCATAGATGAACCAAATAAGCCTGCTGAAATAATAATGAAAACGCAGTTGGAAGTTTTCGGACATAGGAGCTTACACGAGTAAGTTTACTTACCGCACCTATTTCACTAGGTCAATAAAATTTGAGAGAATCCCTTATATACCACTCTAAATTAACCGGCTCCCTTATATGCCACTTCAAATCGGCTTCTCCCTTTTATGCCACCGGTTCAAGTTTCTCCTCCCTTTTATGCCATTGCCGTCAGTCCACAGTCAGTTGACCGTTAACTTCATTGTAAAAAGACGCATTTGCCCTTTAGAATTAGTATGCAACCAATAATAGGTATTTTAGTACTAATATAGCTACCAGATACAACATATGAAAATTGATTTTTTCTGCATCACATTCAATTTTAGCCATTACCATCACAAATAAATTTTCAATGTAAGCATGAAACATGCAGTTTTCCAACAATATTTTTAATATAAAGAGCATTTTTCACTGGTTCTGACAAAATTTTGTTCACTAAAAAAGGATTTAAAATAAATTAGTTATGATTTTTTTGAAGTTTACACTTTTTTAGTTGAGAGGGCATATTGGCCATTTACGGAAAAAAACTAACCTTTGACTAATAGTCAACTGTGGGAGTCGCTTAAAAGGGTGAAAAAACTTGAATTAGTGGCATATAAGGGAGAAGCCAATTTTGAGTGGCATATAAGGAAACTGGTCAAATTCTAGTGGCATATAAGGGATTCTCTCATAAAATTTGCCCTACGGAAGAGAACATACATGATTTGGGCGGCCCTTAAATGTAAGTTCTTTTTTATTGGTAGTGAATAACCGATGTTAGACATCGGATCGCCTTGAGAAGTTTGGGATGTCACACCCGGATGTTTGCCATCTTTGTGATCAACAGGAGGAGACAGTACCTACGTTACCCAGATACGGGGATACGGATACGGATACGCGATACGTCGATACGGGGATACGCTTATATATATATACATATATACATATATATATATATATATACATATATACATATATACATATATATACATATATATATATATATATATACATATATACATATATACATATATATACATATATATATATACATATACATATATATTAAAAACACACAAAAAATTAAGGAAATTGTATTTATATATATTAAAAATACAAAAAAATCAAGGAACTTTTGTAAAGAAATAGTGATATAATACTAGTATTAGTGTAGCCGATTCCATATCAATATTCTGCAATTTTCTCTTCTATAGGCAATTCAAATTAAGAAGCGATTAAGATCCCCAAAACCAAAGATTAATAGTTCAATCATATATTTCTTGATGACTTTGCATCAACATTAACAGCCGCACTAACCAGTAACCACTAGGATTGCTAGATGCACTACCACTTGTAACTAACAAAAACGGTAGTACTTTGTCCTAAGGAAAACAAGAAAGGCGCAGCAGATTCAAGCATGAAACTTTTGAAGAGAATGGATTACCCGGCCAGGCGGTCAAGCGAAGAAAGAAAAAGTTCTGCTGTCGAGGTTGGCGGCGAAAGAGGTGCGCCGCCGCCCAGCAGCGGCGGCTCTGTCGTCTCGCGGAGGGGACGTTGTGGCCCCATGCACGGCAGCGACGCGCGCGGCTGCAGCCGGCGTCCGGCGGCAACGCCGGGCATGCACGAGAGACATCAGCCATCAAGTTGGGCCAAAGCTCGTGCGGTGGCGCATCCCAGATGCGAGCGAAGACAGAGGAAGGTCGTGGGCGTATCGCTGGCGTATCTTGATTTATTTATTTTTTTGCAAATCACAAATATGTGGGATACGTACGGGATACGTATTGGAGCGTATCCGATACGTATCCGTATCCGTTGCCGTATCCGACACGGATACGTGACTATACAAGCATATCAGGGTAACCCACAACACATCCTTGTGTCTTACATCCGTCCCATAATCATTGTATTTCTAGGATTCTCTAACTTCCTCAAGGCGATTCTCTAACTGATGATCCCAAGTGGTCAGAGGTGTTTCTAAGAAAGCTAAGAAATGGCTAAACTCTCTAATTATCTTAGTGGCTTGGAAAATTTGGAAACACTGAATGATTGTGTCTTTAACAATGCCACACCTAGTACTGCTGCCGTATTGGATGCTGTGCCAAGAGAGTTTATTATGGTGTACTGCTAGAGCCTATTCATTAACTCTTGGTCCGGTCACTCCCCATGTAGGAGCTTAGCTCCTAATGGAGTTGTTGCGCATCGCTTCGGTGAAGCCCTTTATCTTTTTTTTAGAGTGTTCTTATTGAAGTTGTTGGTCATATGGGTCCGGGGTACCCATGCTGAGGGGAAAAAGTCCTTTCCCCCAGCCACGTGGCCGAGCGGCCCGGATCCCCCCTCAGGGGGTCAGACGCGTGGGTAATAAATAGCCAAGAGGCGCCCGAGTCCGCCTAGGGGGCTCGGGGTATCCTGTCGCACCCCGAGGCCCTCACTCGGTTGCCACGTGGCGGTCGAGTGGGCGGAGATAGGGGCGTTGCCAGGCGTATTTACGGGCGGCGCCCCAACCGCCCCCCGTCGCATTTAATGCGGTGTGGCTGGTCGTGCGCCGCCCAGTGATTGACGTGCATCAATTTCCTTGACCGGGCTCTGACCGGCCACCGGCAGATGGGACAGGCGGCATCGCACCCACGTCCTACCCTGTGTCAGGCGGCGTGGGGCAAGGTATGCCCCGTCTCATCAACGGCAGAGGATCGATGTTCGACCGGTGCATCCCATGCGCATGTACCCACAAAAGTCTACAGGAATTTATGAAGGAATGACAGGGATGTCCCCCGTGTCAGGCGAAGGACGACGCTGGGGCCCACCTGAGGACGAGCGGCCACCTTACTTTCGGCCTAAGGCATGGGCGGTAGCTCGACCCAGGTTGATGTGGGCCCCTCTCTAGGAAGGAGATGTGTAGAGGCGGTGCATGTGGTATCCCCTTGAACTATAAAAGAAGGACCTTGCCCACCGAGCAAGAGGGTGACTATTGGGAGCTTGAGCCTTAGGAGAAGACTAGCCAACCGTCTCTCTTGGGTTTGAGATCTCTTGTAATAGCGTAAACAGAAATCCACACAAAGGAGTAGGGTATTACGCTTCCCAGCGGCCCGAACCTGGATAATCTCTCGTCGTCCTCTTGATCGCCATCCACCACGCTAGCCTAATCCACGGCGAGGTTACGCTCTTGATCATCGTGCCCTATCCCCTGGCCGAACTCACAAAGAGGGGTCTCACGTCCTCCCGCTCTTTGTTGTACAAACTTTCTATTCTCTTCTAAGAAATAAAACAATGAGCAATATTTTTTGGGTCAGTTGTAACCTGTCCATTCATGGGGGTTCCTAACGCGCGCGTATGCGCCGCGAGCATAAGTCATGCACACCCGCTGACGCGTACGCTGTGCCCCGTCGCTAACCATGTGATTAGCACTAATGATGATGTGATTAGTGATTAGTGCTAATCATAATTAGTGCCTACAAGAACTTTTTATTTTTTCTAATAGATTGAAAACTTTAAGTTAGATTTGAAAACTTTCGACTTAAGATTTAAACTTTGAAGTCAAATTTTGAAATCTTTCAACTCAAATATTGAAAATTTTCAACTCAAATTTAAATTTGCAATATAAAATTTGAAAACTTTCAACTCGAGATTTGGAAACTTACAACTCGAGATTTGAAAACTTTCAACTCAAATTTGAAACTTTCAGCTCGAGATTTGAAAACTTTCAACTCAGATTTTTTGAATTATAAAAAGTATTTTCCATTAAAAATATCTTACTTCCTCCGTTTTATATTATAAGATTTTCTAACATTGCCCACATTTATATATATGTTAATGAATCTAGACATATATATATATATATATATATATATATGAATGTGGACAATGCTAGAAAGTCTTATAACCTGAAACAGAGATAGTATAATAGAAATTTTTAACTTTCACTACATCCTAAATTAATTAAGATGAAAACATTAAAATAAAAGATTATGCATGCATGCGTGTGTAGGGACATGCATGTGTGGGACCAAGGTGGATGCGCAGTTGATCTGCCGTGTGCATGCGAGATAAGCATATGGCGCATCTGCGCGAATTAGCAAAACCGCCATTGATGAGGATACTTCAAATATTTTTTCTCCCTTTCCTATTTAGAACTGCTTGTTGAAAAAAAAAGGTGTTTCTATCTAAAATCTCGCACGGTTGCACCCAATATTTCTGCGGGCCAGCCACACGCAGTCACGCACGCATCGCCGCATCAGTAAACGAGCTGGTCTGCTATGTTAGCCGAGCCAAAGCCAGGCTCGGCTCGGCTCTCCGCAGAGCAGATGACGATATGAGCTACTAGCAGCAGCAGCATCCAACGACAGAAAGGGAAGAGATTTTCCCTTATCCTCTTGATGGAGCTCCTCCTGCGTCCCTCCCCTCCGCCGCCGTGGGCGATTCCACGGCGGAGCTCTGGCGAGAGAACCAAACCCTGCCGCTCCCGCTCCCGCTCCCGCACGGGAACCTCTAGTGCGTGCCCATTTCCTTCTCCCTTTCCGTTTCTTGGAAGCATTTCTTGGATGATCTTTCGAGCTGTTTATTGCGATGCGAGCTCGTAGGAATTTGCTGGATTACTTTGAACATGTATGTATTTGTGTGAGCATCTTTGTTGAAAATTGAGGGTACTTTGTTTTTTTTTCTGAGCTTTTGCTTGCCACTTTTTCCTACGACAAACATGCTGGTTCCGTTTCTATTTTGGTAACATTTATTTTTCAACTGAAATAAGATAATAAATCCTTCACAATTTGGAGTTCTACCATTCAAGGTTTGTTTTGTGGAATTATAGGTGCAGGAAGCTTACCTGAGTTAGCCCATATATAATTTTTTATGCTTAACACAACAAGCTAACTTGTCAAATAGGAAATGCCAATTTATGTGTTTCACCCTACTTTGGTTGATTCTCTGATAATGCTAAGCTAACTTTGTTGCAGTGGTTTGAATACATAAGCTGCGGAGCTTTCTTGCTTTCTTGTTTTTCTTGCTTGCAATATTAGTACACATGGTAAACAGGAACCCAAGTTCACAGTTCATGTAGTTGGGATTGATCATAGAATTCACTGTAGCGAATTTTATATGATTGATAATGGAGTGGCCGCCTGGCCGGTGGACACTCATGTTGCGCCGTATAAATATCAAATAGAAACTTACACATTCTGAAGAGCGAACAATTGTTTTGAATCTTTCTGACATGTGCTACCACTTGTTTTGCAGAGCAAACATTTCCTGTCCCTTTACTGGTTGGCAAGGTTGGAAGACGTCCGTTTCCTGTGCAGTGTTCTATAGTTCGATGCTGCTTGTCATCAACTGATGCCATCCATTCTACAAGTGATGACATCCATGAAGATAATGGACACGGCCATTTTCTTATGAAGTCTACATCTGACCTTCAGGTATGATGGTGAGTCCCATGATATATATATATTTTTATCCTGTTATGTTTCACCTGATTCTTAATTATATAATGCTGTAAAATACCCCTTTATTCATTTGCATTATTTTTCTTAAAATAGTATTGTATCATCTCGATTTTTAGTACAAGTCAATCTTTACTCCTTGGGCTAATGTTTACTGATAACATCAAAACATCTTTTTTCTTTTCAGAAAGTGATATCTTCCTGTTTTGGGAAAGCATGTCTTCTCAGTTCTGTCATGCTTGTTCTACCACCCAGTTGTTTCGCAGAACCGTGTGAGCCAGAGTACTCTCTACCTAACATGCCTTTGCTTTTTGCAATTGCCATGATTGGAGCTACCGTTGGAGGTAAGATCATTACAATATGAAGTACAGAAATGATGGAGGCATGTAGAAACATGTTGTGGATAGCAAACTGGATATAACATTCAGCCTTCCAGTACACAATTTTCTTATATATCTACGGCATGATACTTATTGTGCAGAATGGTTTGAAGAAGATTAAGGTAATAGAAGAGAGTGAGAGACAAATTGGAATGAGAGAATTAGAAGTATTGAGATATAGCAAATTGAAGAAGAGAAATAGTTATTATTTCTTAACCATCATCCTTGTATTGAGGATGTTGCTATGAACACATAGACCATATCTCCAAATATCCATTACTCAAGTCTCCCTGAAGGTTGTTTTGGCCTCTTGTTAGTCCCTCCCATCCAGCCATGGTGTCCTAACCCTCCTTTTTATTGTGTTTATCCCCATAAGTCCACTGTGGTGCGTACAATCCTTTCACTTTTTGAAAAACACATACCTGGTACACCAAATGTACATTAATGAAAATTTCAATAAAATAATTCCAAAGGAGTTCATATGTACAGTACACAACTAAAAGCTAATACTTTCAAATTAACTGTTCATATTTGATTGGTTGATTGGTTAATATTTAAAGTACAGGCATACCCACTTTACCTAATGTTTGACATGTAATCCCGTATAGTACACAGAATAGACCGATTCATATGGTTATCATTTACACACATCCTAAGTTCCAAACATCCAATCTTGTTTTGTTTCTTCAATATATTGTTATTTACAATTGTAAAAAAAAAGCAGTAAATAACACAACTCTAGGCTTGAGGCATTTCACGACCCTTAGAGAAATATTAATAAGTGCATGTGCTGAGAATGTGAATTGTCGCTCACCAATGTGGGCATATGCTAAAAAAAAGAGTTTAATCCTATTTTTTAATAAAATTGCAAAATATGCATTATAGATGCCTCAAAGCCTCAAAACCCAGAGTTTTGTGAATTTGACTGTAAAAAATATCATCTATCTGTGTGTATTCTAGATGTCTTGCCTCATATATCTTTTTAGCTTATTGTTGCTTTTATTCATTTCTGATCCAGTACCAGTTATAAAGTCTTAAACTGGAAGTGTGATATCATCAGATTATTCAATTCGCATGTTTCCATTTATCTATGCAACTATGTGGGCCAGTATAGTTGGTACATCATACTACTTCATCCTCTTTAAGTTGGTTTTACTATTTCTTAATATGTTGAAAAATTTAGATATCCTGTAGGGCTCCTTGCAAGACAACGGAGAGGGGAGCTTAAACGATTGAATGATCAGCTACGTCAGATAAATGCAGCACTGAGAAGACAAGCCAAGATTGAATCTTATGCTCCTTCTTTGAGCTATGCACCGGTTGGTAGTAAGATACCTGAATCAGAAGTCATTGTTGATCCCCAGAAGGATCGCTTAATTTCATATCTGAGGGCTGGGAAGAACTATCTGAGAAACCAAGCCCCTGATAAGGCATTTCCTGAGTTTAAGGCTGCTTTTGATCTTGCACAATCCTTGGGTGATCACGTCGAAGAGAAGAAGGCGGCACGTGGATTAGGTTTGCTTCCCATCAATAATTTACTTTCATGCCTTTTTCCATGCACGTTTGAAACTGGATGTTATAATAGCCACCTTGATTGTTGTAGAATCCCCTATAGATTGCTTTTTTTATGAATGAACGTTTTTGAAATGCTCGATAATGAGACACATGTTCATATTTATGCTGATTCCTGAAGGATCTTTTTTCCATGTTCAATAAAAATTCAAGAAATGCGACCTGCAAAAATGAAAACAGCAAACAATCTACTGATGTTCGTTTTTTATTTGCATTCTTTAGGAGCATCTTTGCAGAGACAAGGCAAGTACAAGGAAGCTATAAAGTACCACTCCATGGTGTTGAACATCTCTAAGCTGACCGGAGAGGACGCAGGTGTTACAGAAGCCTACGGTGCGATCGCCGACTGCTACACTGAGCTTGGTGAGCTCGAGAAAGCAGGCAAGTTCTACGACAAGTACATCGCAAGACTGGAGAATGACTGAACAGATTTAAAGAACCGTGTGTGCAACCTTTGAGAGCTCAAGTAGGGCTGTGTCCCATCTTTTGCCTTCTTTGGCCTGTCTTGTAGCAACGTTTTTGTAGTGGACGCTCAGTTCATGGCTGTAACTGAGGCACATGCCATCTTTCAAGTTATTTCTACTAAATAGTGTCATCAGATTTTTTTTTTCTTTGTCTGGTCAAGATCGGCACCATGTTGTGTAAAATTTCTCCATCTGTTCCAAGTTATAAGCATGGCTATGTATCTGGCTATGCTTGTCCTGAATCAGGAATGCTTATGTTTTGAAACAGAGGGGAGTAGTTGTAGCAGCAGGAAGGCTTGTTCTTAACCTTGTTTTAGATAAAAGGTTTGCAAAAAATAATAGCTTTAATTGTTTTAGATAAAATATTCGCTTGAGATTTTGGGGAGTGACGGATGACACCGTTACCTATGTTATGCAGTTTTTTCCCCCTAAAAAATGGTTATAGGTTTTCTGTGAGTTTGAAATAATTGGCCTAGCCAATCATCCTTTCAGCGATACAAATTCATCGTTCTGGAAAATAATAGGTTATATAGCTGCTAGTTTATGTCCCACTAAGGATGCTTGGATTTGATATGATTTTGCCCGGAAATTCTTGAGCAATTCAATCACAATACTACATGGAGATTTTCCAACATTGCAACGTCAAACACTACATATGAAGTCACCTAACCGAATTTGGTTTAGTATAAGTTATAACCAAGGACGCATATACTGTGCACGCCAGAGAAACTTGGAGGTCAAAGATATCTTCTTATCTGTTGAATGAACATGTACGCATGTGCATACTCTAAATAAATACGGACTAAATAACACACCTTCGTAGAAATTTTGCCATCAAGGGTAAATATTTCTTGAGTTCACAAACCCACATGACGCTTTAAGTGGGCCAAGGGACCATTTTAGACTAAAAGATAAACTTAAAAAGGAATCTTTTGAATAAAATTAAAACATGAAGGGTGCCAATCTACAGAAGGGCTCCCTCCCTACAAGTTTCAAGTTGGTCCAGGACATTTCAGTTTTTCATCAGTAACTCAGCCAAAGCCTGTTAACATTCCATTCAAAATGCTGCAAACTCAGCCAAAGTCGCTCCCTATACACGAAACTTCAGGGGGAAAAAATCAGGCAGGATTGTTAGAGCTGAAATATCACAAAAATTCGAAACCATATGGATTACCCACTTGCCCAACAACCAGCATACTGGAATCTGGGCATTCGTCAGTCTAGGGTCACAGTGTACACTACATTAGTAAGCTAGGATCTTGCTCATTTTCTTGGAGGGTGAGATTTCTATTCCTGTACAAGTGATCCACTTTAGTATTCATCAAATGGAACGCAGAAATAACATGGCAGCAGATCTCTCAGAAGGAAAAAAAAAAAGCAAGCGCTGCATCAGCCGTCAATGACATTCAAAACGGTGATCAGGTAAACTGAAGTGTGGTCAGCTACGAGGCCAACCCCCACCAGAAGAGCCTAGCTGTCGGTACGGGTATTGTGGAACCCCTCGTGCACTGTAGTTTGTATCCTCTAAAGGTGGAGCATACTTGTCCATAACCGAGCTTCCAGATGCACTTGGAACCAGGGCGTACATGTCCATAACTGAGCTTCTTTGTGCACTTGGAGCCAAGAATCCAGGAGCATACTTGTCCATAATGCTATATGGTGTACTCGTACCGGGGAGTCCATATGAAGATGTTTGCTGACCATATGTAGCACCTGAAGATCCAAGGGAGTATTGACTTGTCTGTAAGTAACCATCAGCATGTCCAACATGCGTTCTTGGATGTGCCTGCTCATGCAATGTTGATGGGACCCTACTGGTTTGTAGATAATTATCATCACCAACTTGTCGACTGTACCTTGTGGGGTGTCCATGCAAAGGTGCATCACCAGTTGTGCTCTCAAGAGAATTAGTGTTCCTGTCTTCTGAGCGCTGCGTCCTATAAAACCTGTCACTATCTCTTAGAGATTGCAAACTGTACACGTTGCCAGTTGGGGCAGTGAAATGCTGCCTGTTCACTTCGAAGTCAGTACCAGGGCTGAACTTCCTGGAGATATCATCGATATTGGTATGAAATGGAGGATCAATCTTCCCTTCAAATGCATTGTTGCATTCATTATTGCTTGCTAAATATCTGCCCTGATAAGTAGCCTGCTTAGAGACAAGATGTTCTTTTGGAGGATAACTAATAAAACTATCTCGACCTGTACTCTTATCAGCAGGGTGTCCAATTGGAATAAAAGGGGAACCGCTTCTGGATTTGTTTTGAGCATTACTGGAGTCAGAGGATGACATGCTCATGTCAGAGTTCGCTTGTTCTGTGAATTTGGCACCCATAATCTCTGATCCTCTATGAGCATTTAATCTGTCTCCTGCATCTAGTTGTTTTTCTTGGTGAGTACTCTTCTTGATAGGAATAGCCATTCTTTCCTCATAAGCAACTTCCACTTGTTTTTCTGGAGGGAGGCTCCCATCAACCTGATCAGGGGTTCTTTTCCTGCTCCTGTTATGAGTGCTATTGCTTTCATCCATGCTATGCTCTTTCTCCTTTCCTGATTGAGAGATTTGCTGGTAATTAGTCTCAGCTTGTTTCTTCACAGGAAGGCTATCGGATCTATGGTACTCTTTAGCTTTCACTTGTCCATATCCAGCTTGTGTCTTCACAGGACGATCATCTGATAGAATAACCTCTCTGACATCGCATGATGTCTTCTCTGTAGTCTCTTTCTCTTTGCCTGGTCCAACATTTCGTTTGTTGCCAGCTTCAGCCTGTCTCCTCACAGGGAGATCTGATAGATTGGTCCCTTTGAGATTGCATGAAGTTTGTCCTGCATTCTCCTCTTTCCCTGATCTAGAGTTATGTATACCATAAGATTCAGTTTCTTTCATCATAGGGAGGTTATCTGATAGATTATCTTCTTCAACATGGGAAGCGATCCTCCCTATGCTAGTGTGGTTATGCTCCTCAGCTACTTTCCTGTGCTTCCTTGTCCAATCAGGATGGCTCCATAAATGGAGAGGTGGTGCAGAGGCATTCCACCCTTCAACTACTTTATCATTAACATCAACAGAACCAGGCAAATAAAATGCCTAAATTACAAGAAAAATGTTAGGAAGAACGGGTATATGATAAAAAGGGGAAGTTTAAACTTCAATAAATTTTCCTGACGGTCTTTACCTTTCCCGAAAGACAATCACTATCCTCCCAAATCAAATCATAAGGTGTCTTCTTTTGATCCAACCTGATGGCCAAAGAGTGGAGACAGATATGGAAGTAAGGAACATACGTTACACCAAAATAAGTGATATTATGTCATTATGTGAAAGCAATATCAGGTGAAATCTATTTTTTTTAAAAAAAACATAGTTAAAATCCAATCAGCCCCAATTTGGCCCAGGCGATCAGATGCTTCACATTAAATACTTTAGATCTTCACCTGATATTTTGCCATGTGTTAGTAAGACAAGTTCAACTCAATTTTCTAAGGAATGGGTACGTGTTGGTTACCTTTTTGTTTCCTTTGGGACAATCAATATAACGAGCTTAGGCTTAAAGGTCAATGCCTTGTCAATAAATTTGTTCGCAAGAGATGCTTTGACTCCAAAAGGAGGATTAAGCCCCATTATCTAATCAAGAAGCAATCAGATGTTATAATTATTTTAAATTAGCAAATTTGAGTTAAATAATGTCCAAATTAAACATACTAGTTTGGATCCATGAGGCAATTCTTTTGGCCGTACAGTCATCCAATCTTTCCTTTCGAAGGCGAAGCAATTCTGCAAAACACATACACAATGCATGCTTATCAGAATGTGCATGATGACCTGTTAAATGCTAATAGACTTCACTTTCTGGCTATGATAATAGAGTTTGGAACTGGCTGAGTTCTAACGCATTTGCATTGAGGAGTTCTATTTAATATAAAAGAAAGCAATGGCATTCCAAAGGATCATAAAACTCAGATTTTTTTTCCCCAGAAGGAAAATTGAATGAAAAATGATTGATGGCCTCCATTTTACCTGCGGCTGGATAAGATCATAATTCTTGAAATGACACTTCTTCTGGACTTTGTCAAGTTTTTCTTTCATCAATCGGCTGAAATCATTTGCACCACAGCAGAAGTCCACTATCTACAGTTAATTAAATTTAAAATGATCAAGGACTGGTGTAAAACACAGCATTGGACTAGTAATGTTATATATCTGTTTCAGTCAAGGGATAATTTTTTTTTAATTAGAACAATATTTTCAGACCAAAGACCATATGGTCCAGCTTCTATTAAAAGCTGCAAGGAACAAGTTTCTTTTGCACGGGACACCAGCTTACAGTGGCAGGCTGAAAGCACAGGGACCTATTTGGGGACAACCATCCATACACCATTCGAAAGACCCAACAGAAGAACTCAGAGATAACCCAGCTCGATTTTTATGAGAACAGTAAAGGTGAGCCATACTCAAATATTTATATCAATATAAAGGTGTACAATTATCATATGATACCAGATACAAACGTATCAAAATTGAATATTGATATGGATAAAAGCTCTAATCATTCCTTAAAGAGCACCAACTAAGATAACCTGCCAAATTAGACAGATCACTACTACTATAGAAGTGCAGGCACTACTGGTAGCTTATTAGGCCACAGCCATTTTATTGTATTACACTCATCATATGGAGGATGTAATCTACCAATGAATAAACATGTGATTCTTGTACTAAAAAATACATACCGTGTCACCAGGTTCCACGTAGCAATGAAGCTTATCAACAATCTATACCAAGAAACAAGAAAAGTAAAGTTACAACTATATTACCCAATCAAGAGAAATAACACATAAACAAGAAAATTACATAAACCACATGCTAAAGGTTATGTTAGCAGAACACCGCAGATTTATTGGCTAATGGCACTCATCCCCAAGGTATTGCATTCGGTTGGTTTTACTATGGATCAATGAACGTTGTCAACAAATTTGTCCCTGCCTCCAACAAAATCCTACTAAGCTTAGCTTTGGTTGAGACACAACCACATGAGACAATGGTACAGTACTACAGTTGTTCACCTTGCTAGCAGACATCAATTTGAACACAAGCATATGCTACATTTTGGCTCTGGTTAGGTCTATGAAAATTTATGACCACAAGCCTTGTTTGGGTGCATTTAGACATGAAATTTGGGGTTCTCTAGAGCTATGACCATAAATGTGCAGTTTTTTTTCTCGAAAATGCAAGAGAACTGCGTTTCATTTCATTAAGGGGAAGAAAACAAAGCGAAGATAAATGTGTGGTTTTAAGCGATGTATTAATAAGAAATCATGGAAGTATGCATGAGGTGATGACTGCAAGAAATCAGAGTCAGGTTTTATCATTTGTGTTTAGAAGTAATATCCTTGACAAGTTTATGGTGTCCAGCCAAAATTTTCCTAGGGAAGATCCAGTTTGTTCGCACTTGTTTCCTTCTCCTTAAGTCATTGTATGTATAGTGAATAATAAGATAAGTCTTTATAAGTACATCAACATAGCATACTGACATTCTTATTTGATGATCTACAGTGAGGATAAGAGGATTAGGAAAACATGTCAAAAAATCTGCTCCCTAGCCAGATGGCAAAAAAACATATTCTACAATGTTTTTTTTTTAAGAGCAAGGGTTTTCAAGATTCTATATTTGAATCAGGTATATAACACATAAAAAAAAGCATCTATTCTACAAGGAAGAAAGATGTCATTTATGCCTTGAATTGGACCTTTTTAAAAAGGCAAAAAATCAGACAGGATTTCTGGTTTTTCTCTACTTTCTTAAACCTAGTCTGCAATATTTCATTTTTTTTTGAGGCAGAAAACACTTCTCAACAAATTGCACGCAAGTGTGTGTGTGTGTGTGTATGTATATGTGTATGTATATGTATATGTATATGTATATGTATATGTATATGTATATGTATATGTATATGTATATGTATATGTATATGTATATGTATATGTATATGTATATGTATATGTATATGTATATGTATATGTATATGTATATGTATATGTATATGTATATGTATATGTATATGTATGTATAACCGCAGTTAAATGCCAATGTGGTTATCATAACTCATAAAGCCATCAGCCATGCTAGAAAACAGATGAGAGGATATTTGTTTACAAGAGCCATCACAAGATGACACTTAGATTGAGACTGGAGACTTTCTTTTCAATGAATCTCTGCATCTAACATCCGGTTTGTGGTGCCTTTCCAAATAGATCCGGAGGGTTAATAGGTATATAGTTACGCATTTATATACAACTCACTATCAACATATATCTGGATTCAAGTATACCTCAACAAGCTTTTCCACCTTTGTAAAATGCCGACCAAACGAACTGTAGCGAGTACCATAAATGAAAGGTGATATATATACTCTGAGCTTACTCTGGAAGGACAAACAATCAAAAGTTGGTAAAAATTAGTCAAATACCATTACATTGCAAGGTATAAGGGAAAATTTTCCACCCAACTAAACATCATAACTCCAAAGTAATTACATATTGGAGAAAATTAGTGCTCATTCATGCAAACACATAGTGAAAAACATATAAGATTGCAACTTTTCACAGAAAAAAAATGTACTCAAGTCAAGAATAGTAGATGTTTTGGACATGATTTCAGACACCATTTGGAAGCAGCGAAATGGACCCATTTTTGATAATGTTCCCCCTCTGTCCTCTCTTGGATGGCATTCTTTAAGAATGACTTATCCCTTCTTTTTCGTTTAGGTATAGATGAGAGATCAACTCTTTCCTCCTGGTTGAGTCGTTTGTAATTTACTTTATTTTATTATAATATATTTACTGTGGGTGCTTCCCCTACAGTGTTTTCCCTAAAAAAATCAGATACCAATGCTGGGGTGGTATTATTTACCCCTGTTAACTCCAAACAGAGCATACCCACATTAGTGCAGGTACTGTAACTCCGATGCACATTCTCTTCCAACCTTCCTACTATTGCCATACAATACACTTTTTTTTAATGAAAACTAGTATTACACTATTACTAGTAGTTGCTGAATCCTGTCCTCCAGCCAGCCTGTAGGTCACCTGGTCACTGCTGTTGCCTCCATGACTGTGTCTAGAGGGAGTGAGGGACTCATTGTACCAAGGCTGTCACTGCCTCTTTGTGACTGTTATGCACTGAGTCACTCATAAGGGTTGCAAGCGTCCCACCCCTACTAGACAACCCAAGTGCCGGACATACCCTCCCAATGGCCAAGCCTAAACACCAGGATTACCTTCAGCACCCACATTGGTCTGGCTTGGGAGCTACCCAATTTGAGCTTAGGAACAGATATTTTGTATGTAATGCGTGGTGAGCTCAGCCACCAAATCAAGAGCTCAGCAAATTAGTGATAGATCGCCCCAAGTTGCTTCTGTGGTCTTCTTTTGCTTTAAACAATGAAGGTAGTGTTAGGAGATAGCCTAGTTGTAGTAGTATGTGCGCATTCAAAGAACAACTTTTATGGCAACCGCAAGATAATTAAAATCAATTAAGGGCATAAGGGGCAACACTAGACTAAGTCCCCCCCCCCCTCGCAGGGAAAAGGACAGGTATACTTGGATTTTTCCAAATAAATCCAAATGACAGCTATTCCTGACCAGACCCATCGGAAGCAGATAGTGCTAAAACCTCCATAATATAGCTATAAGTTAGTGGAGGAGCACAAATTTGCACTCCAAAGCCCAAATGGTATAAGACATCATTCAAGTAAAAGAGATTACTTAGTAATGCCAGTATTAATGGAAAACACAAGTACCAGTTAAAACATAAGAAGAGTACCATACATATTTCACACTAGATGTTAGGAATGGCACTATTAATGGAAAACACACAAGTACCAGTTGAAACATAAAAAATATGTATAATACATATTTCACACTAGAAAGCAAATACGCATCACATCTAGATCCAGGAGAGGGCCTGTGCAGTAAAAATCTCAAAGCAGGAATAATATATAAAGATTCTATAAAATAATGCAATGAAAACATAGATTAATATATGTCTAGTATTTACATACATGCCATCTTGTAAGCTGCTTCAAGACTTCAGGTTCACAGACTGCTTTAGCATCATTAACATTGCCTCCATTTTCCAGCATTTTTAAAGCTGCCCCTACAGCCTACAAATGCCATCATTAAGAAAACAGAGTCCAAATAATAAATAGTGTGAACTGGGTATCAATTCATGTTAGAACTAATGACCTGAACAGAACGCTCAAGCTTGCCAGTCGCAATAATCCTGTCAACCTGCCTGCCCGAGTATGCATGAGTTGAAGGCATCAAGCACTTTCTTGAAATATCCTTTAATGTCAAATAAGAGGCTTCTCTTTCCACCAAGGCCATTACCCTATAAGACAAAAAAAATCTTGTTTCAGCTCCATGAGGATTCTTAAATATAAACACTACATACTGTCTCATAATCATTTACTCTGCACATGACAAGATAGAACAAAACAATTTAAAAAGAACAGAATATGAAAGAAAACTGTAGCAATATAAATATAAATGACTAAAAAACTAAAAATGCCTAGGTACAAATAGTTGTGACCTCGATCCCCAGTAATTATGTAGAAGCGACTCACCTCTTCTCTGTTTCGCTATCCACTCTAGGAAATGAACTTTGGGGTATCTTCGTAGAAGTAGATGATGAAGGCATAGTTACCAACAGTTTTCCCTGCTCTTTTGCAGGTTTTGTAATGCCTGTAGAAGCATCCTTGAGCAGACATGGATCAGGCTGTGGTGTATCTTTCAAGAACCTGGCTTTTTTCTTATCGGGTTTGACAACAAATTGCTCAGATGAACTCCTAGCACTAATCTTTCTGGCTCGATCACTTTCTTGAATGCAAACCATATCTGGCAGTTTTCGAAGTTCTGTTGAAAGTTGATCAGGAACTGACTCACTAAAAGGCCTTTTTTTCTTAACCACTTTGGTTGACTTCTTTAGAAGTCTTGCAGGTTTTTCTATGTTTGGAGTACGAGGGAACTTTATATGGTCTCTGATCGGTGTGTCAATGTCAGTATCTATCTCATGGTCCCTGTAACAGTTTGCAAAAAATCATTGATATGAACAATGTTGACAAAGCAAGTAGCAAGACTGTGGATAAGTCACATACAAGCAATAGATCAAAATTCTTTTCGAAAGTTCCCAAGCACGTGTAATAGCATCCTCATTTTCACTATCTTCAAAGGAAATTTCTCTGAAAGAATTTCAATTTCCATGAGATAAATAGAAGATATTATAAATGAAATGGAACTTGAAAAGACAAACCACTTGTTTCATAACAGCACCTAGGCAAACACTTTCTGTGATACGACTTTGGGCAGCGTCTGCAAACAGCAAACTGTAATTCCTCTTGAGTTCTGTCCTCCAAACCTTTGCAATGAAAACACCAATGGCTGGGGCATGTAAATGAATGTCCATTTGCTATCTTCATTTCCAGTTCTGAGGCTTCATTTTTGTTTTTAGAATGAAGTTGTCGCGCAACACATTTTGGGTGGTAAAAGTGCCCACACGTGGCATTATTACAAAGAAACACCTAAAAGAAAGATGACAAAATTAACAAAACATAACTAGAACAAAGCCCTGAAAAAGCATCCCACACTTAGAATTTATGATACGGACTTCCAAACTGCTGAACTATATAGCGTTACTTCCTCTTGAGTGAATCTAAAATAATCAGGTGTTACCATGGCGGCATTAAATTGGCCCGACTGATAATTGCTACATCGTTACACAACTTCTGTCATTAGGGCCCATATAGAAGCAGTCAACAAATCCAGGGCCAGCGGTACTGTACATGAATAGTGCCCACGTGATACTGTTCAAGCAAGTTGTGTACATTAGATCGATTTGTTAGCTATTTCCATCAGTACCATCACCTCAGCACCATAGCGCGAGGCACTACAACGCTACATGAGGTGGCTGAGGCATGATTAGTGGAAAATATTGGATAAGCAAGAGAAAAGGGAAAATTGAATAAAGGCCCACTAAAACTTCCGCTAGAGATTCAAAAGCTGCAGCAATCTGCTAGATCTGATAGTAGTGGCGTGGAATCTGCGACAGCAGGCCAGCTGTGGCAAGGAAGAAGGTGACTGCACACTTAAATCAACAACCCGCTGCTTTCTGTCCCCTTTTTCCTTGGAGCTCTAACCCTTCCTTCTCCTGTAAGACAAGGCACCAACACCTTACTTCCTCTGTGTGTTTTGCTGCTGTAGCGACACCTTAACCATGATAAAGTTCCTTAAGGGTCAAGTCATCCCAGCTATATAAGGATGAGGTCGTATCTCAATTCATTATTCAAAAAAATAAACAAGTCTTTGCATCTCCCTCTTCTCCACAGCCATTGTGATGCGGCTGCCCTCATGGCACCATCGCACCCGCTGCATGGACAGCTCAAACAGGCCTATGGGGCCCTTATCCCAAACATGCCATTAGAACTTTGGAGCTTACAAGTAGAATGCTATAGCACTATGCCACTATGGCCATATTCAACAATAAAATTCACTGTATCATAAAAAAAAGAATAATAAAGAAACAGTTTTTTTATCTAATTAGAAGTGAGCAATGACAGTATACCTTAGCAGCTGGTCCATCTGAAGGTTCTAAAGCTCCACATATAAAACACTGATGTTGCTTATGCTCACAATTTTTGCACAAGAAAGTTTTCATTGCCTAAAAATCAGTAGAATAAGATAACTCAATAAAATAAAAAAGGTGTAGATTTAGAGCTCTCTTTATCACTCAAAATGTTCAAGGGCTACCTGAACTTCTGCCTCAGTGTACCCAAGTGTATCACAATAGGAATCTTCACCAGTACCGATTTTTGCATGGAAGGACCTCATACATGGACCATCACAGCTACAGTAGGATAATATGTAAGGATTAAGAATTGGTATTATAGGCCTGACAAAACTACTCCACAGTATTTACAGGGAATTTCATATGGCAATGATGAAACCAGAAGCAAAATATCAATGAAAGCAAAGTATGCAATGTTGTTTTAAGCAAAGTAAAAATCAGTAAGAGGAACTAAAGAAAAACAAAATTGTACCATTGTACTATCATTTTTGTTGAACAATGGATAACACCATAGCAGACAGGGTTCAGTCATGATCACATATTCCATGTAGACTAATTATGTGAGCGCTAAAACAGTTAGAAATCAACTAATTTAAGTGCAGACTGAATGGACAATCTTTCTAACATTGCATGGGGCAGAATCACTAGATGGTTCATTACTTCATTTGGTAAACAACTAGTGTTTCCTGATAAAAACAAAATGGTCTGAACAATTTGCTAGAAGAACATGCAGAGGAAAGTTCCAATAACATTTGAAATTATCATCTACAGGCAAAATATGTTATTAATAAAAGTAAGAAAATGATGGAGCAGCTGTACAAAAATGCTCAAATTCTTGAATGTAGCAGCCTTGATTGGATCTGTTTTGGGGGAACCCAAAACCTACTTAAATTCATTTGCATTCTTAGTTTCTTGTAGATTGTTTTTTTTGGAAAAAGTCCAAATACCCACCTAAAATTTGGATGGAAATCCATCTAGCACCCTGAACTTTAAAACCGGACATCCAACCCCCTAAACTTTGAAATACCGTTCATATTACCCCCTAAGGTGGTTTTAGATGGTGGTTTTGCATATTTTGGAAGATTAAACGAACAACTTTGAATAACTAATATAACATATGTGCATATCGTCAGTTGCAAGCCATTAAATTTATATTTATACAGTGATACCATACTATATTATGTTGGTACTTGTTTGTAAGTGAGAGCTAACAAGGGGTAAAGAGAAAGATTTAGGTGATCTTAATATACAAGCAAAATCTTCAAGCTCCCTTCACCAACCCGCTCACCCTATAGAGGAAGCAAAACCAGATTGCTCGGCCAGCCACAGCAGCCTCCTTCCTCACCTGACCTGACATGACAAGCCACCTTTACCACACAAAAATATGCCCCCTCGGCCCACCGGGCAGCGATCCCCCGGTGACCCTGTCCCCACCCACGTGACCCCAAGCTCCAAGCTCCCTTCACCAACCCACTCTCCCTATAGAGCAAGCAAAACCAGATTGCTCGCCTAGCCACAACCAGCCTCCTTCCTCACCTTATGTGCGAGCCACCTTTACCACACAAAACACGCCCCCTCGGTCCACCGGGCAGCGACTCCATCCCCACCCACGTGACTGCCCCAGTGACATACATTAATGTGTGTGTGTCCAATCAATAAATCGTGTTCAAAAATAGACATGGTATTGAGCGTTGACATGTAATTTCGTGTGTTTAGAGTGGAAAGGTTAACAAAGTTTTGTTTTGGATAGCTTTATCAGTGTCCCATTTCTAAACCTTCGAATGAACCATGCCATTATACATATGGTAAACATGAATTCATGGTCAAGCTCTTACGTTATTGATGTACATTGCCTTGCATCGTAGAATAAATATATTACCAGGAAAGATGTTTTTTATTACTTTTCTTGGATGGTTTTAAAAACTAAAGAGTGAACGTGCTTGATATATGAGTTGAGAGTCAGATTTTAAACATATAAGATAGTTGATAGGAGCATAGACTTATTCCTTCCGTTTTAAGTATATGATTAGTTGGCACCCTGTGCCTTGCTGCAGGATTTGTTAGTTTTATCGTCAAAGAAAATCAATGTTTTAAATGATTAGGTGCAACTCTGTGCATATAAAAAATAGGTGATAATGTGGCTTCATACCCTATGTTATTACGATACAATTTATGCTTTACTTTTCAAAGCTTTATTGTGTATTGTTATTTCCATGTGTAATGTGGATGTAGTACCAATTAGATTGTTTGGACCTCTCTGCTTCATCTCAAGTTTGTTCTGAACATGGGTTTAGTATGCTATCTAATTGTTCCTAATAAACAAAGCTCGCATCTAAGCCAATAATTTATGTTGTATTCAGGAAAAAAGATATGTTTGCGTTATCTTTGAGGACTTTGGGAGGAAAAAACATGGTGTTAAGTGTAGAATGGATAACACTGTCGTAGGTGACTGTGAGGTGAATGGATAACTAATCAATGATTGAGTTAGATGAATAAGGCTGTGTTCGTTCTGTTGAGTTGGGAACTCATTCCCTCCGTACGGAAAACGGAGCAACATATTTTCTTATGTTTAATTAAGTATTTACTTTTTTTGAAAAATGGATTAATATGATTTTTTGAAGCAACTTTCATATAGAAACTTTTTGCAAAAAACGCACCGTTTAGCAGTTTGAAAAGTGTGCGCATGAAACACGAGAGATGAGTTGGGAAAACCGGGGGAAGAACACAACCTAAGTACCTTGTTGATCCAACAGTTGTATCTTTGTACCAATGCGATCTAATGGCTTAAAATTAGTGATGACATGGCTTCTTGCGTGTCTTGCTTTATAGGAGTAAGTGCTACTTAGTGGGTACCAATTATATGGTAAGATACGATATGTCCAGTGTGTATGTCATGCGATCAAACTCATCCAACTTATATACAAATTAGATAAAAAACACTCTGCAAACCACCTTGAGGATTTATATAAACGGCATTGTAAAGTTTAGGGGGGTTGAATGTCTAGTTTCAATGTTCAGGGTATTAGACGGACCTTCATCCAAAGTTTAGGGGGGGGGTAGACTTTTTCCTCTTTTTTTCAAAAAAAAAAAAACCCTATGTAGAGGGACTTTTAATTTCCCTTGAATAATTTAAATACCTAAGGGCCTGCATGGACAGGAGTGATTCAGATTTTAATCAAACTATTTAACCAGGAATTAGTGATACCATCACCTGAGTAGCTACTTTATAGAATCCAATTTCTCAAAATCTAATCCCAAAGACCAAGAAGTCAGGCATGATCTCATTGTACATGAGACACAGGCTTCAATAGGCGAGGACATGTTGTTGTTGGACAGCTAGAAAATTCAGACATTGCTAAGCAGTTAAACCTGATAGCTGACAAAGTCTTTAGAAAATGGGAGCAAAACTTTCGCCAGGTAATATGGACCTTCCTGAGCTTGACATCGCAAATAATTCCTATTTCTAAAAGCAAGTATCTGTGCCAATAATGAACTCTCCCCGTGTATGTTCAACTGACTAATTAGACTAGAAGTCGCGTACATTCTGAAGCAATGGGAAAGGATTTTGGATGATATATCATCTGTATAAATATCAAACTTACCATAACAGATCTCCTCCATTGTCACATATGCTACAGATTGAATCAAATAAATCTTCCTCCTCTTCTTCATCAGATTCAATATTGTTATCCACGTCAGCCATCTCCTCTATGTCCTCATCATCAGCAATGAATGGAACTTTGATTTCCACTTTATCTGAACCAACCTAGACGTAATTATAATAAGGGTAATAATTAATATCATAGATCAGTTTTTCAAAATTTTCTAGAGAAGGCACAGTCCCAACGTACCTCACTAAACTTTTTCCTAGAAGTTTCTTGAGTGAAGCCTTGCAAAATCTGTAAAAAAAAACATGATAAGATGTCACCGTAAACAGCAATCAAGCACATTGAAGAGTTGTTACAATCACCAGAGTTAAATTACACTATACTGGTGTTATTATCCATATCAATAATCAGATGGTGCGTACCTCTGATTTAGCCAAGGTCGAGTCTTTCTCAGCAAAATGCTTAATTAGTAAACGGTGATTTCTTAAGTCATCCTCTGAGGGTCTAACCTCAAATTTGCTGCAAAATGAAAATGTTTCAACAAATCTGAGTTTTTGTCATCAGGCGAAGAATGGACAGATAGTGAATGAAGGAGTACTCGAAAATTTTACGAAGATGACTCCACAGGTTCTTTTCAGGCTCCTCAGGCTTCTTTTTGAGGAAGTGAAGCATCTGCACGGTGATCAGTATTGTCCGAATCTTCTCCTCATAGCTGTTCTTGGGTTTTGTAAGGCTAATCCAGCTGCCTTCTGCTGAAAGAACAGAAATCTCCGGCTGCTTGCCTTGAAGGCCTAGCTTCCAAGCGATCACTTTCCTGTATACTTTGATGCCAGGATCAGCAGTTCCCCACAAGAAGACATCCTTCTTGCATTCAGGAACCTCATCGGTGTCTTTGAACTGAAATGGCAAGACTGATAAACAGACAGGCACCTCCCGTGCATCAAGAAGGTAGTAATTATCCACCGCATTCAACTGAGGCTCATCGTCATCATCGTCGAACATCATCCTGGATACCGGATTCTTCGCCATTGATTCTCACCGGATGAGTTGGACCTAGCGTGGGGCATGTGGGTTCAGTTGAACCCCAATTTTTTTCTGGGAACAATTGAACTGTTTATTAGTACTAGGGTTAAGGCAAATTAGGGGGAAAAGCAGCTTCCAGATCTTAGGGGAGAAGCTAGGGCTAACGCAAATTCGAGAAGTAGCATGGGTGGGTAACGGATGGATGCTCACCAGCGACAGCGAGCTAGGATGCGGCGGAAGCAGCAGCGACGGCGGCGCCGCTCCTCGTCGCGGGATGGAGATCGACGCAGGCGGGCGGTGGGCGAAATCCGAGGAAACGGCCGGCCACCGAGGGGACGGGGAGATTGACAGGCTCTTGTCTTGCACGGGCGCACCGCCGCAGCCCGCAAGGAGTCGTGGCTTTTCCTCTTTTTTTCCTTTTTTTTCTTAAGGAATCAGAGGAGTCGGGAGTCGGGACTCGGGAGAGGAGAGACGAGTAAGGGCTATGAGATTAGTACATGATAATTGTGAAGCGAGTATGGGCTATGGGATTAGTACATGATAATTATGCACGTGCAATGCACGTTGTGGTCAATATTTAAACTAAACCAAACATATTGCACCTAAAGATTTTTTTATTGATATATATTAAGAGCAGGTACAATAGCAGTCTATAAGCTAGCAATAAATATAATTTAAAGAGATAAAGGAAGAGAGAGAAGAGCAGCGGTCTACATATCTGTAGTCAGCTGTAGCACGGACTACAAGATATAATATGTGTATGACAGGTGGGACCATGTATTAATAGTATAGTAAGTAATTATTGTATGAATTAGCTATTACAAAGGCTATAGATGATTTGAAGCTAGTAGTAGGCTATACTATTAAACTTGCTCTAAATTATTTTAAGGCTACTATGTTTGCGCATAACATAGTGCTTACTATTGCTTTAGAAAATGAAAAGATAAGAAAGATCTATAGCTTCTTTTCTATACTTTATACTCTATCATTGACCCAACCAACTAATTTTATTTTCAAACCTAAAAGTTCAAATAACAAAACTAAAAGAGGGCAAGATGCATATCATATGGAAAGATGGCAAATGCCACAAGACCAAACCTGTGCACCAAAATTTGATCATATTGGTCATGTGTAGTTGCCAACTGATATATATGTGATTGTCATAAGGACACCAGTTTCTCTTACATACCAATTTACACATAATCTCATAAGACTTGAATCCTGGATACTCCAATTAATTAACTTTGCATAAATAATTTTGTAACTCCATAGGATCTAACAATAAAGAAATAAAAAGCCATTGTTCTTTGCATAAATAATCCAAATGTTCATTGTTCTCATAAGCTCCAGGTCCTGCCATTCTGCCCCAAAGGATTTGATTACACCAACTTGAACTTTTAACCATGTTCAATGCTGTCTACTTCGAACAATAGAGCTGCTTCTCCATAATATCTGATTCGAGATGTCAACTTGCCTCTCACATGAAAGTATAGAACCAAGGTTATAGGAATAATATATAATTTCTGAAATAACGACAAACCTGAAAAATTTTGTAGTCCACCTGTTGCTTCATTCCGTTGGCCTTTACCAAATTTAGAAGTTAGACACAACTGAGCTCAGAAGGTTCAAACTACACTCTTTTCCCTTACTTGACCACAACACCAACATCAAAGATTCCTGGCGTAAGATCAGATTAGAGAAGAGGCAATTGCTTAAGAAAATTCTATTATTTAACAACAATATCTTCTACATCACTATTTTTTATTTTTGTGGAGCATGGTATAAAGAAGAAATGGAAACCATTATTCATATTTGTCTATACATATCATGACACTACTTAGTGTGTTCAACTGAATATTCACTAAATAAATTTGTAATCGTGTTGTTTATGTGTTGTGAGCTGAGTCAAGTAGAGTAGCATACATATATTCATAAGAAAATTCGCTGCATGAGATTGGCACTGGATCAATAAAAGAACATGTTGAACTATTGATCGATGCAATAGTTTGACACACATAGACCACCACATGGCCCCTCATGGGTGAAAAACATAATATAGAACAATTGGATTATGCCTGACAATTACGGGGTCATGTTCTTTCTTGACCTGGGAAGAAAGATTTCAGCTCTTGCAGTTTAATCTTGCATCATGTGCAGATGTAAAAGAAATTAACAGCTACATCTATAATTTCTTTTAGAATTTATCATGTTAATTTAGAACGAAAGTGAAACAGTACCTCATAGTTAAGTAATGTCACCATGTGCAAGCTTCATTTTCAAATCTTCCTCTGAAGTATATCTTCAAGCAGCATAATTTTGCTGAGAAATCAACCTGAGATAACAGCTTGGTTGAGCATATTTCGTTGGACATTATCCTATAATAGAGAACTTTTACGGTGTTTGCATTCCAAAAAGGGTAAAGATCCAACGCTCCTCAATCACAGGTACTATGTTAAAGGTATTTAAGTATTGATATAGGTATTTAGGTACTAAGGGTAAAAATATAATTTTGCTAGTAGAGTGAAAAGGGTAGAATTGTCCTCCAAATTATAATAGGTACCGCATAGGTACGCTCTACACGGTATCAGCGTATCTTACACAGTATCAGCGTATCTTTTACGTGGTTTCTTGAAGATTTACGTTGTATTCGAGTTAAGCCACCGTAGTGTTCTTTGATGTTCTCTTTTGCGTAGATTTCTCTAGATTTACATTGTATTGTTATAATACATTAGTAGCCTAATTATGTGAATTTTTTCTACATTTACATTTTGTTCCAACGAACACATGAAAACTCATACCTTAATTCTGTTAAAAATTATAGTTTGTTTCTAGCAAGATATTTATATTGTGTTTCAGAAACATGACCAGTTAAAATATCACCCAAGGTTAGCATCAATTTAAATTATACATTTCATCAATTTATGATACTTGCTTCCAATTGAACATGCTATGTCAAGTTAACCAACAACATACGAACACAAGTAGTCTGACTCATGGTGAGCATGCTCACAAACACCAATATCATATCCGCTAGATAAATATGTTATACAAACTTCATCAACAACAGCCTTTTTACAACAAAAGGTCATAGGTTCAACAACAGGCTAACTCTAATATTAGTTCAACGCATAGCATTCTGTACCATTAGCCTATTTACATTCCAACATTCGCACATATACAACCAAAAGGATGCTTCTGGGACATGGCGGTTAAAAAGGTGCTTAGCAGCCATTCATAGCCCTTAACAGTTTCCTCTGCAATTATGCCACAACCAAACACAACAGTGCTCCGGTGCTGATTCAATCCCACAAAAGGAATAAATGGCAGTTTATACCTGTTGGTCATGTATGTACTGTCAAATACAACAACATCACCAAAAGCTTCATAATCTAAACGAGATTGACTATCCGCCCAAAATAGTCGCTTTAGATGTCGGTCCTCATCGGCCTCAAATCTGAAGAAAAAATCTGGATCCCTTTCCTCTCGTGCCCTTAGGTGTCTTAAAACAGTTTCAGCATCTCCTTCTACTATTGTTTCAATCTTGTATCTATGACAGTAATTATATAGATCTGTATCTATAAACCCAACATTCTCATAACCTCCATATTGCTTTTCCATTATATTCATAATATGGTGCTTTCGAACTCTTGCAATTTCCATCTCGATTATTTCTTCTTTTTGCACATCACTAATGACCCGATGGGAACGGAGAAAACATGTCTGATCTGGGGCAGCTAACGGATGATTATGGTCATCAACAAAGTCTTTCACATACCACTGACCTATGTCCTTGTTTAGCTATTACCAGTTTGGCCTTACAACCACAATGAGTGATGTTTCTTGCCTTCCTTATCCTGTTGTCCCTCTTCACATGCTTCGATTCTCGATACCCTTGCCTACTACAGACAATCACTCTCCGTTTGACCTCTTTTGCGGCATTTCTTCTTTCAGCATATGATTTTCTTATGCTAAAGCCTTTATCCCAAGCGTACTTGTTGTAGAAGTGAATTCCTTCATCCTCACTATTGAATGTCTTGCTGACAATTTGTTGGTACTCCAACAATTCCTCAACCAATATCCATGTATCCTCCATCAGTGCTTAAAACCTACAAGAAACAACATTTAATTTTTAGAACACCCTTTACCATCTTGAGTTAATTTATAATTTTAACTCAAATTGTACATAGCAAATTGCTTTGTATAAACAAATCTACAAAAGCTAATTTAGTGTACAACTAATTTGCATGCGGTACATACGAAAGAATAGTGCACTGCATTAACAAGAACTAAACTATGTAAATAAGAAAATTCAATATGTGTCAATTCAGGCCCTACCCAAGTAAACTTAGGGATCCATGAACTCGGTAAAAACTATAACAATTGCGTAAATAAGCATAGGAGATCTTACCTATGCACTTGTTACGTACTTGTCAATCAGATTATGTCTGATATTCAAACACAAAACAGTGCCAATGCTTCTCCCTCAATTATGTCACCAAGCAAGTTCACCTATTCAAACCCCAATATGAAGAACATATTAGGATATCTCTTTTTGATCCCTTGTACGAAGAAATTTGTGAACTACATAAATAACTAATCAACTACAGGTTCTCCTTTCGGTGAACCTGTCTCCTTCCGGTGAAACATCCAAACCCTAGAACAAGAACGAACCCAAGGGAAAGAAGAATGGAGATGCGATCTGTTACGGATCGATCGGATTGATATCCGTGATTTACTCTTTTCTCTGATGGCTTACCGATCTGGATACTGACTTACCGATCTGAATACTGACAGATGGATGTTAGTATTCAATTAACGTATAATGCCCATGTTTTACAAGTTAATTACTCCACTGCCATCATGTTACAATATTTTTGTTCCGTACCTTGCCCCTCTCTTGATCAACGGTTCACGTTGTTCCACCTCCAAGTACCTCGCAAACACCGTAAAAGATCTTCCTATAATATGTAACAACTTGATTGAGCATAATCATGTATATAGAAAATTTCTAATGGAAAAATAACAGCATACTATTCTGCTAGCCTATATGTAACAATCATAACTATTACGCACCTCCATGAGTTCCTAGACTGAGTGGTGGTAGATCATCACTATCCTTACTATTATTCCCAGTCATGACCAGACTAAAAAATCCCAAATAGGTGGTCATCCTTGCTGACTTGCCGTTATTAACAGAGGTAAGTTTGTGTTTCACCAAAAGAAAACCATTTAGCAAGTAGAGTAGTGTCATACCAATCAAACTCACAAAAAATGGGTAGAAAAATGTCAAAATCCAGCATGTAGAGCATGGTGCACAATATTTATTTTGTTCATGGGATAGTAGGCTAAAACCGAAACACCATCAAACTTCTTTGGCAAGAAGCAAAGCGAGCAGCAGAATAAGAGCTAAACATATGGATCTAAGACATGACTCCCTGGTTGCATATCAGTTAGGCAATAGTTAAATATTCCTGGTCATTGCTAAAACCACTACAACAATTGGTTGATACTCTAGGCCGAGCAAGCCCCTTGATTTGTTGATCAAACATGAATGATGAATCAGAATATCACCACTAGAAAATGTTGCAAGGGAAGATTGGGGGAGAGTAATTGACGGAGCGTGGGGCTCCTCACCGGGAGACCGCGCTGGCCCCTCTTTGCCGGTTCGGCCGGGGACCCTGGGTGAGACTCTAAGCTCCCAATCTGTGGAAGGTTCACGAGACAGGAAGCACACAAGACGCCGGCGATGTATACAGGTTCGGGCCGCTGAGAAGCGTAATACCCTACTCCTGTGTTTTGGGAGATCTGTGTATGAAGGAGCTACAAAGTATGAGCCAGCCTCTCCCTCGTTCTAGGTTCCCAATCTAGAAAAGTCCAAAAAAATCTCCCTTCTCTCAGTGGGCAAGGTCCTCCTTTTATATCTTAAGGGGATACCACATGCACCATTTCCCTCTTTTTTGTGGGGACTTCCCCCACCTTTTCATAAATGGACGGAGATTTGTATCGTTGCCGTCCGAGTCACCTTCTGATGGGACGGCCCACAACTACCTCCACTTTCGCCGGGAGCAGATGCGACGTGGAATCGTGGCCGCCTGCTGACGACATGACCGGAGTCAGACCAGTCACGTCGGTCATTCTTGTGCACCACATGTCAGCTTAGCAATCTACATGTTCGCCCTTCTTCACACAACATCTTGCTTGTAATGGTTAGGATGAAGCTTGGCATATATCTGATCAGGACTAACGTGCCATCTCTGGGAGGTAACACGCTAGCTCCAGCTGGGGACGAGCGCCTAGAAGCCCTCGTCCTGACGGGATGGGGCGAGGCGTGCGTCAGACCGCCTGTCGCCACCTAACCCGCGATCTGACCGGTCTGTGACTGGTCACAGACCGGATAAATGAGTGCACTGCACTGCGTTACATGCGGCGTGACACGCTCAGCCAAACCGCAATAAATGTGGTTAGGTGAGCCCCACTGTGCTCACCTAACCCATACACGCGGAGCGAAAACCCACGAGGGGTCGGGGCGCCTCGGCCCTCGGGGCCGAGGCGGGTGCGGCCCGACCCCCTCGGGGGGACTAAGAGGAGGGCAAACACATCACCCTCGGGCCCGACGTCCCCCGAGGGTGCCAGGCCACGTGGGCGTTTGTGTCTGCCTCAAACCTCTAGTCATGATACTCCTGATCCCATGTCACCGACAGTAATGGACTCTGTAATTGTCCAAAGGTTGGTCTACTTCTCTTTTATTTTCAGTGAAACTGAATAGCGCCTCTAGTTGCTCACTTACAGGATTTGGAGTGCAAAAACTTGAGATCTATGTCAGGAAACATGCATCATGATTACAGAGTATAAGTGGATCATACTGTTGGAATCAAACACCCAGTGATCATTTTCATCCATTATCATAAAGATCATCTAAGAGTAACTTGCAGTTCCTTCAATACTGTTTCTCCTCCTTGCAAACATCATACACAATATTAGATCTGTTAATGAAATAAAGGTCAAAAATTATTTTATTTGAGTAAATTTTATTTAATACAAATATTATTAAAAACAAAAAGATAGAAGTAAAAAACCAAAAAGTGTGTATGAGGCACATTTGCAGAGAGCTGAGCAACATTAAATTCTCAAAAAAAGAAAAGAACTTGCCTTCTTTTGCAGTATGATGGCACACTGACCAGAAGATGAGTCCGATACTCCTATTTCTCATCTGGAGAGGAAAGAGTGCATCTAACAAGGATGGTGGCTAGTAAACAGTCGAGCACGAACATCAGTATATGGTAGCAAATCATTGGAGTCTATCTGTACATAGTCCTGAAATTCCTCCCGTAGAATCAAAGTGTTTTTGCTTGTTATTCTGTGATGAACAATTGGCACATGTGATTATTGGTTTTGATATTTAGAGATTATTGGCGAAGTGGTTTTGGAGATGATTGATTTTCAGGTGATGAACAGGGTTACTGTTTTTATCGGGTCCGGTCAGACCGGGCTGGTGCTGCCAGTCAGACTGGCATGTATCAAGCGGTCAGACCGGCCAGCCCGTGGTCTGACCGGCCGACTCTGTGTCGGTTTCGGTTTCGGTTTCGGTTGTTTGTTTGGATATCCGTGATTGTTTCATGTATATGGCTTCTAGATAGATACTATGCGTATGTAATACTGTTGTTTGCTACTAATGAGTCAAGTTGGAGATAGCTTGGTCTCGGAATATAGTTTCTTTGTTTGATTCATATGCAGGTGACTTGATGCCTCAGGAGAGTATTGCCGGTGATGGATCGGGAGTCGGCTTGGGGATAAGACGATGTCCGCGACGGTCAGATATCATGTGGGATACTTAGGCTAGAGTTCAATACACGTGGTTGGTGAAGATTCCACATGGCATACGATGAAGGTATTGTGTGCGTATGGGATGCGGAGTCGAATTTGGAAAGAGTCCAAATTTGGTATGATTGGAGTTTGTAAAGTTTGTTTCTTGTACGGGAAGGTTTCCTATGTGGATTAGGACTTTTAGTATGAGTTTGGTTCGTGGCTTTAGGCTGCCTACCTCATGTATAAATAGAGAGTGAGCGTGAGACTTCCCGGTATCGCTTTTGAGAGCATTGAGTTGATAGTTTAGTTAGGGTTTCGAGTTTAGTCGAGATTTTCATGAGGAGTGTTGTTGTTGCACTTTATAAACACAAAGAGAAGTAATAAAGTTGTCATCTACTTTGAGAGTTCTTTGATTTATGTTTTCTCGGGTTTGGCGGTCTAACTGGTGAGACACCGGCGGTCAGACCGGCGGCATTGTGGCGGTCAGACCGGCAGAGGAGTGGCGGTCAGACCGGTGACGGCTTCAGGAGGCATAGGCGATTTCAGGGCGGTCCAACCGGGCAATCTACACCGGTCAGACCGGCGGCACAGGCGCAGTCAGACTGGCAGATCAACCTCGGTCAGACCGATCTACATCGAATTTGAGGGTAACTTTTAATTCCGTAAAAAGTTGGGTTTTTTTTAGTATACCAACCCTCTAGTTGGCTTAGTTCTTGTGTTTCAATCCTACACCTCCCTTACTCCTCTATGCAAGCTGAAACAGAAAACACAAAATTTTCTCATGTGGGAATTCCATCAAGCAGCTAGTACACATATAGGACGTTACCTGAGGAGAATGAAGGCAAGAGTTTGACATATCCATCTTGTGAGATGACAACATCAGAGGAAGCAAATCTATAGAAAAGAAAGAGCAACATCTCTGCTTTCACCTGACAGTAAGTTGAGAACTAAAGAAGATATCGTTGTGGCCTTGGAGGCAGAAGCTCGGCATGGATGGAGGGCCACTACAGCTCGGCAGAAAATCAGGTATATACTTTCCACATACCAAAACAAAATAATATTCGAACAGGGAGTTCCCAAGAGAAGCTGATCCAATAAACTTGATCTATCATACACAACAAAAAACTGCCTTTTCTGCCCAAATTGCAGCGCACCTTGCGAATCCATCCAATAATACTAAATTTCTGTCATGCTGTAACAAAAAAAATCAGGGGCTACACCATTATATCCCCAAATCAACGGATTTACCTCCTCAATTTTCCTCATTGAACAACCCCGTAATCTGCAACTCGCCAACCCAACCAACTCATGATTCTAGTCTCAATTAGAAGCGACATTAGATTCGCACAGCACGGCCGCAATTGCATGAGAATGAGAATAAACACGGAATCTAGAAGGATCCAATACCTGGGTGAGATGCCTCCACCTTAAAATAGTCCCCAAATCACCAGTTCCCAAGCATCTCGAAGAAGGTTTGGCGGAACGTCGGACAAACTCGGCGCCGGTAGGGATAAACTCGGACCAGCGTGGCGTGCGCGAATTTGCAGAACGTGGGACTGCGGTGGTGGCTCGGCGCTATGGTGGTCCGTCGGCACTGGTCCGGCGGTGCGCTGGTACGCCGTCGCTGGTCGAGTGCCGCAGCGGCTTCGGCAGTAGAGGGAACCACAGCGGCGCCATCGGGGGTAGTCCCGAGAGGGGCTCTGGCGGAAGGGGGATGCGGTGGTGTGCGGTGGTTCGGCGGTGGAGGCGCAGCAGTAGCGGCGGCGCTGGTCTGTCACGAGGATAAGGGAGCTCCGGCGTTGTGCTGGTCCGTCGTCACTGGTCGAGCGCCGCAGCGGCTTCGGTAGTAGGGGAATGTCACGCCCTCAAAATCGCCTAATTTAATAATTTATTCTTTAATGCATTTTTAGAAATTATTTAAAAGCCTACAAGTTAAACCCTAATAAAATCTTGGTAAAATGCAACATAAAACTGAGTTAGATAAAATATCATTAAATACTTTGCTTGTTTATCTGTTTCCTGGAATTTTCTGGGAATTATTTTAGCAAGGGAAGTATATTTTAATCAACAAAATAGCATTTCACGAATTATTTAAATAAGAAAAAGTTTTAAAACCTTTCTCTAGGCAAAGCCTCACTCGGGCTGCAAGCCATGCCAGCCTGCTGCTCCATTCCCTTCTTTTCCTTTCTTTTTCCTTTTCTCTGAAAGTCTACAATGCCTCCCTCGGCACTGTTCATCTTCAACCTCAGGCCAGCCAATTGTGTCCGAGCTGCTGCCGCCTCCCTTTGAATCCGCCTCCATCAGTTGCTCCCGAGACCGACTGGATGAGGGGAATTTATCTCCTCGATGTTCTCTATCTTTACCCTTAAAAACCGGAGCTTAATTCCTTGTATTTCAACCGAATCAAACTCGTTTAGAGTTTATCTCTCCAACCAAACCATCGGATTTTCCGGTTTCGATTCCTTTCGTTCCGAGTTCGATCTCCTTAATCCGAGCCTATAAATAGCATCCTCTAGTCGCCCTCTTCGGTTTGCCTCGTGTTCTAGTTGCAGCCGTCGCTCGTAGCGCCGCCGCCGTAGCCGCTTCAGCCGCCTCGCGCCGTCGCCGTGGTGGTCGTCGCCGGTCGCCGTCGCTTTCACCGGGTTCGCGAGGAGAAGCCGCAGACCGTCAATCCCTTCATCGGCGTTGCAACCCGCCGGAAAGCCGTCGTCGCCGTCAACCCGAAGCCGCCGCTTTTGGAAGCTCGTCGCCGGCCGTTTTCTGTCGTCGATTGTCGTCGCCGTCACCACCGGTGGGTTCCTCTCGTCGTGCTCGTTGCGATGGTGCTCTCTGTTTGCGCCGTTGTGCCTTCGTTCGCCGGCGGTTGTGTGGTCCAGAACCATGCCCGGCAGTGATGTCATCCTGACATCATAAATTTTTTATTTAAATCGTAATAATTTTCTGAATTAGGTGAAAAACTGATTAAACTTCGGAAATTCATAGCTAAATCATCGTAACTCGGATTCAAGTGGTTCAAGTTGCTAAATTCATCTAAAATCGAGATCTACATGTTAAAAATATCCACATGTACTGTTTATGCTTGTTTTTGTACTGTTTTGTTGATTTTGTTCATTTGCTTTAGTTTCCGATGTTCCCGAGGAGAGCGTTTACATTGAGTAAGGTTCAGAAGTGTTTAAAGAAGCTCAAGGCAAGTCATACAGATCCCAAACAACCCTTTGAGCATGTTGAACCCGTTTAAAGCTAATGTTTTATTTCAACTTATGCATTATTTTCGAATGTCATCGGGTGGTGAGCCTTTTCCCAATTAATTATGGCCGAAGATGACTTTATCTTACTATGGGTAATAAATTGATTAGCTCGAACCTTATATATTGGTTTGGTTCAGCTAGCCTAAATGCTATATATATAATTGCTTAGCCATGCTTAGAAACATTAGCTCATTAATGGGATAAATCACACTACATTACTACTTATGGTTATATTTAATGGTAGCTCACGATGGTTAATCGTGCTATGATAATTAAAATTTGATTAATGGTGGGTTGTGAGCACATGGTTTTGATGGTAGTCTCATGACAATTAAGGACCGGTTCGCGAGCTACTGTTGTGAAATATTTACCGTGCCAACCACAAGCCAGCGTGGGCAACGGCTTTACCTTCAGTATAGCATGGTTCATTACGGGGTGCCAGACTGAGAAGCGGCGAGAAGTCTATGGGGGTCGCTGGGGAGTTCATGCCTCTGGTTGTAGAGGGGGTGATTATGATCCAGGATTGGTGCACTGTGGTGAGTTGTATTGTGCGAGGGGGTATTGTCACAGTTCCTTTCCGAGATACCGTGGTGGTATTGAGGCGCATGGTGACATGTCGTGGAGCTGTGTCTTGTGGGTAAAGTGGTACATCTCTGGCCAGAGTAAAACTATTTAAATAGCTGTGCCCGTGGTTATGGGCGGGTCTAATAATGTTTTTCGTGATTAGTCTCACACTACTCATTATTGGTGATAAACTGTGATAATTAAATTGACTCCTGGTTTGGAATGGTACATTCCTGGTATGGAGGTTTGATTTGTACAACCGGGGTTGGTTGTTCAGATGAGTTTGGGCCTATGCAACACGGGTGTGTTGTATAGTGTTTATTTAATATTGCTTAATTTATACAATTGTTTTACTATTCTCTCAAATGTTTATTAAATGTTGTTTATGCAAATAAGCTATATTATGCCATCCTTTGTTATCCTGTGCATTTGCATATTTGCTGTGTGGCTTGTTGAGTATGTCATACGCTCATTCTTGCAATATTCATTCATCAGAGGAGTACTTCAATGAAGGTGCTGTTCAGGAGGATTAGGCTATGTTCGGGTCAAGATGCTTGTGGAGTGGAGTCGCCATAGCTGTTTAGTCTTTTGTTTTTATTTCCGCTGCGTAGAATTTCATTCTTTTGAGAGGAACTATCCACCTCTATAATAATTTAACATTTTGCGATTATTAATTAGCTGTTTGATAGTGCTCTATTATCAATTTGTTATTGTGTGCCTCGGTTGATTCCTGGACGAGGATTTAACACACATGTAAGCGTTTGGAATTTTGGATAGAAATTCCGAGTGTGACAGGGAACCACCGCGGTGCCATCGGGGGCAGTCCCGGTTGGGGCTCCGGCGGATGGGGGATGCGGTGGAGGCGTAGCAGCGGCAACGCTGGTCCGTCAGTGGGCACCGGTGTGGTGATGGCTCAGCTCTGGTCCGGTGTTGCAGTGGCGCTAGTCTATTGCAAGAAGCGAAAGAGGATGCATGCAACGGAGTCATTGTGGCAGAATCATCACGTGGAGGCGAAATTGGTGGAATCAGTGGGAATCGCGGAGGATTGACATAGGAAGGAGGATAGACCCACAGTGGACGGATGAGATTAGATGAGAGGGCGGATGGAAGGATGAGATGAGATGGAATGATTTCATTGGTAGGATTGCAAGGGACAAGTCCTCTTTATATTAGTATAGATTATAATTAATTATTAAAAAAAGTCTATTTCACCTTATCAATTTAAGGGCCCCTTTGATTTGTAGGAAAAATGCAGGAATTTTGGAGGATTTCAATCCTATGAAAAAAAATCCTATGAAGGCCTTTGAAACAAAGGATTGAATCCTATCCAATCCTTTAAAATTCCTATGGAATGGGTAATCCTATGCACATTTTAGAGGAAAGTTAGCAAGAGGTCTAACCTCTTGGAACATTTCCTCTGAGTCTATCTCTCTCATCTGATTCCTGCGTTTTTCCTGTGGTCCAATCAAACAGCCATTCCTGTGTTTTTCTTGTGTTTTGTAATCCTCTGTTTTACAATTGTATTCCTGTCAGAATCATGTGTTTTTTCTATTCCTCTGTTTTTTCATTCCTACAATTCAAAAGGGGCCCTAAGTATTGGGTTGATATACTTCCCCCTCTGAAATATGAAATCAGGTCTTTTACTCCTGAAGTTAACCAACTCAAATAAGCTCCTTAAGTGATATTTTATGTGGTTTTGCCATGTTAATGATAACGTGGTAGCGGTATTGTTTACATGACATGAAGATCAGTCCACTAAACCAAAGTTGATCCAACAGTTTTCTTTTCTCTCGCTGATTGGCAAGATTATGAAATAGCAGTATATATTAGCACAAATGTATATCATTCTCAAACCGTTTCACATGTGAAAAAAAATTAATTGAGTCTATCACCATGTCATTAGCCACCTAATGACATGTGGCTAAAACCACCGTCACGTCATCATGTTCATAGTTAAACCTCCTAAAAAACCACTCAAGAGGGTTATTTTAGACAGTTTTCATACTTTATGGGGGTAAAATACCAGATTTCATGTTTCAGGGGTTAAGGAGACCAACCCCATACTTTAGGGGTGAAGAAAAAAATTCCATTAGTTATTAGCTAAAAAGTTAAAGTATGGATTAATGTGATTCTTTAAAGCAATCTTCTTATAAAAACTTTTTATAAAAAATACACCGTTTATTATTTCGAGAAACATACGCACGGAAGAGATAATAGAATTTGGGAAAGGATAGATTAGAACTCATCCTAAGGCTGTGTTCGGGAGTAGCACGTATAACGAAGCAACATTTAGCGCATGATTAATTAAGTATTAGCTAAAATAAATTTGAAAAGTGGATTAATATGATTTTTTAAGTCACTTTTATATAGAGAATTTTTGTAAAAAGCATACTGTTTAGCAGTTTGAAAAGTGTGTGCGCATGAAAAAAGTGATAGGTGAGTTAAGAAAGTAGAGATAAGAACTCAGCCTAAGTCTACCACGGGCTGAAATAGTAATGATTAGTTGAGATACTTCTAAACATGATTATATTTTTCTTAAAATAGCATTATCAAATTGTTACTATCGGATTGCTAAAATTATGACGTCACATTTTCACTTAATTTCAATCACTTTTCTTTCATTTTAATTGCTCCCTCTTCTATATATAAAAACAATAAATTGTGTTCAATCCCAATTCTCTTATATACATTGTATATTATAAAAATTACAATATTGAAACTTACAATTATTACATCATAAGTTTTGAAATTTATAGCATAATTATAATGTAAGGTACATAATTTACACGTATAAACAATCTACTCCCTCCGTTTAAGGTTATAAGACGTTTTGACTTTGGTCAAAATCAAACTGTTTCAAATTTGACTAAGTTTATAGATAAATATAGCGATATTTATAATACTAAATTAGTTTCATCAAATAAATATTTGAATATATTTTTGTAATAAATTTGTTTAGGGTTGAAAATGTTACTATTTTGTTTTTACAAACTTGGTCAAACATAAAGCAGTTTGACTTTGATCAAAGTCAAAACGTCTTATAACCTGAAACAGAGAGAAGTAACTATTTTTATTTAAAAATATGGCATCATAAATATATCTACTCCCATCAACCGAAATTATTAATTATGGTTGGCAAAGAGAAGATAATATCTCATAAAAAAGGACAAAATTGCTTATCACCATTCTATCCTCCACTACGTTCTCATCTACCACATTTAATTTTATCTTTAACTACTTAATAAAAATAAAACTTGTGTTGTTTAGTCCACCGTCACGCATGACGCGTCATAGAAAAATCATGATATGTTTTTTTTTTGTAGAAATGGATCCACATGAAAGAACAAAAAGCATACAACTACTTAAAAAAAGGCCTCCGGAAAGGATCCACTATTTCTCTTGCTGTTATCCAAAATCAGATGGAAATTTTCATTCAACTTTTTAGATGGTGTCTTTAATAAGGAGATGACACACAAATGACGATGTTGTCGAGTCCAGAAGAATCGGATGGTTTTCACCACCTCTCCCCTCTTCACACTAGTATTCCATGCCTTTACATGCCCCAATAATTGCATCCCATGCAAAAACAAGCAGACATGAGTCACTTTTTTTTTTTAGATAATAGACATGAGTCACTTATGGATGATCTAGATTGCTGAACCTCATTTAGTCATCTGTGGTCGGTCTTCTCGATCATAATAGGAGCTACTTCTCTAAAGGCACCCGCAATAGTTATTTATAGGCTCTCTACAAGATATCCATGTCAGCATATTTTTCTACATAGAAGAGATTAAATGAAGAGAGAGAGCAAAACTATCTACTAACCTGGAGATAGTCTATAGAGAAAAACGAGGCAATGCATTAGAGAGCTATAGATACCCATGTAGACATACTATTGAGGTGGTTTACTATTAATCTAGTTTATTGCTGAGATGTACATGTTTTATAGAGAGCACCTTATTTTACCATTGCGGGTGCTCTAATCGTCGTCCCTCGATGATTGTCGACAATCAAAGGTCCTAGTAAAACCATCTAGTAGTGGTTGTTCGACAAATGAAAAACTAAGAGCCACACGCAATGAGAATGGTGAGCCATCGATGGAGGGTGCGTTCGAACGTACCAATTCGGCTGGGTTGAATTCCAGCTAGCCCATGAAGCTGATCCAAATATTGTGTTTATGGGCTGAAAAGAGGATGGTCCAGGATTGTGGATGTATAACGACGTCAAGGTCCATTAGGTTTCCATCGCCTGCCATACCCCGTGTTGACCAGCGGTTCCTCGTTATTCCCATTCCTTCGCCACACACCCTTGCGACTGCTGGTAGTTGAGGAGGCAGAAGGTAATGGCAACCTCCCCTACAGATTTGTGTCCCCGTCCTCCTTTTCTTGTGCGGCTACGATAGAGCCAATATGTGGGCGACATTGAAGGCTCGAGCAGGGGTCTTCACTAGCTGCATCGGGTAGAAGAAAAGGGATCAAATCTCTTCCCCGATAAGGAGGAGAAAGATGGTCTGCGTAGCTGCTGCTTGAACTAGCATTGTTTACTACTAGAAAAATCATTTTTCTCGATGTGGCGGTCATAACCCTTAGAGCCAAATAACCGCCTACAAAAATATAAATCGGGGTGAAATTTACCGTCCGCCTGCGGACCACTTTCGCAGGCGCCGCTTAAGTGGTCCGCCTGCGAAAATAGACTTGAATATAAATAGATTTGGATAGGAGTAGATTTTTTTCTAAGTTTCAAAACCTCACCTCTCCTCTCACCCACGGCTGGCCTCTCCTCACCTCACCTCTCCACGGCCGGCCTCTCCCACGTAGGGATGGCAATTTCCCCGACGAGGGCGGGTACCCGCCGGGGACCCGACCCTACGGGGCCGGGGTCGGGGCTATATTTGGCCCCGCGGGTGCAGCGGGGGTGGGGCCCCGAAAATATGCGGGGACGGGGGCGGGTCTAGGTTTTCACCCGCGGGTGACTCATGGGGACCCGGAAATATGGTACATGCGTAGATTGCAAATTAAAAATGTGGCCCAAACAAGCCCATGTTGTGAAATAACTTTTCCTATCCCATCTTATCTACCCCAGCCATACATACAGTCACGGAGCCATCCATCCAGATCGAGTCAATGACCTTTCAAATCAAAAGAATAAAAAAAGAAAGATACAGTCAACGAGTAGCGACTGCATCGGCGCTACCGCAGTCGTTGCAAGCTGCTGCGCCTCGTCAGCTCCCTGCGAGGCTGCGCCTCTGCCCAGGCCGGCTGCTGCGCCTCCGTCTCGGCCGCGGGTCGCCGGCCGTTGCACTTTCGCTGCGTCTCCGACTGCTGCAACTCCGCCGCGTGTCGCCGGCTGCTTCGCCTTTGTCTTCGTCGCGCGTCGCCGGCTTCTGCACCTCCGCCAAATCTCCGCGATGCTAGCCTCCTCGATGAGCCACTTCATCTTAGCTGCTACAATCCTGGTTTTGTCCTCTTTTCTCTATAGCTTGTGGGGCCTCGGTCGGGGTCGGGGACCCGTAGGGGTTGGGGGCGGGGGAAGCTTTTCACCCGAAGATGGTACCGGGGCCGGGGGCGGAGGATAAAGTCGGGGGTCGGGGGCAGGGCCGTTCCTGTCCAACCCGGCCCCGCCCCGCCCCGTTGCCATCCCTACTCCCACGGCGGCTACGCGCGCGGGGCGGCACGGAAGGCGGCGGGGCGGCTCCCCTCCCTCCCTCCCCTCCCAGATCAGGCCGGAGGAGGGAGGTGGGAGGCCGGCGGGGGCAGCGGCGGCGACTACGGCGCGCGCGGGGCGGCGGCGGCGGCTCCCCTCCCACCTCCCTCCCAGATCCGGCCGGAGGAGGGAGGGGGGAGGCCGGCAGTGGCGACTACGGCGGCTACGACGCAGGGCGGCGGCGGCGACGACGATGCGGCCCGGCGGCGGCTCCCCTCCCCCCTCCCTCCCAGATATGGCCGGAGGAGGGAGGGGGGAGGCCGGCGGCGACGACGACGACGCAGGGCGGCGGCGACGACGATGCGGCCCGGCGGCGGCTCCCCTCCCCCCTCCCTCCCACATCTGGCCGGAGGAGGGAGGGGGGAGGCCGGCGGCGGCGACGACGGCGCGGGGCGGCGGTGACGACGATGCGGCCCGGCGGCGGCTCCCCTCCCCCTCCCTCCCAGATCTAGCCGGAGGAGGGAGGGGGGAGGCCGGCGGCGGCGACTACGGTGGCTACGGCGCGGGGCGGCGGCGACGACGACGCCCGGCGCAGCTCCCCTCCCGCCCGGCGCGGCGACGCCAGAGGAGGGCGGCGGCGGCGAGCCGCCGCCCGTGATATTTTTTGTTTATTTGAATGGATTTTCGCAGGCGGGTTGTTGCCCCGACGCGAAAATCGATGATTTTCACGGTCGTTGAGCTACTGGCGGTCCAACTCTCCGCCTGCAAAAATCTATTTTGGCCGTCTGGGAAAATATTTTTTCTAGTAGTCGTTTCCGAGATATTTAACCATTTGCCACATTTAGATGTGGCAATTAACTTTTTGTCACTGGACCCACATATCATAGACACATGTAGACCCACATGTCATTGAGATAGGGGTGGCAAATACACCCTCCGTCCTATAAAAAACCAACTTCTAGGGATGAATCTGGACAAATGTTTGTCCAATTTTATCCCCAGAAGTTGTCTTTTTTTTTTACTGAGGGAGTAGTTATTTGCCAAATCTAAAAGTGGCAAATAGTTAAAAGCCCTGTGGTTTCCAGCGACTGGTGGAGCAACCTTTCTCACGTGTGGTTGTTGCTCTGATGCGGTCTCGTGCACCATGTGAGCGGAGATTATATGAGCGGAGATTGTCCCACCTCTAGCTTTCAAGGGGGCACCATTAGAAATTGGAGGTCCAGACCTCGCCTATTTTAGGGCCCTCTCCGGAGCTCCCATGGCAAACAAAGACGTGAAGCAGAAGCTTGTGCTGGAGCAGTTTGTTTGCCACAGACGCCGGTCCATCTAGTTTGCCTTCATCTTCTGCCTCGCCAAAACGATGCGTGCTAGTGGCAGATTTAGAATCAAGTAAGGCCCTGTTTAGTTCCCCTAAAATTTTTCTCAAAAACATCACATCGAATCTTTGGACACATACATGAAACATTAGATGTAGATAAATAAAAAAAACTAATTACACAATTAGGGAGGAAATCGCGAGACGAATCTTTTGAGTCTAATTAGTCCATGATTAGCTATAAGTGCTACAGTAACTCACATGTGCTAATGACGGGTTAATTAGGCTCAAAAGATTCGTCTCGCGGTTTCTAGGCGAGTTATGAAATTAGTTTTTTTCGTTCGTGTCCGAAAACCCCTTCCGACATCCGGTCAAACGTCCGATGTAACACCCAAAAATGTTCATTTCCTCAACTAAACACACTCTAAGGGGTCGTGCTAGTCGTTGCAATTTGATGGCATCTCTGGCGCCACTGCAGAGGATGATGTAAAGGTAGTAAGTAGCACATGCACTCACCGCCAACAGTTTGCCAGCTTTTCCACCACCTCACTCCGGCAAACGGTTGCTCATTCGCTCAATTGGGAGGCCTTCTTGACTTCAAGCAACTAATGCTGGGTTTAATTTCTAAAAAAAAGTTAAAAGTTTAAGGAAAGTTGGAAGTTTAGAAAAAAAGTTAAAAGTTTATATGTGTATGTAAGTTTTAGATGTGATGTGATAGAAAGTTGAAAGTTTAGGGTAGTTGAGGGTGAACTAAACATGGCCTAAGGTATAACATGCATTAGTTGTATCAGTTTTTCTACACCAATTTTTTTTTGCTCGACTTGGGTTGTTAGAAAAAAATGCAAAGGAGGGAGAGTAGTAAGCTACAGGTGTTGGAAGCTTCATGGATGACGGCAATTTGTTTGCTTCTTCTGTGAGGAAGAATAGATCGATAGGAGGAGCTAGGTGGGTCCCGGTAGCAGCGAGGTGAACGCAAGGGCCAGTGTGGTGGGGTCGTGGGTGAGTGGAGAGGTGAGTGCAACGAGAGCTTGTTGTTCTCGTTCCTGCTATCATCGCCCGGCGAGCAAAGTGGCCGGATTTGAAAGAGAAGCACTGGAAGGATAACTCGAGGGCAATTTGCAAACCAGGGGTACTCACCGTCATTTTGGAAGTTTCCTCTCCCCTAAACAGCCAAAAACATTTAAATAGTAGCAAATATTCACTTTTTACCGATGCATTCCACAAAAGATTCACTACTGCGGTGTTCTACAGCTAGTACGTCACGGTGTTTTATAGCAAAATTTGCCAAAAAATTGTCATAATTTTAAAAGTTTAGGGGTTGATTCGGTCCAAATTTAAACTTGAGAGAAAGTTATAAAAGGAAGATTTTTTCCCTATGTTACTTAGAAATTTAATTAGAAGATTCATTTTAAGAACGGGTTAATTTTCAGGATCAGGCTTGACAAGTCTAGCATTTCCCATGCCGGGTCCCAAAACCTTAATTCATCCCAGCGCACACATTCAGGCATTTGTTTATTTGGCAAAAAAAAAATTTTGCCCTCTGCATGTCACGTCGGATATACGGACACACATTTGAAATATTAAACGTAGTTTAATAACAAAACAAATTACAGATTTTATCAGAATACTGCGAGACGAATTTATTAAGCCTAATTAATTCGTCATTAGCAAATATTTATTGTAGCACCATTATCAAATCATGGCGTAATTAGGCTTAAAATATTCGTCTCGTGATTTCTTGGTGAACTGTGTAATTAATTTTTTATTTACATTTAATATTCTATATATGTATTAAATATTCGATGTGGTAGCGCGAAAAATTTTGTTGAAGAGCTAAACAGGTCCGTCCTCAGTCTTACAACGGTCAACCACTCAACCCAAGCTCCAATGATGCGACCTCAACCCAAAGCTCTCGACGGTTGAGGAACAACGTGGTTGTCGCTCATTTTCCTCCCGTACGTTCCAGCTAGCTCAGGTCAAAGCTGTCAAACCTACTATAAATAATTCTCGTTGATTAGCCTTGGCGGCCAAGTAGACGATCACAACGAACGAGACCGTGGCTGCCAAGCAACCTCAACCTCCCGGCCGGCACGGGCGCAGACTATAAATGCGCCGCTGGCCGCGCCTGCACCTACACCAAACCTACAGCAAACTGAGCGAGGAGCAGAGCCATGCGTCGCGAGGGGAGGCAGCGCGGGTGGGTGTGCGTGTACGACCGCGCCCTGGTCGACCCCGAGGGGAAGCGCCGCGTGGTGGGCGCGGTGGCGGCGCCGGCGACGGTGGCCAACGGCGGGTTCATCAGGGCGCCGCGGAAGCCAACCAACCACTCCAAGTTCACCGGCGGCCGCGCCTTCAGGGAGCTCGCCAGCGGCAAGGGCGCCTGCAGCGGCGGGCCGGCAGCGTCGACGACGGGTGGTAAAGGGAGGCACAAGTTCAAGCACGACGAGATCAAGGCGTACTACCTCGAACTCGAAGCCGGCGCTGATGATGCTGTCGATGAGCTAGGATCGCTATGAGTGACATGGATTCGTGGAGGCAGATGGCATGCATCACCGGAACGGCGGCACGGCGGCATGCAGCTGCCACCGTCGATAGGAGAATTGCAGCGGCGGCGCTAATTGACATGGCAGTTTCCTGTTTTGGTGTGTATGTGTGTGAGTGTGAGTGAAACTGTGTTGTGAATGTGGATCTTTTTAGTTTGGTGTTTCGTTGAATAATTGAACTTTCTCGCCACAAATGAGTTTGAATTCAGGTCCTATCACATCGGATGTTTAGACACTAATTAGAAGTATTAAATATAGACTAATAACAAAACCCATTTCATAATCCTAAACTAATTCACGAGACGAATATATTGAGCCTAATTAATTCATGATTAGCATATGTGATGCTACATTAAACATGTGTTAATTATAGATTAATTAGTCTTAAAAATTTGTCTCGCGAATTAACTCTCATTTATGCAATTAGTTTTATTATTAGTCTACGTTTAATACTTCTAATTAGTATTCAAACATCCGATATGACATAGACTAAAATTTAGTCACTGGATCCAAACACCACCTAAATGTTTGTATGTGCATTTCGTACTCCAAAATGTTGTTCATTCAAAAAAAAAACTCCATGTTTCTTATTATAAGTCATTTTTTTAAAATTTGACTAAATTTATAAAGCGACTAATATTAATATGAAATGGAGGCAGTAATAGACATTTTGGCTTCAAGACGATTGCCATGAGCCACATGAAAATAAAACAGAATTGCTAAACACATTCGAGTGAACATCGAGGGCAAAATCTTGCAAATTTCTTACCTTAAGATTTGCTTTGCGATTCATGATGTGATGAGCTTCTCCCTTTGTACGTCTTCGTGACCCTGAAGAACTCCAATGACAGCGACAGCTACGACCCCAAACCAGATAGGCTTTAGGGTTGGGGGTGGGTTAGAAGGGAGCGGAGGAAGATGGGGTTTTCCTAGGTTTAGTGGGAAGGTTGTGGGCAGCGAAGGACCGATGGTGGGTGGTAGACATAAGCGGGTGGTGCCGAAGCGTCGGGAGCGATGGGGATGGATGGGGGTGTTTGGCTGCCATTGGAGGTGGGGACAAGGGAAATGAGAGGGCTTAGGAAGCAGGGGAGCCCTCACAGATGGTTCAAAAATTTGGAATGAAAATTTGAGTCTATCACCCCCCCCCCTTTCCAAAAAAAAAAAAACCTGAAATGATTCACCCGGTTTTGTGTGTTGTAGCAGGGGGCAAATGCCATCCCCCCCCCCCCCCTCCTATTCGACCGAAACATGGCAACGGTTTTCAGCTTGATGCATTTTGTTCCAAGGTAAATGCTTTTTGAGTCTTTGTGATTGGTAAACAGAAGACGCCCGAGAGGTTCAACATGGAGACCTTCAGTTCCTTTTGTTGTCTCATTGAATAAAGGGTAAATTGAAACCATGCTATTATAATTTTGCAAAGTTTGAATAAATTGAACTTTGCTGCCTCTTGTGCAAATGGCATCGCCTGTAATTGTACTCCAGATGTTTTTTTGATCTCAAAGTAATGTTGAAATTTCAATCATGCCAGTTCAAAGGGAAATTTACTAGTGTTTTAACATTTCGTCTTTTTTTTTTCTTTTGGAAAGCGCCAAAGTGTTTTTTATTCCTGCTGCATTAAAACACGTTGTGTTCTTCAAACAGCACGTAATATTTCGGTACTGAATCCAAAAGTAGAGCCGACAATAAGCAAGACCACGGATCAAAAGGACATTGGGGACCAATTACTCGCAGCAAGAACTACGATAAGACACCATGCAATACGAAGGTGAAATCATGATTCCCTCTATTGTCATGCTCGCAAGTCACAGGACCATAAAAAGAGGCAACAAAAGGGCCTTAGGTAAAGAAAAATTATACCGATACATTACTGCAACTCCTCCCGAATTTTCAACATCATACACACTACATCGCATGCAGGGAACATGTGCCGCTACCAAGAGACCGACAAAACCTCATTCCTCCCAATGACAAGTTACTCGGATATATTCATTGGAGGTTCAAGGCTCTCGACAAGAATGCGCAGGTCTAAATCCTTATCCTCAAACTTCTTGATGAAAGGATGATTCTGCAAGAATATATATGACAGTTCAGAACAAGATGGTCGAAAGATGTTATTACAGTTAAGTTCGCTACAAAAATTATTAAATAGAAGGCAATGCTGACCAAGAGTTCTGAAGCAGACATCCGCTCCGCAGGATCCTTTTGTATGCTGCAAAGCAATGTAACAATAAATAAGATTAGACTATGATAAGCTGATGAAATGAATCTTTAATGATAAGTTGGAAGAAACTGTTATTTACCCTCAAGCCATGCTTGTATCCTTATAGATTAGTCATGAAATCAGATATAGGAGCACACAAGACACTGTTATTTGCATGCATAATTTGACTTAAGCAAAGAAGTTCAAAAGTACTTCTGTAAACAACAATCTGACAGCAACGCAAATTGATACTAGTCATGATGTGGGACACTGGGCCAGGGTGGGTATACTACTGTTTAGTCCGTAACTATCTCACAGCAAAGGTTTTATTAATCTGGAAAACACCTAGATATTTTGCTGCCCTTTAAATAACTTGATTTGCAATCACCCTAGAAACTAATTGATAAAATGCCACCAATTAGATGTGCTTGATCTAGAATATTGCTATTTTGTACCTAATTGCATCTACCTTTTTTTTTTACACAATCCCCACCACAAGTTCTCATTTTGCCCTTCTTACTCCATCATCTGACCTCAAGTTTCCACCCCTCTTCAATTCAGAGATGCCAGCAATAGCCTAAACTGCCTTCCACACCCATAGCGCCGCATACCCCCACCATCTACTTTTGTCTGGATTTGCTGCAGCTAGGGCTCCAGCTCCCCAGCACCATGGCCTCTTCCATCGACTCATTGGAGAGCTCCTCTGACCTAACCAAGTGCATCAAGCTCACCTGGCTTATCTCCTGTGATTTCATCACATTGATGACTACTTTTGTCTGGATTTGATTCCTTTGTGGTAAGAACGAGCAATATTACTTGGTGCAAGATTCTTTCTTGGGTTTTAGTCATTCAGATCCATTATAACCTTTAATTGCTTGGTGCAAAATTCTTGCTCATGCTTCTGTTCTAGATACAGAAAGCTTGCCAAGTTCTACAAGTTGGAGCTCCAGATCAGCTTTTTGTCAATAAGTACCACTAACGTTTGAGGGTGACCATGGACACTGAAAGATTTGCTGACTTCTGACCTCCAGCTTTCTCCCTTATCTTCATCAAATCAGTTATTCCACTTGTTCTTTTGAAGCATAGCATTGAACAAGAGCAAAATAGGAAAGGAGATGCAATTAAGTTCAAAGAGGCAATTGGTAAACCAACACCATCTAAAGGGTGGCAAGAAATCAATTAGGTTCCAGAGTGTGGCAAATACTAGACTCACCATCTAAAGAGTGGTACATGATCAATTAGGTGAGGCAGCAGCTGTGACAGTAGCCCCTGGACACCTCAGTGCTCAAGCAATGATGAAGTTAAGACCTTAATAGACTACATGCATCTCGTTTAGGACTAATACAATTTTTAATATGGCCATGTAGGTATCACGTTAAAATGCTAAGAACTATGGTCTACAAAAGTAAACCAAAGGTTGCTTGCTCAAACCCACTGCTACATGTTTTGCCCACTGAGCCATTGGCTGCAAAGTTACACTTTAAGCCTCTTGGTATGCAAAGTGATCTGACAAAATTGCAGGAAGTTACAACTTTCCAGTGGATAACATTGCAGGATCGACTGCAATATAAAAGGTTGTAGAAAATTTTTAAAAAAAAGGATTGTGGATTTCACTAATTGTGTCCATCAACTTCTTCATGATCACAAATGCTAACAATAAAGCTAAGCATATTCAAAGGTTAACAAAAGGAACACTTTGGTACAGAAAATACATCAACTTCCTGGAAGAGGGAATTGCTACACATATATACAAGTTACAAATAGCGTTCTCAATAATTCCAAACATTTCTTTTGCAGTTCCAGTTTTTTTTTTTTTTGGACTCACACACAAAAGACTAACAAGACTTTGAAATATAGAGCAAAACAGCCAAAGTAGTATGCAGGGGAATACTCAGGAAAGCAGTAATAAAAGCTAATTTCATGTGTAATTTCAGAGAGATGATTATCATACCAGGAGGAGATAAATGCACAAAATTCTGGAGAGAACTGGTCCGCTGGTGCAGAGGGTGGTGGCTGGTCAACAATTGCTTCTAATAATTCGTAGAAGCTTAACCAACCTTCCCCTTCTGAAGGTATATAGGGGAACCGACCAATGGCACACTCGAGTATTACTAAGCCCAAACTCCATATGTCACTCTTGTAGTCATAGGAGCTTCCACTAATACGCTCAGGCTGAACTAGGAAGAAAGGTAGAAACTATGAGAACAAATTTATGAATTCCAGATCAGATCACTGTCTTGAACATAGACTAAGGGGTACATAAATAAAGCAGGTCATTATTTCAACATACCGCCATATAGTTGTAGGTTCCAACAAACGTATCCCGCTGACCCATTGAACTTGCTAGCACCGCACTTACCCCAAAATCGGTAATCTTTACTTCACCTTTACGGTTAACTAACAAGTTAGATGGCTTTATATCCCTGTGAATCACATGCCTTTCATGATGAAGATACAGTAGACCCTCCAAAACCTGAGTTGTCAAAATATCATGCAATGTTTTTTTACGTTAGAATACTTTTTCAACTGGATAGATGCGACAAAATTCCAAGCTTATTCCGAAAACAGGGAAAGTTAGAAATAAAAGGCTAAGTTTATGCTAACCTGTTTGCAAAGTACTGCCAGGTATGGCTCCAGAATTGTTTTGACTTGTTTAATGATATCTGCAAGAGATCCACGGTCCATGTATTCTAGAACAAGATATATTACACCATTATGGTAGAAAGATTGGTGGCAAAGGACTATATGTGCGTTCTGTGTTGCTTGATTTATTTTGAGCTCTTGTACTATTTGTTTGCGAACTGCCTCTTGAATGTTCATTTGTATGCCCTGTGGACAGAATTGCAATGCTAGTTAATTAAATGCCACAGCAGTATGAATACCAGGGACAATGCACAGAATTCTTGATTGATCTGAACATCATAACATGATGTTCTTCATTAGCATCAATATTAATTGAAAATCAGAGTTCAATGTAGATATTGCATGCAACACGTAAGCTGACGACAGATGCTTCTGCTACACCATTTATGTAGAATGCCCCACCTAATTTCAACAGGGAACATACTAATAGGTGCCAACACTACCAAATTGATTAAAAAATCAATCAAATGCTATGATGCAGAATAATCTGATTATGATAAACATGTTCAAAATGGAACTGAGAGATTGACTTCCAGCTTTCCATGATTACAAACATAAAGATAGAGAAACAGTTCAACTGAAGGACTCGCAGCCTGATGCAGCCACAAGATATACATTTTCCATTTAAGAATTAGTGTGGAACACTAGATGGATTTTGTGTAATGGAAATTACCTTCAAGGCATATAATGTCCCCACCCACTTGTGCCGAACTAGTTGGACGATACCACCACTCCCCTTACCAATGACTTGAATCATCTCAAGGTCATCCATTGACAACTGAACATCTTCCACCTTCAGGTTTGTTGACTGCTGGAAGACATAAAGATGAAACAGAAATTGAGAAATGTGAACAATGTTATATCCATGGATAAACTCTGAAATGTTTACACAATGATTCCTTAGCACTATTGCAGCACATAATACATTGCGAGAATGCATGAGTGGCATGGATCCCATGCATTGCAAGTGAGTATTGCATTCAATCAGCCAAATGAAAATCAACAGAAGCATGATAAGGTTTGACTGAACTAGTCAACCTGTACATGTGCTTCTACACTAACCTACATGTCACCATAAGGAGTACGATAAAGCAGTTTACATGAACCCAGTAGGGAGATATGAACAAACAAAAAAAGTAGCCATGGCACCAGGAACTCACAGGTTCATCTGCAGTTTCCTCGGATATAAGCTGCAAACCTCTTTGATTAAGCCGCAGTTCACCATCCTTGAATGTACCACTCGCGGTCCTAAAGGAGCACCAGCGATCAGTGACAGCTATTAAATTTTACCACGAACTCCCGAAACATAAATCAACGATTAGGCTGATGGATAAACAAAATAACAAACGATCTGGAACCACGAATAGCATTTCAGCCACTCTAAGTGAGGATTGAAGAGTCAGTTCAGCAACTCAGATCATAGATATTTCAAGCAAAAGATCAGTTAGACAGTATAAGTAGACCTACGCTTCTGTAAATCTTATCTCCATCTCAGTTCATAACTAACCCCAAAATCACAGTAAGACACTATGCAAGACAATTCGATCTGAACTCCAAAATCGTCAACAAATAACTAAAAAAAAACACAGAAGCCCTTCTATACCAGAGGCAAAACCTCGAAAGTTCATGACACCCGATCGCTCCAAAGGAGAACACACAAAGGAAAACGAAATCAAGTGACAGTAAAAAAAAAAAGAAAAAAAAGAGCACGTTTCAGGCCCAGGGAACCGAGGGAGGGGGACCCTACAGGAACTTGTCGACGGGCGTCTCCTGCGCAGGCACGGAGAGCTTGAGCTCCTTGTGCGGCTTCTTCCCCCTCATGGCCTCCCCCTCCTCCTCCTCTCCGGTTAGGGTTTATCCGCCGGTAAGAGACGGGGGACCGAAGCGCGAGCGAGAGGCCTATCCCGGCACGGATCTGCCCCGCGGCGGCTCGAGTAATCAGCCGGGAGTGGCGGGACGCGGCGGGAGGGAGGGAGGAAGCAGCCCGCGGCGGCGAGGGAGGGAGGAAGGAGAGGTGAAGTGGCGTCGGAAGAAGCGAAGAAGGAAGGAAGGAAGGAGAGCGTGTGGGGAAGGGAGTGGGATGGGAAGAGAAAGAAAGATGCTGACGATGGGGAGGGGGGTTGCTCTGTGGGAACGCACGAGTTGGAAAAATCAAAAAACTTGCGGGGCCCGCCTACGTATGCGGCTGATTCTGGGACACGGTCATCTCGTCTTCGCAGGCAATGACCTTGGGCACTTACCGTTATTCCCTTCATTCTCGATTCTTGACCTTGACATTCCCATTCTTTCAACTACACATATATATGGTGTGTTTTGCGAAAAGAGAAATTTATAGGTGTCACATTAAACGTTGATCGGATATCGGAAGGGGTTTTTAGATACGAATAAAAAAATTAATTTAATAACTTGCCTGGAAACCGCGGGATGAATTTATTAAACCTAATTAATCCGTCATTAGCACGTGTGTGTTGCTGTAGCACTTATGGCTAATCATGGACAAATTAGGCTCAAAAGATTTGTCTTGTGATTTCTATGCAAACTGTGCAATTAATTTTTTTATCTATATTTAATGTTCCATGCATATGTCCTAATATTCGATGTGACGTTTTTAGGAAAAAAAATTGAGAACTAAAAAAGGCCATATATGACTCACCAAACAACATATTTGTGAAGGGAAGATAATTTATAAATAAAATTTTTATATACGTGTTCTTAGCGATCTAAAAGCAAAAACTGAAAAATAAACTACGATAAAAAAACTTCAAAATCAACTCTAAATTTAAGATTGAAAATTCAAATTTTGGCTTATAAGCATAATCATGAGGCTGATACTTCCGAATACAAGAATCATTTTACGGCTTTGCTATTTTGCACTCGCATGAAAATTCGTAATCCATCTCCCTCTGGTCGTGAATTCTGCTTCAAGATCTGTGCACACTATCGGACTAGTGTGGAAGGTTTTTCTACATGGACAGTTCTTCAGCAGGCCTTTTTTTCCCAAGCCCATGGCCTTACCCTATCGGAAAGTCCTTTTTTTTTAATTGGATCCATGCCACTAAAAATATGCCAATTCAAAAAAAAATACTACTATTATTTACTACTATTTAACATATCGGTTGTGTGCCACTGAAATTTAAAAAAATTGGAACCATACTACTCCATCACGAAATTCCGTCTCTCTCCTTCCCTCTTCCTCTCTTAGCAGGTTAGTGTTGCTGATACGGTGGCGCGTGGTTGGTGCGACGGCAGATGACAGGAGGTCGATGGCGACGACGACTCCTGAGCCCTCCTACCGCCACCCGCACCAGCCCAAAGACAAACCTGCCAATAAAAGCGCTATGGTGGTGCTTGGTGTGGCGTGGCAGGGAGGAGGTCTCGACGGCGCTGTCGCAGTTGGTGCCGACGATCTTCTCTATGTCCATGAAGGTGGAGAAGAGGTCGTCCTCGGAGTCGATGTCGTCGAAGCCATCGCCATCCGCGCTGCCGACGAGGCCCAAGTTATCCGGGAAGCGGAAGGCTGCCTCAGATCTGGCGTGGCGACAAGGGCAGTGGCAACCACGGCCGGCTGCGTGGGCCCGTCACGCCGCTACCACCGCCAGGGATGGGTTTGTCGCGCATGTACGCCACCACTGTCTCCTCGGGAAGCTCATCGTTGGAGCCCCTGTGCACGATGTTGAACAGTCGCGGCGCCTGCAGTGGCGCCTTCGCCATTCCCGCTGCGCCTCCTTCTCCTCCCCCGACCAACGATCGTGCCCCCGCGACATCGCAGTGCACAAGACAAGCACCATCGTTGCCGTGGCCCCTGCACCCGACGATGGTGGTGGAGAATGAGAAGCGTCGCTGGAGGGAGAGACCGGAGAGAGGTAGGGAAAAGAGAAGAGAGGGGAGGGAAGTGAAGAAGATGAAACTGACAGCTAGGTCCCTCATGCAGTTGAGGTTAACGGAGATTTTCGACATATTTTTGACAGATTCGTAACCGCGTGCCACACACATTTTGCAAAATTGGAAACCATGCCACTGCCATCACATTTTCCATCCGTCTTCTTCCTTCTCTCTTCTCATCTTCTTGCTTTGCGAGCGTCAGACATCGGTAGTTTTGTGACGATTGCGGCAGTCAGCCTCCGCGGCTGTGAGGAGGTCAGCGCGAGGGCTCTGGCAACGGCGAGGGAGAGAGGCAGGAGGGGTTGGCAGAGAGCGCGGTCACCCAACGGGCTGACACGGGGGATGTGGCCTCCAGATCTAAAGAGGAGACAAGGAGCTAGAGAGAGAAGAGAAAGGGACAGGGGTGGAGAGTGGAGGGGGGCACCACCGGCGATGGAAGGGAGCGTAGGTGACAAATGGTAGCGACGGTGGTGGAGGAGGAGGAGCGACGACGGTGGCTGTGAGGAAGTCGGCCCGAAGGTGGGAGCGACGGCGGCAACCAGCGGCGGTGGTGGAGGGGGAGGAGGAGCGATGGGGGCGGAGGGAGCAAACGACTCAACCGGGCTGCACCGCCCGCCCTTGTGTGCGCCATGACCGTTTGCCACCACCCCGTCTCCGGTCGCTCTGGCCTCGACTTCAACACCGGGTGAGGAGGCAGGAGAGGATGGTGATGCGTATCGGGTTAAGGAGGGAGGAGCGGATGAGATGGATTGCTAGGGAGGCTGAGAGGTGGTGGAGAGAGATGGGAAAAACAAGAGGGAAGGATGGAGGAAAAAGATGAATCTGATAGGTGAGACCCACATGCAGATGAGAAAGAAGATAGAAAATGTGACGGCAGTGGCACGGTAGTGACAGCAAAGATGTTGGCCATCGAGATCTTCTGCGATTACTTCACATCATAGTTCTTCCTTTCAGCCTTGATCACACACAGAAAATCCTAAACGCATGTAAACCTGTACACAAATATGACACAATGCATGTGACCGAATAAAATTTGTGCAAACTTATTAACTTTGGTCAATTAACACTCTAATTGCATTTGGTCAATTAACACTAATTGCTTATCAGTACGAAAACCATCAGAAGCTGACTAACCAAATCACAGTGAACCAATATTTATCATTTGGCTAATTGTTTGGCTAATAACCGAATTGTGCAAATTAAACTCTCACGGCTATGTATCAAATTTGGCTCAGTGTGATTACTATATTGGATGCGTGTAATACATGCAACGAGTTCCTCTTTATTAATGTATAATATGGTTTCGGGGAACTGCTGGTTTCATTTTGCATTTTAGACTTCACACAACTTGCAGCAGCCTCTTACGAGACAAGGCAGTATTTTTTTTCAACAAAACTAGACCAAAACCACATATAAAAAAAGCACAGAGAAATTAAAAGTATGCCGAATCTAATTCGTACCCTTATCAGAAAATCAAGTAGGATGGCTCCCATAACTATTGAAATCGGTGTAATTTAACCCTCTCAGCGGTTTTGGAGAACGGTTTCACTGACGTGATGTTTCAACCCGATCCAACCGACTGGCTCAACATGTGGGACCCACGTATCATAGTCACATTTTTTTTCTTCCTTCTCTTTCTCTTTGTTTCTTCTTTTACCCACCATGGCGACACATGGCCCAAGGAGGAGCTGCAGCTAGGCCGCCCTGATGCGTAGCGATGACGCTGCCTCGAGGTGACGCTACATCAGCCTCCCCTCCAGCCAGCGCCACCGCCGCTGCTCATCTTCGTGTTGGGGAGAGGGGAGAGGCGACGGCAAAGCAAAAGCAGCGCTCATCGATGTCGTCGAGGTTAGGGCCGAGGTCGTTGAGAGAGGCAATGCGAACATCCCAAGGTGGAGAGGTCGGCTCCTCCCTGTTGAGCGACGGAAACAGAGGGGTGGTCCGGTGGAGCGAAGAGGAGCTGGTCGGCGGTGGCCCAAACCGACGGACGGGGACAGGGTCAGCTTGGAGCAGAGATCCAAGAGGCGCTCCTCCTGTTGTGTCGAGATCGATAGGGGTGGATCGCGGTGGAGGTCGCGGAAGCCGGCGGGGGCGGCACACGTCCTTTCTTCTCTCACCGCAAGCATCTTCCCCCTTCCATTCTATCCCCGTGTCCCGTTGCCCATGTCGGCGAGGTGCTAGGAGCTCGAGCTTCGACTCGCTGACAATGGCATGCAACAGCACTATCGTAGCTCCGGCGGTGGGCCTCGAGGGAGGGCGGTGGTGGCATGCTCTCCTCTTCACCAGCTCGGTGACAACGGGGACATGAGGACGAGTTCGAACTCGAGGAGACCACCCAACTCCACGCGCTGGTGCCTCCGTCCTCCCGCCTCTTGCGCCATGCTCTTAGACGCCATGGGTGCCTCGATGTCAAGCTCCATGACGGCAGCGGCCATAGCCATGCTACTCTAGGCCGGAGACGTGCTTCGGCGGTGGACTCGGTGGTGGTGGGCTCGTCGCGACCACCCCTGCATCACTGTTACTGCGTAGAACATCGTGCTTGAACGCCATGCCGTCAGCGACAGCCCCGCTGCCGACTTGCCGGCCGCCTCACACTGCCGGGCTAGAAAGAGGAGAAAAAGAGAAAAAAAAAAGGGAGAAGAAAATGTGACACTGACATGTGGGTCCCACATACAGAGTCAACCAGTTGGATCGGGTTAAAGCGCCACGTCAGCGAAACCGCCCTCCAAAACCATCGAAGGAGTCAAATTATACCAGTTTCTCAGGGTCGTTCTACCCGGTTTTCTGGTTAAGGGATACGAGTTAGATTCAGCCTACTTTAAGGGAGTTAAAGTTGATTTTTTTTTCCACTAATAAAACATCATACAGGCCCATTGCACATTGCCTAGAAAAAGACAAAAGCCCAATACGGAGAATAAAAAATCAGACCCCAAAATGGGACCGCAAAAGGAGTGCTACGGGCCCACTAACTCCCTTTGTTTCTTTGTCACACGCCCGTTGGATGCAGATCGAATGCTCACACAAATTGACTGACGGATTCAATTTTTTTCTGGCGACCAACAGACGGTCCCTTCAATTAGTAGTAAAAATCATTAAGAGATCATGTCTTGGAAAGAATTGGCTACTAGTGGCTTTCTTAATCTGGCATGGTATAGGATTGGGTGTAACATAGTTCGGAAAGAAAATCAGCATGTGACAATGAATGCAGGCTTCAAGCTACTTTGTACTCCCTTTTGCTTGCTTCGAGCACCAAAAACTATCAGGCACTTCGAAGCTACGATGACGCTAGCGGAAAAGTTCTCATTGGAACGGACTATCAATCCAACAAAAGAGTTCGCTCACCATTGAGTCTGAGAAGTGATTTTTGTTTGCCCTACGAAAAACATTTTACCTAGAAAAACAGTTATTTGAAGGCTCCTATTTTTGACGCTCGATGGTGCATCTAGGAAGATGTAAAGGGGAGCCATCTCTAGTGCTATGGTTCCTTAAGTACCCTAAGAAAACGTTCTAAAATTATTAGAGATCCCTAAACCAATGGATCCATCAAACATGTATTTTGCAAGAGGCATGGATGAGTTAGATAATGTTTAGTTGTTTCCTGAAAACACATTGCCATTTGTGAGATGGTTGCTAGTTGCTACATTGCTCTGGGCCCATAGCTACTTGTTGCTTTGCTTAATTCGATTACAATCATTTTTTTAAGGAAACCCGATTACAATCACTGGTGGTATCTTGTTGTCCTTCATTTTTAATCCATAATTTTTGATTGCAAATTACCCGCCGAGTAGAAACCGTGATAAGGTTCTTTTTCTCAGGCTATTCATGATTTGCGTTCATGACATGGTTCAACAAAATGATACTCATACTCTCCTAGACTGTCTAACAAATTACGATTTGGCCCTCTCTACTGTTCCCTAGCAGCAGAAACCACGATTGGTTTGTCATTCGGGTTGAGCTCGGACCTCCTGCGCAATTTCGATTGACAGGGCTGTTGTTAAAGTTCCTCAGATTCAATGACAAACCTCGTGGGGATTCTTTGTTGAGTCCGGTGATGCTTACACCAATATCTTCGGCTCAGCAATCAACCTCAATCTGGTGCCATTCCCGTGGAGGTAACTGAAGGGGATTAACGGTTTGTCAAGCGGTGTGCACTTCTCATGAGGCCCATGGCAGCAGTCGACACAATTTTAAGACGTCGTGGCTTTGCAGTAGTCATGGCTCACTGCAGCTCCCTGTCGGCTTGCTCCTTTTTCTGCTGTTCGGTTTCATCTGGAAGGCTGCTTCCATAGTTCGGTTCACCCTCTCTTTTCAGGGTTGTCACTTTTGCTTTCAATTTCTATCTTTGGTTGTGTACTGGGGTTTATCCCTTAACTCTGTTCTTGCTTAATAAAGTCATTTGTGTTTAAAAAAAACAAATTTCAAGTAAATATGAATTACAAAAATGTATCTGTTATGAGTTATCGAAAGCATATACCAGTGCTCAGGCGAATGAATGGTGTTAATGGTTAGTAATTTCTGAATACAAATAAACTTCCTACCACTGAATACAAATCTCCTTCAACCCTACTTCCCTCCAAACTTGTTTAGCTGCGCCCTGCCTCACCTTCCCTGAACTCCTGCGGCTGGTCGTCGTTGACGACGCTGGTAGTATTTACCGTAACGAGAGTCCACAACAATTGGCTTCTCTCGACGTTGACGACACTGGTAGTATCTCTCGTAACTAGAGTCCACAACAATTGGCTTCTCTGATCTTCTGTAGTTTCTTCCAAGAGAAGTACTAAGCTGTTCCACACCACCCATGTAACGAGCTTTCCTCTCCATTGCCTTGTGGAGAGCACTCTCATATCTTTCCCCTCTTCTTTTTTCCAAACGTGACATGCTCCTTTTCGAAACTGGGACTTCAGGCCCCTTCATGATCTGATTCGATCATTGTGAAAATATGCAGAGTTGTAATGCTTTGAGTAACAATTTTGACAGAGAAACAAATCAGGCAGCAATTGCTAAATACCTCAGGTTTTTCAGCTACTGACTGGTTTTGTGCTTCAGTAGACCTGACTAATTTCAGGTCTGCTGTTACCACCAAGGTCTCCGCTTCAGCAGCCATAGCTTGTTGTGCGTCCAGTGGGCCATGTGGTTCCAATACCAAATCCAATGGGCCCTGCATGCATATGTAGTTACTAGTTACAGATTATCAGAACAACACAAATTTCACAAAGGAAACTCTGAAGCTGATCTTTACCTCTGAATTCACAACATCAGTTCTCTCTGCAGCAAGATTAACATGTTTCATCATGTTCTGAGTAGCGATCATCTGAAGCGGCTCCACATATTCTGCAGATTGTAAAGGAATAGCCAAATCCGCTGGTTGAACCTCTGTAGGGTATACAAATAAGCTAAACAATGATTTTTGTACGGTTGAGCATCAATATAATACAGGAAAACAGCATACTATTCCATTCTTAACTACTTGACTCTCAGTCATACATCCAGCCTTCCCCTCCTACTGCCACTGTATACCGTACTGAACTTGGCACTAACATTACTACCATGTAATAAGTTTCTCTAGTGCTTTAACACCATGGGAATCACAAGAACATTGCTGAAAACTACTACATCTGTCCCATAATAATTGTATTTCTAGGATTTGAATTTGTCCCAAAATAATTGTCACAATAGAGTACTAATAGGTCTCATTAATCACTTCTCATTTAATCTTTTTCTATTTTACCCTCCACTACCCTTCCACTCTTACCTATACACCATTTAATAAGGGGCATCATAGTATTTCTTCTCAAACCTTAATATATACTCCCTCCGTACTCGTAAAGGAAGTCATTTAGGACAGCGACACGGTCTCCAAAACACAACTTTGATTTCTTGTTTCTATAAAAATATTTATTGAAAAGTGATATATGTATACTTTTATAAAAGTATTTTTCAAGACAAATCTATTCATATAATTTTTACATTTTCAAACTCAACAACTTGAGAGTTATTCATGATTTATATTCCCAAGGTTTGACTTAAACATTGTCCTAAACAACTTCCTTTATGAGTACGGAGGGAGTACTAAACAAACTAGAATTGCAATTTATATGGGACGGAGGTAGTATATAAGAACAAGGGAGGAGGACATTCAAGCAAGCTGCATCTTGTCTGACACCTCAAGAAAAGGTCACTGTGGTTTAAGGTGCATTGGATCAGCATCGAGTGGATATTTTTTGTTTAGCAAAATGATGAAAATGAATCAACCTTGACCTTGACTTAGGCCAAACCAACTGAAATGCAACAAAACAATAACGTCAATTTTTCGTTAGTGTGATGCCTACTTTTTGTTAGCCACTAAAAAATGACCACATAAATCTTATGAGATGTCTAAACAGCTGTGTGGGTAGCATTTTTATGAGACATCTAAATTACTTTCCAAAACAATAGATGCCTAATTGAACCCAGTATGCCTACCATGAAATGCGGCCATTGGCAGGTCTCCATCTAAAGTCTAAACATGACTTTACAAAAAACATGTACATGTTCTTCATAACTAATAGTTCGGATTAAACAGATAAAATTAGCCAATTTGTAGTTCTGTCAGTTCAGTTCAGGAAGCATGAAACCAAAGAGTTATAATTCAGTTTAATTCTTTAAGAATTAAATCCAAAAGTTGCTGTTGAAGTGATTGGAATGCTCGCCCTCTACCAACACAGTGACCAAAACTACACTAGCAATCAATTAAGATCAACTCACTTCTCATAGCAAGTTATCCACAGTAAGTTCCAACTCGTAGTCTAAAGAAGCAATCCACTCATATATTTGGAAGTACCTAAGTGATGTGTGAAAGACTTACCGCTATCGACCAACAAAGCGGGTGGCCATGGCGTTTGGAAAAGATAAGTCTCGCCGCTGCACCTAAACTCAGCCATGACCTTCATATTCTTCAGGTCAATGGCAAATTGAGGATAGCGGTCATCCCAGGAAACAAGAACCAATCCACTAGCCACTGTTCGGACTTGTCGCACCAGGGAATGCCTGTCAAGCACTTCACTAACCGGCATTTCCTTCTCCAATTCCCACCTCCTGCCACCACCGTCCTCCTCCATGAGCAGCCACACTTGCATGTGGACGTTGTCCATGGTGCCATCAAGGCATACAAGGCAGCACACGCCATCCTCCATCTCCCCTATGGCGTACTTGGAAGGCTGGAACAAGCTTACAGGGAGACTGAGCATGGAGAATTCCATCGTGAGCGTGTCAAGCAATATCACAAAATTGTCCTCGCATTTCCAGAAGATAATCCCCGCCGCATGCATCGCCTGGCCCCGGCGAGGCCGCCTCATGTTTTCCACCCACGGGTGGAAGCTCCACTCTCGAGTACCGGAGTTGTACTCCGCGGCGCGCATCCTCCGGCCATGGCGCTGCACGGACACCACGCGGAACGACGCCGCGCCGTTGTCGCCGCGCCCGTGCAGCAAGCAGTCGGCAATGTAGGCGTCCGAGAAGGGGTCGTCCTGTGGGCGGCGGATGGAGACGCGCCGGCGGGACACCGGGTCGTAGACGGCGACGGATCTACCTCCGCAGAGGAGCAGGCGGCCGTTGCGGCAGTCCCGGAGTTGCCAGCGGGGATCCTCGCCGTCCCCGACGCGGATGAGCGAGAAGTCGCCCCCGAGTACCGCGGCGCCGAGGTCGGGGTCGGAGCGGACGGTCGCGGCGGGGTGGAACACGGGGAGGCCGGAGCTCCCGTGGGAGACGAACAGGCCGAGGAGAGGCGACGAGGTGTGGCGGGCGCGGAATCGGCGGAGGAAGTCGGGGCCGGAGGCGACGGCGAGCCAGCACTTGGAGGCTAGCGCGGCGCGTTGGAGGGAGGCCGCCGACGGGAGGCGGAGAAGGATCTCGGCGAGGAGGTCGTCGGTAAATGGCTGCAATGCCATCCGGATCCGGAGGAGTGGGGGCGGCGGCCGGCGCGCTACGGGAAGAGGCCGGAGGAGACGGGAGGGGCGCGGAGTTCACCGGAGTGGCGAATAGCAAGGCAGAGGCCCGCGACACATACTGACGCACGACGCAGGTCGCCGCCGCCCGCCGGTGAACCCCCAAAGGAACGGTGGGATTGGACCGTTGAGCAGTGAGGTGAGCACTTTTCACTTCGCACGAGTCCTTGTCTTCGGTCGCCTTTCCTTTTTTTTTTTAACGAACCGCGTGATGCGAGGTTCCATATTAATAACAGAAATAAATTACTCCACAAATGTAAAAAAAAACAAGAAAAAATTATTATCTAGATTACCTCAATAAATACAATGAAAGCAGCCAATGATACTAGAGATATTACAGTTGAGGATTAAACAAACAAAATTTAAGGGAGACGGGTGTGCTACTTAATTGCATTGCATGCATACATGCGTGTTTTTTTTATTATGAAACATAAGAAAAATAGTTGTCTTATATTTTAGTATAAACATTAAAAAAATAATGGTTATGTCTTATATTTTGGGATAGGGGAGTAGTAGAAAAATGATTATAATAGCTTGGAAGGTTATAATAAAAGGAAAAAACAATACGTCATGTTGCATTCCTACAACACATTGCTCACTGTTGAGGGACAAATAGATAAAAACACGTCAGTACGTCAACCAAAATGCACTTAAATTTATCCATGCTATTGTATGGAGAGGGAGAGGGCAATTGATAAGGATGGAGCCGCTCTTCCCCGTGCAAAACCGCCAATATGGCCATCTTGAGAAGAGCGGCGCGGGCGGCGGCGTCGGGCGCTGGGGCCTGGGGGAGAGCCGCGCGAGCGACCGGTGTTGAGGGCTGGCGGCGACTCGTGTGGGATTGGGGATGAGGAGTAGAGCTAGGGTTTTGATGCATATATGGCCCTTCAAGCACATATGGGCCACAAGTCCACAACAGCATGGGCTAGCTACCTCAGCTCATTAAGGCTCGCGAGCAGCTCGCGAGCCAGTTCGAGCTGGCTCGTTATCTCTAACGAGTTAAAAGGCCAGCTCGGCTCGTTAGAAAAATGAAACGAGCCGAGCTGAGCTTGGCGCGAGTCAAGCGAGCTAACAAGCCACGAGCTTTTCGTCCAGGCCTTTTGATGGGTGAGATAGCTGGGCATGGTTTGGGTGGCTTGGACACCAAGCGTCCGTGGTGATCACGAGTTCACGACAAGGAACAACGTCAGGAGGAGATGAGGAGATTGGATCTTGTATTTGCTTGATTAGGAATGACACTGTCGAGCTCCTTAAATATACTATATATATAGAGAGTATATGTTTGAAAGTTTTCAATTAAATAACTTGCTATAATATTTTTAGATAGTCCCAAAATTTTCCCTATTACCTCCGTCTTAAAATATAGCTATTTCTAGCACAATACCTTATCCCAAAATAAAACTATTTCTTCACCTACCTCCTCCTCTCAACCAATCACAACCATTCTCCTTCACCTACCCATGACACATTAATCAATAATACACTTCCTCCAATCATTCTCACATACTTTTTTAATATCCGTGTCAACCTAAAAAATATCTACATTTTAGGATAGAGGAAGTAATACATTATCAACAACTGCAAAATTAACACCATACGAATGTGCTTTCGAATGCGAATACGATGATATCATATGCATGCCACTAGATATATATATATATATATATATATATATATATAGTTAGTTAGTTAGTTAGTTTAATTATTATAAAAATGATGCAAATGTTGCTTTTTTTCCTAATATTATAGGCGCCTTAGAATAGAGGGAATAGACACTACTTTTATTATTAAAATGACCAAAACGTCGAAGGAGGGATTTTATATTAGACAAATTTTGCGACAGCACACTGCTATTGTGTGGTTTTAGCCGTAGGACACCGCCCGAATATACTTTTGGGAGAAGACACTCCATAAACGTGGTAATTTATCAATGGACACCGCGCCGATTAGAATAATAATTCCTGGTTGAAGAGTAGACAGAAATCACGTGAAAGTTCTAAAATACCCTTGAGTCCACATGTCATATATTTCTAACATCTCTCTTCTCTCTATCCCCTCCCACGCTTCCATAGCCGATGCCTCACCGATGACGCCATGCCTCACCAAGGACGGGGGAGTCGAGCAGCTCGGTGGGGCTGAGCCCCAGTGGGATGGCGAAGTAGGACGACGGCGACACTGGTGGCGGCGAGAGCGGCAGGCTTGGTGGCTGTGCGGACTTGAACTTGGGCACCGACCACCAGAGCCACCGCGCCACGAGGAGGTGTTCTCCAATGGCCTCAACATCCCGGACATCATCAACGAGCACCTCGGCGCCGAGCCGACCCTCCCTTACCTCAGCCCGGACCTTCGTGGCGCCAAGCTCCTCGTCGGCGCCAACTTCGCCTCCGCTAGCGTCGGCATCCTCAACGACACCGGCATCCAGTTCGTGAGTGCCACTGACTGATCACTGATCGATCGCGGTCGGTGAGATGCGTTCATGGCGTTCATGGCGGTGTTCTTGCAGGTGAACATCGTGAGGATGAGCAGGCAGCTGCAGTTCTTTGCGGAGTACCACAGGAGAGGCTACGCGCGCTGGTCGGCACGGCGAGGGCACGGCGGATCGTGAACGGCGTGCTCGTGCTCATCACCCTCGGCGGCAACGACTTCATGACCAACTACTACCTCGTCCCTTTCTCCCTTCGCTCCCAGCAGTTCGCCCTCCCCGACTACGTCCGCTTCCTCATCTCCGAGTACAAGAAAATCCTCCAGGTCTGTTAGACTAAGCCTGTCACATTTAGCTGGTTAGTTATTCATTTGTTTGTGCATCCGTGGCAGGTCATTGGATTCTGTCACGAGTTAGTTTCTCTTTTACATGTTGCATGAGCCAGAGGCGCGCAGAGTTCGCGTCATGGCCGAGAGTGCGTGTGTGTGTGACTCGCCGAGAATGCAGCGTTGATCAGCACTTCGTGGGATGGCGCGGAGGAAGTGGTCATAGCGGCTGAATAGGTGAAGCTGTTAGTTTGTTATGCATGTAATCGTTGGAGAATAAATGAGATAAAAAAACCAGAAAAGCTGCAAGACGTTGCGCGGCACCAAAAACCTGTGTTCTTGTGTTCATCTCTGTTCGTTTTGCTTTCACGCGCGTCTACACTTTTGTTTTTCCTGTGTTTATCCAAGTGATCGCGTGTGTGAGGGTTTTGCCACAACAAGTGGTATCAGAGCCTGAGTTTAACATGTCTTCCGACAGCGACAGTGGCCGCTACACTCCTCCGGGGCGGCGTGGCGCCGGCGGCGGCGGCGGCAGCGGCAGTGGCAGCAAGCAGGGCGGTGGTTCAGGCACTGGCACTGATGGTGCTGAAGTCCCCATCGTCCAACAACCAGCACCGAGGGATCCTAGCGTAGCCGTGCGCTATCCGGTGCTGACGAGAACCAACTATGCCGAATGGGCAATGTTGATGAGGGTCAGCCTCCTGGCACAAGGTGTTTGGGGAGCAGTTGATCCGGGCTATGCTGAGTTCAAGGAAGATCGGGTCGCACTAGCAGCCATTTTGCAAGCTGTCTCAAAGGAGATGCTACGACCGTTAGCAAAGAAGGACTCCGCAAAGGCCGCTTGGGATGCCATCAAACTCATGCGAGTGGGTGTTGATCGTGTTCGTGAGGCGAAGGAACAGGCGTTCCGTCAGCAATACGAAGCAATGCGCTTCAAGGTAGGAGAAACTGCGGAGGAGTTCAGCTTGAGGCTAACATCGGTGGTCACGGACATCCGTGACATGGGTGGCGTGCTTGATGATGAGCATATGATCAAAAAATTCCTACGTGTTGTTCCAAAAAGGTACAAGCAGGTGGCAGTCGCACTTGAACAATTCCTTGATCTGAAGACAATGCCAATCGAGGAGCTTGTCGGGAGGTTGTCGACCGCCGAAAGGGATGATAACGTGGACGACGACGATGATGCGCCACGCGGAAATCGTCTCTATCTCACCGAGGAGGAGTGCTTGGCCCGCATGAAACTGAAGGACCACGATGGGTCCTCGAGCGGGTCGAAGAGCGGTGGCGGCGGTGAGAAAAGCCGTCATGACAAGCCGTGCAGCGGTGGGCGTGGTGACCGCGGCCACGACAACAAAAGCGGCGGTGGATCATCGTCGACCAGAACGTGGGATAGGTCCAAGGTAAAGTGCTTCAATTGTGATAAACTTGGGCACTATTCCAAGGAATGTCGCAAGCCTCGCCGCGAGTGGCGGGAGGAGGCAAACCTGGTGCAGGTTGAGAATGAACAGCCGGCGCTGCTTTTCACCGAAGTGCACCAGACGGTGTTCCTCAACGAGGAACGCGTGATTCCGAAGGAGATGCCTGATGATGTCTGGTATTTTGATACTGGCGCTAGCAACCACATGATTGGGAACCGAGCGATGTTTGCATCGCTTGACGAGAAGGTGACTGGGACTGTCCGCTTCGGCGACAACTCCGTGGTCGAGATCCAGGGCATGGGCGCCGTCACGTTCCAGTGCAAAAATGGTGAGCACCGTGCCCTGACGGAGGTGTACTACATCCCTCGCCTGCGTAGCAACATAATCAGCCTCGGGCAGCTTGAGGAAGGAGGATGCAGAGGTGTCCTTGAAAACGCCGCACTAACGCTGTTCGACGCAGAGCGTCAGCTGCTTGCGTGGGTGCCACGCAAAAACAGGATGTATACCCTGTCCCTGAAACTGGCCACGCCTGTGTGCCTGCTGACGAAGGCAGATGATGAAGCATGGCGGTGGCACGAGCGGTTTGGACATCTCAATTTCCGCTCATTGCGTGATATGAGTCTGAAGCATATGGTTGAAGGCATGCCACTGGTGAACCACGTCGAGCAGTTCTGTCAGGGGTGCTCCCTTGGCAAGCACCACAGGGCTCCGTTCCCGCGCGCGTCTGCATTCCGCGCGGAGCGAGGGTTCGAATTAGTTCACGGCGACTTGTGTGGACCAATCACGCCGACAACAACTACTGGTAAACGCTATTTTCTTTTGATCGTTGATGATTATTCTCGGTACATGTGGGTCGAGATGCTCAGGAGCAAAGATGAAGCGTTCAAGTGTTTCAAGAAAATCAAGGCAGCAGCTGAGAACGAGCTTGACGTGAAGCTCAAAGCTTTCCGCACTGATCGTGGAGGAGAATTCAACTCCAATGAGTTTACCAGCTATTGTGTCGAGCTGGGCATTCGTCGGGACACCACGGCGCCGTATACACCCCAGCAAAACGGGGTGGTTGAGCGGCGGAATAGGACGGTGGTGGAGATGGCTCGAAGCATGTTGAAGAGCAAGGGCGTGCCGGCACATTTCTGGGCGGAGGCTGTCAAGACGGCGGTGCACGTCCTGAACCGTGCGCCCACGCGCGCTCTCGACGGCATGACGCCCTATGAGGCGTTGTATCGTCGGAAACCCAAGGTACATTATCTGCGTACTTTTGGATGTGCTGCTCTTGTGAAAAAGGTTGGGCCTGGGGTGTCGAAGCTATCCGATCGCTCCATCCCAGGCGTGTTCATCGGCTATGAAGACAATGCCAAGGCATATCGGGTTTATGATCCGGTTGCAAAGAAGTTGTATGTGTCACGTGATGTGGTGTTTGAGGAGGAGAAGAAGTGGAACTGGGAAACCAATACTGGCAGACAAGATCCTGACTGGTCTGGCACGTTCACTGTTGTGTATACTCCCAGGGACATGGGAGACAGCTTGGGATCCAACGGAGGCACCCAAGAGGTGTCCGACGCACCGGGGCAGCAGTCGCCGGCTACACCGGAGCGGCCGCCGCCGGCCACGCCATCCATGCCGACCACCTCGACTGGTGTGGAGTTTGTCAGTCCGCCGATGGGAGGTTCGTGTGACTCGGAAGGGATGCCACTCCGTTACCGTTCGCTGGAAAATCTTCAACAGACGACGCTGCCGGTCGATGACACGGTGATGTCGGACGTCAACGACTTCAGCGGGTTTTGCCTCGTGGCTGCCGAGGAGCCAGACAGCGTGGAACGTGCGCTGGCCGAACCCAATTGGCGGCGTGCAATGGAGGACGAGATGAGCTCCATCCGTGGAAATGAAACCTGGGAGTTTGCAAGGCTTCCAGAAGGGCATCGAGCCATTGGGCTTAAGTGGGTTTTTAAAGTAAAACGAGACCCTGCTGGTAACATCGTCAAGTACAAGGCACGACTAGTGGCGAAAGGGTATGCGCAGCGCCAGGGGGTGGACTTTGATGAAGTGTTTGCTCCGGTGGCACGCTTGGAGATGGTGCGGCTGCTACTTGCTTTGGCTGCACATGACGGTTGGTCAGTTCATCACATGGACGTCAAATCAGCGTTCTTGAATGGTGATCTTGAGGAAGAAGTCTATGTGCAGTAGCCTCCCGGATTTATTGACGACAAGCAGGGCGGTGCAGTACTCAGGCTGCGCAAGGCATTGTATGGGCTGCGGCAAGCACCGCGAGCCTAGCATTCCAAGTTGGACGCCACCCTGGTGTCACTTGGTTTTGATCGATGTCCCATGGAGCATGGTGTGTACAAGCGAAAGACTGGTGATGATCTACTGCTAGTTGGAGTATATGTGGATGATTTAATCGTTACAGGGTCCAAAGATACTGATATTGAGGAGTTCAAGGCTCAAATGGGGAAATTGTTCAGTATGAGTGATCTTGGTCTCCTGAGTTATTACTTGGGGATCGAGGTACAACAGTCTAGAGGAATAATCACCATGTGTCAAAGTAGCTATGCAAAGAAGATCCTAGAGATGTCTGGGATGATCGGCTGCAATGCTTGTGCAACACCTATGGAGAACCGACTGAAGTTGAGCAAGAAAGATGGCAGTGCAGCTGTGAATCCAACCGAGTACAGAAGCATAGTGGGAAGTCTCCGTTACTTGGTAAATACTAGGCCTGATCTTGCTTACTCAGTTGGCATAGTCAGCAGATATATGGAAGCTCCAACATCACAGCATATGGCTGCCGTGAAGCATATTTTAAGATATCTGAGTGGAACTATTGGATTTGGTTGCTGCTATCGCAAACAAGACCAGTCTGATAATGGCTTGATGGGCTACAGTGACAGCGATATCGCTAGTGATCTCGATGATCGGAGAAGCATGTCAGGTGCAGCTTTCTTCCTTGGAGCAAGCTTGGTTACTTGGACGTCACAGAAGCAGAAAGTCGTGGCGCTCTCATCGTGTGAGGCTGAGTACATCGCAGCCGCGTCAGCTGCGTGTCAAGGTCTGTGGCTATCTCGCTTGCTTAATGACTTGATTGGAGGTGCAGCGAAGAAGTTCAAGTTGTTGGTGGACAACAAGTCGGCCATAGCGCTTACGAAAAATCCTGTTCATCATGACAGAAGCAAACATATTGACACCAAATTCCATTTTATTCGTCAGTGTGTTGAGGAAGAAAAGGTTCAGATTGATCACATTGGCACAGATGGTCAGCTAGCTGATTTACCCACCAAGCCACTTGGGCGTGTCAAATTCCTGGAGTTAAGGCGGAAGCTGGGTGTCGAGAACGTGAAGGTGACAAGGCTTAGGGGGGTGATTTGTTAGACTAAGCCTGTCACATTTAGCTGGTTAGTTATTCATTTGTTTGTGCATCCGTGGCAGGTCATTGGATTCTGTCACGAGTTAGTTTCTCTTTTACATGTTGCATGAGCCAGAGGCGCGCAGAGTTCGCGTCATGGCCGAGAGTGCGTGTGTGCGTGACTCGCCAAGAATGCAGCGTTGATCAGCACTTCGTGGGATGGCGCGGAGGAAGTGGTCATAGCGGCTGAATAGGTGAAGCTGTTAGTTTGTTATGCATGTAATCGTTGGAGAATAAATGAGATAAAAAAACCAGAAAAGCTGCAAGACGTTGCGCGGCACCAAAAACCTGTGTTCTTGTGTTCATCTCTGTTCGTTTTGCTTTCACGCGCGTCTACACTTTTGTTTTTCCTGTGTTTATCCAAGTGATCGCGTGTGTGAGGGTTTTGCCACAACAAGGTCCGTATACACTTCGTCTTCTTCCTCTCGATCAATTCGTCTCTGATGTGTTCGTCCGTTGGCATGGCATGGCATTGGAAGAGGCTGTACGACATGGGGGCGAGGCGGGTGCTGGTGATGGGGACGGGGCCGCTGGGGTGCGCGCCGCACGTGATGCGCGCGGCGGAGCTGTTCAACCCGCAGCTGTCGCGCGCGCTGCAGGAACTCGCTGGAGAGCCTGTTCCCGTTGAGGAACACGTTGCAGAGCGCCGTGGCGGAGGCAAGGTCTCCCAGGAGCGCACCAGTGAGCGCATTGAGGTGGAGGCTGAGCGTGTGCAGCGCCGTCAAATCGTCGTGGCGGCAGAGGACGACGCCGACGCCGCGATGGCAACGGCGGACACCGCGAGTCCGCGAGCTTTCCGACAGATAGAGAGAGATGAGAGAGCGGTGGTGGTGTGGCAGCGCGGCACGCGGCACGCGCCATGGAAGTGTGGCCGTGGGCAACCGTAGGCCATGGACGGGATAGAGAGGGATGGGAGAGAGATATGACATGTGGGCCCAAGGGCATTTTAGAACTTTCACGCGATTTCTCTCTCCTCTTCAATCGGAAATTATTATTCTAATCGGTGCGGTGTACATTGGCAAATTACCACTTTTATTTAGTTTCTTTCCCCCAAAAGTAAGTTCGGGCGGTGTCCTACGGCTAAAACAACACAATAGCAGTGTCATGTAACAAAATTTGCCTTTATATTATTACTTGAAATAATACTGTAGAGACCTCTATAGTTCTAATGGCCCCAGGTAATGTTATGCTTTAGGGCTCGTTTGGAAAAAAAAAAGAAAAAGTGAAGGATTTCTAGAGGATCTAGATCTTTAGGGTACAATTAAAACAAAATATTGATGCTTAAATTTCTTTCGAAGATCCTATGGAAGGAGCCATTCTATGCTGGAGCCATTCTATGCTGGTATTGAAGGAAAACAAACATAATGTCTTCCCTGCTGGAAGACCTAAATTAGTAGATTATTAGATAGTCTACAGAAAGAATAATCTGTAGAAATATCTTAAAAGCCTACCTGATAGAAAATATTTATAGTGCCATCTTATTATTTATAATTTATAGTACCACCTTATTAGTTCTAGTATAGTAGACGTCTAGTCACTTGAACAATGTGGTAAGAATTAGAGAAATGTGCATGCTCGTACCCCTCGTCAGGCCGGGCTCAGGCATGGGGCTCCAAATGGTCGCGCATACGCCGCTTTTTTCTATAGCTCTGCTTTATTGTATTTAACGAATTATCCGATGTTTGTTTGTTAAACTCACTGGATGGTCTGCTGCGTGGCGTGGATATCATACAAGCCTCTTGATCACACGTTGCAGTATCTCTATAAATACCAAACCGCCGTCTATATGCAACTTACATGAAAACAATTGCCTTCTCTTTTGTATTGCCCCATTGCTCATTGTTTACTCCATCACGCCCGCCACCATGCACGGGCATCCGGGAGAGCAGCTATATGCAACAGTTGCCTTTAACATCCTGCACCTAGCCAGAGAGGGCGGATAAGATTTGGAAGTGCTCCGCACGACTGCTCATTGTTCATCCACTGTGGCTCATTTTCCTATGTTCCATCGATGTGTGTTGTCATCAATATTTTGTACCGCACGTCGTATGGGCAGTGAGTGCCGCGCCTCGTCTAGAACAAAATCGTCGGTATGTTTTAACTATGTTTCGTATATTTGATATATTCATGTCTAGTATTGTCGTATACATATCTAGGCAATATTTATGTGAGGTGATAATGTTAGCTTATATAGTTATATGTTTAATATTATGATTTATTTGTATGTGGTGGCGGTAGGGTTTCGGCAGTGGATTGGGGAAATGGAGCGGTGGACGGGGTGCTCACGATGGCTGCGGTGGCGGGAAAAGCGACGGCGCAGTGCGGGGTGGACGGGAGCGACGATGGTGCACGGCTGAATGCGATGGGAGGCGGTGGAGAGAGGGAGCACGGTGGAGAGGTGCTTTAGGTGGTATTTTGGGGAAACGGAGGGGATGCCGAGGTAGAGCTTGGCACGGCGTTGCCGACGGCGCAAGTGGCGTGGCGCGACGGTGACTAGGGCGGCGGCGAGGTGCGGCTAGAGAGCTCCGGCGGGCGGCTGCGCATGGCTCGGCGTGGGGAGAGCGATAGGGGGCGCGGCGAGCCCGGGGATTTGGGGAAAATGGGAGAGGGGGCCCCGGGGATGCTTTTTATAGGTCCGGGAGGTGGAAATCGGGACCGAGAAAGGCGGGAACCGACCGGCGATGTGGGGCGCCGACGTGGGAAGGTTGGCGGCGGTTCGGCGCTGATTTTGCGGGGAGGAGTGGGGGAAATGGGGGAGGAGGAGGTGGGGATCGAGTCCACGTGCTCGCGAGGTGAGGTGGAGCGCGGGAAGCGCGGCATCGTGGGGCGAAACCGGCAGCCATGGCGGTTGCAGCCGGCCGGATGGAGGTAAGGGGAGAAGCTGACGAGTGGGCCCGCGGTCCCACTTGTCGGCGAGAGAAGGGGGAGGAGGCCGATGGAGGGATGCAAAGAGGACTTGCGGGAGAGGGAGGGGGAGGAGCTGGGCCGGCCCAAAAGAAGGGAGAACTTGGGCCGAAAGGAGGCCCGAAAGGAAAGAGGGGGATTTTAATTGTTTTTCTTTTTATTTAATTGGTTAAATGAACTTTGTGCTATTAAAATTATTTCTTAGAAAATTTACAGAAAAATCCGGAGAGTATATTTAGGCACAGAGAATATTTCAAAATATTTCCGGCCAATGATTTTTAAAGAAAATTTTAATTTCCTTTATAATTTCCCTTGATTAAATTACTTTAAATTTTAATATAATTCCTAGAAAATGCATTACTAATTGATTTTTAATCCCCAACGAAAATCGGGGCGTTACACTCAACCTCCTGCTGCAGGATCAGAAGGTTTTAACGAGGTACGCCGGCCATCACCCATCGGGTTGGCTGCATAGGCTGACACGCAGCCTCGGCCGCTGCCGATGGAGAGGATCTCGGTCACAGGACAGGATCGGTGATGTTGTCGAGGGCTTGCAGTTGCAATAGCCTGGCTGACTTCAATGTCAACGCCAGCACGACCTTATCGATGAGCTCTACAAACTTGGCCTATAAGCCTGATCTGCCTGTACGTCTTAGTCCATGATCTAAAATTGTGATTCCTGATTTATGAGGGACTATGAGTCTGATCTCCCTGTATCAGACTATCAGTCCATCATCTATTTTGTTTTTTCTTCCTAATTTGTCAGGGTTTTTTAACAGGGGAAGACAACGAGGTGATGGAAAACAACACCGCCTGCCAGATGCAGTATGTTAGCAGCGTGTATTTGTTTGACGAATTGAGTTTGCAGCGCATATGTGAAGGATGGTTATTGTAATGTGTGAAGGCTAGGGATCATGGTCACTTCTGTACATGCCACAACACGGTATTTGCACTCTTCTCATTTAATCTACTAGCCCATAGGCCCCATACAAAACTAAATGTTAGTACATGCCAGATACACTATTCATAATTTTGCCACTGTTTATAGGTCAATTTTTTCCATGATTGATAAAAGTTCACCTTCACATCTTTTTTTAATCAACGCTGACATTAACTAACTCCTTAATTATTTACTTGCATCCTGTACATTGACTGAGCAGTTCTCTTCAAAAGGAAGAATGTCATCACAAACAACAATGTGGGCATGATCTACTGTCAATGTATGAATACTAATTGAATATTTGTTTTTTTTTTCATATACACTAATTGAAATAGTACTAGGAAGAGAGCTATAATACAGTAAGGTGGTTGTTCGTCACAAATAAAAATCAAGGATGGTTATTCAACAAAATTATTTCCACGCTGATTCGGCACTTCAGATTTCTACTGCTTGCATTGTATCAATATTTTTAGATGATTATATTACTAATATTATTGATGTACCTAGAAATTATACATGTTATGTTGTAATGTGATTCGTTTGTTAATGACAGGAATTAGGAAATATGGGAAGTGGTGTTTGATGTTTTCTCATACAGCCATATTTATATTATATCTGGTCTATGCAAGACCAAATTTTGCTTAGGAAAAAATATTTGACAAAGAAAACCATTTTGCAAGTCCAAAAAAGACCAGGGGACTTACATTTTTGGGCTAGTCTCATATTAGCCAAAGAGTCTTTTCAAAGGTTCGGTTCCTTCTTATTACAAGATGGCTCACAAGTAAGATTTTGGGAGGATTGTTGGATAGGAGTTCAATCCTTTGAGAAGGAGTATCCTAACCTCTACAATCTAGTTAGAAATAAAAATAAGGTGGTGGCCAAGGTAATGAGTGGAATACCGTTAAATCTGTCTTTCAGAAGATCAATAGTGGGAAGAAACTTGGAAGCCTGGTATGAGCTAGTGTCGAAAGTTGTTAACACTGTATTGACAGATCAGAAAGATCGCTTCTTTTGGAAAAACAATAAAGAAGGCATTTTCACAGTAAAATCTATGTACAAGTTCCTCATGTATGAAGGGCTGGTTCCTAGGAAGAATTTCATTTGGAAGCTCAAAATTCCACTTAAAATCAAAATTTTATTGTGGTACCTCAAGGAAGGGGTAATTCTCACTAAGGATAATCTAGCAAAGAGAAGGTGGAAGGGTAGCCTAAGTTGCTGTTTTTGTAACTCTAAGGAAACAATACAACACCTTTTCTTTGATTGCTCAATGGCTAGATATATTTGGAGTGCGCTCCTTTTTACATTTGGGATTAGGCAACCGTGTAGCATGTCTCAAATGTTTGGGAATTGGCTGAATTGTGTTGAACCTAGGCTCAAGAGAATATTGTGTGTGGGCATAGCTGTATTTCTTTGGGCAATTTGATTATATAGGAATGATGTGGTCTTTAATGGCTCCAATCCTACATCTTTCTTGCAGATCATTTTCATGGGAACACATTGGGCAAGGACTTGGTCTTTGCTTCTTAAGGGAACCGATGAAGAAATAGTTAAGAACTATTGCAAAGTGTTGGAGAAGCATGTGGTGGAATTCTTCTCCGTGTATGGCTGGAACCTTAGAAGAAGATTGGAAGCCTAGTCTTTTCTTCGTTTGTTGTTCTTAAAACCTTTGTTTGTGCTGTCATCTCTTATGTAATGGGAGAGGTCAGTTGATGCATTTTGTACCCTTTTATTAGGGAGAGTCTTATGTACTCGTGTTCGGATTTTGGCTGTGTATACCCCACAAAGGTGTAGAGGCCGGGTTTGATAATCCTTTATCTAAAAAATGCAAGCTCATGTGGTTAATTCATTCTAAGAATTCTTCCTTCTGCCTGGCTGCTCTGATCTTTTCTTACTACATCGAGATACCGTCAGATCATGACATGTCTTCTCTTCGTCCGTTGCAAAATTGTGTGTGTGTGTTTTTATTAATCACTCCATCTTCTGCCAAATTGTAAGTCCATACCTTTCATTTCATCTGGACCCTGTGAACGGGACCGGATTTCCTGTCTAGATTTGTCTTTTTTAACTAATTTTTAACTTTTTTCTATTCAGTGTACTGATGGTCTAGATGGTGCATGGATACAGGAGGCTGTTCTACACTGGTGGAGAAACCATCTTTCGTCGGTCGGCCGAATTCCACAATAGTTTCGGTTGCAATAAAAACCGGGGCTAAAGATGATTTTAGTCCCGGTTAAAAAGGGTAACGGACATATTTAATTTTTAGTCCCGGACTAAAGATGATCTTTAGTCTCGGTTCAAATGCTGTCAGGGCCTGCCAGGCCTCCCCCGGATTACCAACCGGGACTAAAGATCGTAACTTTAGTCCCGGTTAGTGTTACCAACCGGGACTAAAGATCACGGGGATCTTTAGCCCCGGTTCATAACACCAACCGGGACTAAAGTCCCACCCCTATATATATGTCTTCTTCCTGCTCCAGCTGCCCGAGCAAGCTTCAAAATTTCTTCAAAAAAGAGGGGAGGTCATGCCAAAATTTCTAGTGAATTTATTTTGGTGATTATATACAAATCGGAGGTGCCTAAAAGGTTAGTAACTTCATCCTCCAATGTTTTTTTTTGTCATATTACATTTGGAGCTATGTTTTGCACACTTTTTTGTCTCCAAAATTTAGTTGTAAGTTGATGAGAGAGAAAATTTGTGTGGGGGAAGAAAGAATATATAGAAATTTAGTTTATTTGCTAAAGAAGGTTTTATAAAATAGTTGAGAAGGAAAATATAGTGAAAGTTAATCTTAAATAATAGAAAACAAACTAAAATGAAAATTAAAAGAAGTACAACACATTAATATTAGTTTAAAACTTTAGAAATAGTAAATAAGAATTATTTGGTGTAATATTTTATAATTTTTGTATGAATAATGATATGTCATTATTGTATGACTGTTGAAAGAGTTTGTAATTATTTTATAATTATTGTATGACTGTCATTATTGTACGAATAATTATTTATGTATGATTTTTTTTCTTTTCATGTAGATGGATCGGCAATGGATGTACGCTGACCGGCGGTCCAAAGAGTTTATTGACGGCGTGCATTATTTTTTGAGAGTGGCCGAAGCTAACAGGCATAAGGGTTTTATTTGTTGTCCATGCAATAAGTGTAAGAATCAGAAGGAGTATTCTGCATCCAGGACTATTCATTTCCATTTGTTTGAGTCGGGGTTCATGCCAAGCTATAACTGTTGGACATCCCACGGAGAGGAAGGGGTTGAAATGGAAGAAGATGAAGTGGAAGACGATAATATTCCGGACTTTAGTCAGGACGCTGGATTTGAAGGAAATCAAATGGGCGAGGAGGAAAGGGATGCTGATGGTAACGACGTTGCGGATGATCTTGGTCAGATGTTGCAGGACGCCAAGGAGGACTGCGAAAGTGAAAAGGGGGCCCATAAATTGGACAAGATGTTAGAGGACTACAGAACGTCGTTGTACCCAGGTTGCGAGCAGGGGCACAAAAAGTTGGATACCACTCTGGAGTTCTTGCAATGGAAGGCAAAAAATGGTGTTAGTGACAAGGCATTTGGTGATTTATTGAAACTCGTCAAGAACATTCTTCCGGAGGGAAACAAATTGCCTGAGACAACGTACGAGGCTAAGAAGATAGTCTGCCCTCTAGGACTGGAAGTTTAGAAGATCCATGCATGTCCGAATGATTGTATCCTATATCGCGGTGAGGAGTACGAGAACCTAGAAGCATGCCCTGTTTGCAAAGCACTACGATACAAGATTAGACGAGACGATCCAGGAGAAGTTGACGGGCAGCTAACAAAGAAGAGAATTCCTGATAAGGTGATGTGGTATTTCCCTATAATACCACGGCTAAGGCATTTGTTCAGGAATAAGGGGAATGCTAGAACGATGCGATGGCACGCTGAAGAGCGTCAACAGGACGGGATGCTGAGACACCCCGCCGATGGTTCGCAGTGGCGAAACATCGGCAAAAAATTTAAAGACTTTGAAAAGGACGCATGAAACATACGGTTTGGTTTAAGTACGGATGGCATGAATCCTTTTGGAGAGATGAGCAGCAGCCATAGCACTTTGTCGCGCCCCAAAACAACCCTAAAATACATCCTCTAAATTATGCCTAGAATAATTAAAATCCTTGTGAAAGCCTTTAAAAATTAAAATGTGCAAAGTTAAAAGTCAATAAAGGCTTGGAGGATTTTTTGTATATTTCCTAAAAGCCTAAAATGTGTAAATAAATTTTAGTGGAATTTTCAGAGCACAAATAATAATTGTTAAGAAATAAACAAAGTTAAAAATGTTTTATAAAAAGAAAAACCCTAAAAATCCCCCTTCCCTCTCTTGGGTCGGCTCGGCCCATTTCCCTCCCCCTCTCCCTTCTCTCCCCGCGGCCCATCCGGCCTCTCCCCACGCGCGCGCCGCTGACGGGTGGGCCCGCCCGCCACCCTCGCTGACGGGTGGGGCCCACCCGTCATCTCCTTCCTCCCGCCGCTCCCGCCGCCTCGCCCGCGCCTAGCGCCGCCGCCGCCGTGAATCCCGCCGCCTCCCGTCGTCCCCGCGTGAAATCAATAGGGGGGAATTACTCCCCGTGATCCCCTCCCCGTTTCCCCCCATTTTCCCCTCTCTCTCTCTCTCGCATTCAAACGGCTGGATTTGCTCCCGCAAATCTCGCCGGCGCCATTGATGGCGGTCGGACCTCCCGGCCGGTTTCCTTCCTTCCCCGGCCGCCCTCTCCCCCTTCCAACCCCATTTAAACCCTCCCCGCACCTCCTTCGCCCGTTTCCACCCTTTTGCCGCACCTTCTCCTCGCCGGAATCGAGCTCGCGCCGTCGCCCTCTCTCTCCTCCGTCGCCGACGACCTTCGGCCGGCTCTCTCCGCTCGCCGGGACCGTTTCCCGCCCCAGCGTCGCCTTCTCCGGCTTCGCCGCACCGCCGCCGTCACCGTCCACCCCCTTGTCGAGCTCGCCGACCGCCAGAGCGCCGCCGTCCCCGTCCGCCCGAGCCGCGCCGCTGCCTTCCTCCGCTCCGGTCGCCTTTTTCGTCGTCGCCGTCGACCTAGAGTGAGCCGTGGACCGCCGCCTCGTTTCCCCCTTTCCCTCCCCTCTCTCGGACGCCGCTCCGCCGCGCCTATGGCTGCCGCCGGCGACCATAGGGGCGCAGGCGCGCCGCCTCCCGCCGGCCACGCCGACGTGGCCGCCTTCGGGCGCGCCGAGCGGCTGCCGCGTGGGGCCCGGCCGTCAGCCGCCCGCGCCCTCGGGTGCGGCTGACGCGTGGGGCCCACGGCGCCGGCCGGTGCGAGCCCGGGTGCGCCCGGTCCACCGTGGACCGTGAGGCTGCCACGTGGGCCCCACTCCCGTGGACCCGGTCCGCGCCCCCCTCCCCCTCGGCTGACGCAATAATCCATTTTTAAATTAAAATTTAAATGAAGAAATTCGTAAATATTCATTTAAAGAGCATATAAACCTCAAATGGCCATAACTTGGCCATTTGAACTCGGAATTGGACCGTTCAAGTCTCTAATTTTTCCTTAAGAAGTCAAGAACCCATTTTTGTGCTTTGTTCCTACTTGTTATATGAAGTTTATTAGAGTAAAAGCCTTTTTATTTTCCATTGGTCGTGTAGACGCTGCAGCTTCGGAAGATCCGCTCTTCGTGGAGGTTGAAGCCGACGTTTGGGAAAGCGAGCAAGGCAAGTCACATCATCCTTGAACATATTGAATCCCAGTTTATAAAATTATTTTGATTTAAATTAATGCATTATCGCTTTATTTAAATTCCCGCGTTATCACTGTTTTATTTAGCCATGCCTATTTACCTTTGTTATGACCTTATTATTATTGCTATTATTATTATTACCTTGTTCACCCTAGACTAAACAAAACCTCCAACTAGTGGGTACCCTATGCGTGGTACCACTAGTATGAATTTAGGTAGATGCTTCGCTGGTTAATTAGGCAACATTAGGTGGTTTTACAACTCTAGACTTTGGGAGTATTCATATCACCTGGACACTATGGAATGGTTGGATTATTGTGGAATTGGATTCACACCTCCCCCTCTATTCAAAATCCTCAAAATGGTTTTAGGCTGGGCTCGGGGTGCATGGTTTTGATAGTAGCGCCTCGGCCATATAAGGACCGGTCTTCGGGCTTCTGTTGCAAAGCACTACCGTACTTCCACATGTCTAGTGGGTAAGGCTTAGTTTGTGGCTCAGTCTGGTTATAAACAAAAGTACACGGATGGAGATGGACGAAGTCGGGGGTCGATGGACATCTCTAGGGCAAATGAAGGCTACACGAGCTGCGGCCTGGTAGTCGAGATGTCATGGCACAGGGCTGGTGTCCTGCTGCTAGGGGCTCAGTCCTGCCTACCTGTCCCGGAGGTTCCGGCCGTAGGTGGGGTTGGGTCGGTACTCTTGTCTATGGCTAGGATGGGTTGGAAACTATGTCACATCTTCCGTCCGTATACCGTGGTGGTATGTGGCATGTGGTTACACGTGAGGAAGATGTGTCTTGTGGGTAAAGATGTACACCTCTGATCAGAGTATAACCTATTCGAATAGCCGCGCCCTCGGTTATGGGCAAGCCTAGCAATGTACCCAAGTTAGTGTTTTAATTCTTAAAACCTGCTTAACAACTAAAATATGGAATGGTTGGCCTGGGTTGGCTTGGGACGAGCTGGGACCCAGGGTCGGGTTGCCAGTTCGGTCTGAATCATCGTAGGCCTTGGGTTAAGGCAGGTTCGTGTGGGTTCATGGCCTTGATTAATAATCTTGTATAGCTCTAGGATCGTATTTACAAAATAAGCTTTGAGCAACTAAGTG